GATAGACAACTTTTTCTAGAATTTTACCCATGAAAGGCAGATTTGAAATGGGCCGATAATTTTTAAGTGCCAAGGCATCCAGACTCCTCTTTTTTAGGAGGGGTCTGATGACTGCCGTTTTCAGGGCCATTGGGAATGTTCCAGATTCAAGAGACATATTTACTATATGCGTGAGTGAAGGTAAAAGACTGCTCAGAACAGATTTAAGAAATCTAGGAGGAATACATCCAGGCTACATGTAGAAGAACTCAGACTTGTAATTATCATTTGGACAGTTTCATTTTGTACTGGTGTAAAGTGTGTCAGCCCAAAAAGCTTCACTGGCTGTTGGATTGTAATTTCTACTGTGGAGGTGATGGCATTTTTGATGCCTTGGACTTTGTCATTAAAAAACTCTGCAAACTCATTACATTTGGTTTTGGAGGTAAGCTCTGATGGCATCTTAACAGGGGGATTTGTCAATTTATTTACTGTTGAGAACAGAACGCGTAGATTGTTACTGCAACCTTCAATTGTTTCGGAAAAATAAGTTTCCCTCGTTCTACGTAGCACACTGTTGAACTTGCACAATGCATCTTTGAAGATCTCATGGTCACTAATAATGAACTTTTTAAATTTGATAACTAATTTGAGAGTGAGCAACTACTTAAATGTATTTGTCGTTTGAAAGTTCTAACCCCCAGCTTGAAATTTAAAACTGGATATTTTATTTGAGGGACATTTTGCAGCAGGGGTTTATGAATGGGTTTATACAGTCTCATCACTTAATGTGCGAAATCTGAAGCATTAAACAAAAGTCCTGAAACAGCATTTCTTCAGCTGTCACTAGCACTAGTTTATTGAAGAACAGGCGATCTTCCTCACCACATTCCTTTGCTCATGTTCAGATCTGCTTGCACTTTACCAGAAATGTTCCACTTTGTTTGTCTCCAGGCCATGGTTTTGTGTCCTGAGACCTGTTCAAAGTGTGCTAAAGACTGATTATCAAGGGAGTCATGATGAATGAAATCTCTAATTATTTTGTCCATTACTCTTTAGTACTCTTAGATCCGGGAAAGTCAGTGAATATGGATTATTTGACCAAAATAAGTCTGGAGAACATCTTTAGAGGGATGACTTGTTACACATGACTTTTTTTTGGATTGAAAACACATATAAAGCTATGACATAACATTTTATCTGTATGTTTTAAATGTGGTTTAAAATTGATTAATGTGTCACTAAATTAGCTATTTCCAAAATGTGATTAATACATTTTTTTGCACAATGCCAGGCCTCTTGATTCACAATATGAACAATTTACACACTATTGAGGAAGACCCTGCTCACTTCAGAGGTGGTGAGGCCATAGGGCTGGAAAGCGGAAGTGCGAGATTGTGCGAGATTTCCACCCGTGGATACAAACAAACCACACGTGCCAGTTGTATGGTGCTGAGATCGCCGACTTCTTCCTCGTTAATGGACTTTCCTGTGTTTTTTTGGACACATTTCGTCTCTGGGACAGAAAAACTGAGTGAACGGTCGGAATTAGCTGTGAACTGGCCATGTGCTGACCTTTCCATATGACGGGGAGATGAGAAAGGCACAGGGCCGTGTTCAAACATACAGTCTATGGTTCAAACTCATTGTATTTTAATCCACTATCACGCATCAGAAAGAAAATATAGAAACACTATTCCTATGCAAATAAATTGATGTTGTCCCTTACAGCTATCTTTGCTGCTTTGGTTATAAGCCAATGTATATGAATGATCAGTTTTCTATCTGTTCATCAGCTCCATCTCCACTTCACACTCACTGCAGCTTCACATTGGGCCTTTTTCCTTTTTGCTGTGCTGTCAAAAATATGATGTAGTTGGGTTACCTATTCATTTAATACGAATGATTGTCCTTTTTCTGTTATATTTGAACATTTGTTAAATGTTATTTAATACGTGTTAATATGTTCCTCCTTTATCTCTAAAATAAGAGTCTCTTCTGGGACGAGACTTTCCAGCCCTATTATCAGCACACACAGTAGCTCCTTCGTTTCCATGGTGACGCCCCAAACACACACTGCTCTGTGGTGTTTTTCCAACGCTGACACAGACACTGCTGACTGTCATGAACTACACAAATATTTGCAAAAATGTGTCACACAGGTTCAAAGTTCTGTAGACTTTGTAAAAAGTTGTTTTTTGTCACGTCAAGATTGTGTAGCCTTCACATTGAGGCCAATCTAATCTAACCTTCCACGGACTTTATCTAACAGTAGAATGTGTTCACGGAGGTGCGCAATACGTTTATTTTATTATTAAACGGTACTTCCGCATCGGCGAACACACTCGAAGCAGTTGCATAAAAAAAACAAGCACTATGTACCCCATTGTCAACCCTGGTTTAGTCCTGGTGTAGTTCATGTTTTGGCTGTTTATCAGTATTTTCTGTCTGCTCGCTCAGTCCGCAAAAGTCCCCGTGACCACTTTGCGGCTCTCCGATTGGTTGCTGCATGAACGTCCCGAGGAAAGGTTTAGCAAATCTCATCTCCTGCGCTCCTCCCCTTCGACTTCCCCGCGCAGTCCGTGCGTGCATTCCGAGACGTTCATGCGTTTTGACGCTTGCATTGAAAGCCGACGCAACGCATGATCCGGTCTGAACGTGGCATAAGGATGCCAAGTAAAAATGTGTCATTAGAATGATTAATTGACCAGACCAACAGAGGGCAGATTATGGCCCCTTATTTCGGTAAATGAACCCAAAACTTTCCTGCTGAAGTCTCTTTGTTGTCTGAGGTCGCAGGTCGCCCTTTGACCTCTGCTGCTCTTGGCTCCTGGTGTCTTCACTCAGACTGTGCCTGATATCTGCTGCTGACAAATATACTTGCTGTTTGATAAATCCTGTATCCTCATTTTCAAGAACTGCTGATGCTCCGATCACACTATTTATTATTTGGGTTTCGAGAACATTTAATGCCTTTCTGTTCTTGGCATTATAGTTACATATTATTATATAGATACATGATCATTCAAAAAACGTTTTTGTTGCTTGTCTTTTCTACAGGCAGACATTTCAAGTTCCATAACTGTTTGCCAAAGGTTGATATGACATGCTAAGCAGGGCAGGGCCTGGGTAGTACTGTAACACTCGGTGGCACAGTGAGGAGGCTGAAGCTGTTGCTGTATCCTTGGGCAACACTCTTTACCGCTCACACAGATCCATGCTGGACAATGTGGCTGGTGGTACAGAAGCTGCCTATTTGACTCAGATAAACCTGAAGTGAAGCCACCGGAGGATAGGCTAACACTGACATATTGTCTCTGTATTATTATAGTCAGTATAAAGCAGTTGGCCATTCATTGATTTATGAAAAGTCATTATTGTCATGATTCATATTGACAGGACCAAATGCACACAAATACATTGAATTGTTGTTTAAATCTCTCCTGCACAGTTGCGTAGTACTCTCCCACACCCGCTCCTCAGGGCACAGGGCGTAGTCATCAGCTGCTGACGCGCACACACGAGTGCACACCCATACACACTCACACATTACTTTGTGCCCTTGTGCAACGCGCCGGGACGTGCTGCCGCTGCTCGTGTCGGGACAGCTCCCTCTCACATACAGATGTAGTGCTGTGTACTGAAGAGTGTTTGGACTGATGTACAAACGGCTGTTCCTGAAGTGGTGCAACACTGCAGTGTGTAAGGGCAGCACAGATCTGGCAAAGGAGAGTTGGAGTAATGACACCGTCTGAATAATAATATTTATGTGGAAACTCCCCCACACACTGTCCTCCCTCGTCCCCATCTGAGGGGCATGGCTCACTTAGTCGCTTTTGGAAACAGAACTATGGTCAGCTCTTCTGCCAATAGATTTTTTTGTTTTAACATGCTACATATTGATAATACATTACGCATTATGAAAGTCCACCTTTTTGTCATGGCTTTTTTATAGTGTTTGGTTTTTTTATTTCATACTTGGTATAAAAATTTGATTTTGTAAACTTCTTACTCTTTATCCGCTTCAAATGTAGCTCATGCCAGCAAACATATTCATGTTTTTTCCCCACAATTTTCCCATGGGAGGGGTTACTCACGGCGATTTTGAAAAGGTCCACTTTGATCATATGTACATTTCAACCAGTGGGGGCGGGTCCTGGCTCAAAAGTGGCCAAAATGACGTGCGCTGACATGCTTGTAATACCACCCCGGGCCGATGGGACTGGACCTGAAATAAGAATGAGCCAATGCTAACATATAGCATTGGCAGACCTCTCAAAAAAGTCTTTCAGGATGGACCAAAAGTTGGCTCTAGGTCCAAAGCTCCGTTCCACATGTGTGTCAATGCTGAGGGGGGTGGATTTTTTTTGGTCCACTCTAGTTTACTTGCTGTGAATTTTTGAAGTCTCTCGTTCAAATGAATGGAGCTTGCGCCGGCTGACGCATGCGCAGATGCGTTTTTTCACAATTTCCTTGTGGGCGGGACCACTCGCAGCCATTTTGGATAGCTCCAGTAGAGCACCATTTTTGGCCCATTTAGTTTGAACGGCGGAGATAGGTGTGACTACGTCCGTTAATATTTAGTCTATGATTTCAACTTACTGATTTCAACGGAGGAAATGGGATTCACTACGTTCGTTAATATATCCTGTCTAAAGTCCAAACCTTACAATACCACCCCTTTGGCCCGGGGTGGTATTGTAAGCATGTCAGCACACGTCATTTTGGATATTTTTGAGCTGGGACCCGCCCCTACTGGAACAAACGCTTTGACCTCAAACAGATGAAGGCTGCATCCAAATTCATCAATGCCTCCTTTTTTATCCTTCCTTCTGCTTTTATGTATAAGTCATTATAATAATGACTTTATATTTATTGACTTCTAATGACAATAAGAAGTCCTTGTTTAGTTTGAGGCCCATTAGAGATTTGATGACTGTTGACGTTTTTAATTTCCTATATTCTGAGATGTCACTGCTCCTCTAACGAGTCCTTTTTTACTTTCTTTTGCCTCTCCTTAGACTCCAAGGCCATAGTGGATGGAAACCTGAAGCTGATCCTGGGCCTGATCTGGACCTTGATTCTACATTACTCCATTTCTATGCCCATGTGGGATGAGGAGGAGGAGGCTGAAGAGGGCAGACAGAAGACTCCCAAACAGAGGCTCCTGGGTTGGATCCAGAACAAGCTGCCAGAGCTGCCCATCACCAACTTCAGCAAGGACTGGAGGACAGGGCAGGCTCTGGGGGCCCTGGTGGACAGCTGCGCTCCAGGTAAGATCCTTCCACACTCTGCCACTTCTTCTTTAATAGGCCTAAATCACAACAGTAGTCATCTTGGAGGACTTTATACAACCCTTGAATTTGCCAACACAGATCAGGGAATCAATTGGTATTTGTCCATTAGGGACAGGTGACCAATGGCCATAAGTTTTGATATTTTTTATTTTATTTTTGTACTTTAACTGGAGTTAGTGTTTAATTTTTTTTTTATTTTCTATTGCATATAATGTCTACTTTCCCTGGACTGTGAATGAAGCCTTGCCTCATCCTCTACATGTGTATTCTAGTCAGATCAGATTCAGATTCATTTATTTGCCATTTGCAGTAAAACCACATTGGAAAACTGTGCAAGACTACCCCGGTGTGCACCAGACAGAGACGACACACACCAGAGCTCTTGCCACGGCGCCATCTTTCCGGCGCCATGCGACAAACAGTAGAATAAACAGCAGAGAGCAATAACATACAGATTACACAGACAGTTGGATAGACACATTGTGCTTTGTATAAACCACGGATTTTTTTCTCGGGATGAGCGCCTCCTACAGCCGGCCCAATGTGGCTGTCAGAGGGGGGCGGGGTCAGGGAGGGGGTGAGTCGGAATGAGGAGTGGAGGGGAGGGAGGGAGCAAGATGAATAGGTAGAGAGAGGCGGGGGAGGGATCCGTGCTGGAGACTGAAGACTGAAGAGTGTGAGTTGTTGTAGATAGTCCGGACTTGTTATTATGGCCTTGGCCGAGGAATGTGAGATAAGAGTGGAGAGAAGACGCAGCAGGAGAAAAAAACACATCGCCTGAGAGGGACAATATTACATGCAATGTAGCATCAAAAACAGGCAGATATTCTATTAAATCCAATTAATCCGAATTGCGGCGCCCTCAGACCTCCGTACACAGGGGCAAATCCAAGCCGGGTCAGAGTTCAAGCCTGACACACAATGTCATTCAATCTCAGCTCCAGAGTTTTATTCCCTTCGAGTGAACTAGCTGCAAGATCTTTAATCAACTGTTCCACCAACACCACTCTCCTTTGACCAGCCACGGCACTCTCAACCACGACACGGCTTAGCTCCTTGTACATCCCATCAATTTTGTTGGCCAGCAGGTCGTGAATCTTGCGAACTGCCATGCCTCCGAATTTGTGGTAGAAGAGAACCGCTCCAAACCCAAACAGGAGGATTCCCACCACCAAAATGCCAAAAATATATACGTCTTCCGAATCTTCAATAGACAGGACCGACAGACAGAGGGGCTGAAACTTGTTCCAGCTGTCAAGAGTATACCCCGCAGGTGCAGTCCCGTCCGGGCACACGGGCTCTCCAGACCCACGCTTACGTGTTGAAAAGATAGAATCAATTGCGTTGGGGGACCAGTTAATCATTTCCATTCTTGCTAAAAGTTGTCTGTGGCAAAACTCCAGGAAAAAGACAAAAACAGGAGATAGCAAGCAGTCAGAAGCAGGAGCGTCTGAGACACGTCTTTGCTCGACGGAGGCGGAAGAGAGACAATGAGCCGGCTTTTCATTTTTAATGTGTGCGTGTACTTTTATTTATTCATATTATGTCAAATGAACCCTTTAAAGCCTTAATTTGTAACTTTTTGCATGGAAAAAACAAGTAGTTTTTTTATGATTCATCGCTCTGGCCCCTACTGACTCTTTTCAATGAAAGTCAGCAGGGGCCAGAGCGATGGAGCAAAACTTGGCAAAACCACCATGAAACACTTCCCTGTTACCGGGTTAGCATTGAAAGCGGCTGTCATTTTGCATGTTTACACAAGTCACACTAAGATGGTGACGAGCAGTGTCAGCCCAGGGTCATTGGAACAGCTCATATCTGACCTATCTGCCCTCCCTGACAATGTGTTGAAAATCTCCTCTAATCTCATGTTTGTCATTGGAGTTATAATAATACTCATGTCCTTTCACTTAGCCGTATTATTTACTCATGAACAAAAGGGCAAGTGTGGCAGATGTCCTTCATTATGACAACAATAATATTGAATGTTTGAATATCTTCAGATAAGAAGGCATGCAATTAAGCAAAACTCTGACTGAAAGTGAATTGTTTGGTTTATTCATATTTTTTGCTTCAAAGTCACTTCAGGGGGTAGGAATGGGAAAAGTATAAATGTGTGCTCCTTGCTGAACAGGCTTCTCTTCTCCATAGACCTGACTTGTCCTAGTGGGGTTTAAATGACGGATCTGTGTAAATTGTGGTCATTTCCACTGAGTAATTGGAAGAATAGACTTCCAATAGCTTTCCAACCTCTCAAATGTTCCTGATGTCAACAATAGCATCTTAAACGGAATGCTTCCTTTTCAGAACTTCCCCTTAGTTGGTTCAAAAGGCTTCAAAGACCACATTGTCTGTGATTATTTTGTTCTTCTGTGACAAAGGAAATTTGATTTAGACTAAAGACACCCTGCAGAGACTGAGGTCCAATGTTGCAAAAACTAAATATTAGGAAAATATTTTTGAATTTATTTTAAGAGCAATATTGTTTTTACAATAAAAAATGGTATTGAAAAAAAATAGCATAACTTTATGATACTCGTCATATGTGTCCTGAGTGTGTTCTCTCTTCTTCCCCTTAGGCCTGTGCCCGGACTGGGACTCGTGGGACCAGACTAAACCCGTGGAGAACGCTCGTGAGGCCATGCAGCAGGCAGACGACTGGCTGGGCATCCCACAGGTGACCACTGCGCTCTGGTCTCTGCAGCTCCAGAGACCTGGAGCCTTACTGTGTCTGAAAATGAGGGCAAAGCGTCAGCGTCAGACCCCAGAGGGTCACTGGGCAGTTTGACCACTCCATCCTTTGCTAAATCCAGTTTAAGGCTATATCCACACGAAGACAAAACGCTTATAATTTCAGAAACTTTTTCTGTAAACACGGAGTTAGCTCAGTAAATGTGTGCGTCCATATGAATGTAGTCAATACGCCTGAAAACGCTGTGAAACTATGCCAGACCTGTTGGTGGCGCTGTGACGCAATGACTGGATCAAGCCCAAACTTCCGTGACGGGAACTGGGCATGCGCAGAATTTTGTAAACAGACAACATGGCGAGTGGGCGAGCTGGTACTACATTAGTATGGACGGACGATGAGGTTGAACTGTTGCTTCGGGTCACACTGGATTACAAAACCAACAAGCCATTGTTGTTGTCATTATTTTCTGAGTGCGGCGCATGCGTGCTTTAACAAGAGGCGGGGCGATGACGCAAGCGTCTCAGATACATTGCGGAGAGGCAGTAACCTCGGAGCGGCATATACGGAGTTTTGAAATCTTTCCACTCTGGGACCTACTTTCAAAAATGTTCGTTTACACCCCCCCAAAACGCCGGCCTCGTATGGACAGTACACTGGATTGATAAAGTATTTTTGCGTTTAGGCCTGAGCTTGACTTCGTGTGGACAGGGCCTAAAGCTGCAACATTTAGCCCACGCCCACAGATTTCTGATTGGATGTATTGAATTGAAATCCTTGCTAGACAGCTGAGGCCTACCCCCATTAGTCAAACTATTCCTTAGGAGATTATATATATATATATATATATATATATAATCTCCTATGTGCTTGTATTAAATGTGATGTATGCTACTTCAACTTTTATATATATTATAAAATATTGTTGTAAAAAACATAGGTTACAACTTTTTCTGAAATCTGTGGGAATTTTGGTTATGAACGTAATTCCTTATACACTCAACATTCATAATAGTGAAAATCTCATTGCAATCCCAATATAATCAGAAATATATCCATGCAGATTTCTTTCCAAAATCAACCAGCCACGCATCGAACCAGCAGGCAAGAATCTGGTATGTAAAGACAAAGTGTGTTGCTTAAGGACACAATGATATCTGCCACAATGATTTGGGGCGACAGTAGCTCAGTTGGTAGAGCATTGGCCTTTGAGCCTGAAGGTCGTGGGTTCGAGCCCACAGTAAGACCTACTTCACGACTCCCACTGATGACTGCTGTCGTTGTGTCCTTGGGCAAGACACTTTACCCCACTTTGCCTGAAGCTCCCACTGAAAGATCTCAGCTCCTGTGGACTCACCACCTGCAGGAGGATCAGTGAGGGGCTGGTGCTCTGTGTGCTGGGTGGCATCTCTGGCCACCCCCCCGACCCAGAAATGGATTAAGGGGAAGAAAATGGATGGATGGATATCTGCCCAAGCCCATAGTGATAACATGATTATCCAGATAGTAATGAAACGGAGATGGCAGAAGTGGCGTGTCTGCAGTCTGCCTGTGGTTTCCTGCTCTGGTGAAACGGCACAAGGCGGGTGTCGTGCTGCCAGATCGCGTGTGAATACTTTTCAGGGGGTTTTGTGCGGCCGAAAGTGGTTTAGTACCAACATCACTTGTGAAGGAGGCCATGGGAGGTTACCAAGAAGAATTTTGCTCAGTTTGCTCGGTTACGGAAAATTGTGTCTTAGAGAGAGTGATTAAGAAGCCAGCAAATGAATGTTCCAAAATCAATAGGTTAGTAGATTGCAATCTCAATACAAACTGGTCTCGATTGTACGTGTGCATTATAATGTGGCAGTAACGGCTTGCAGAGATGAAGAGTTTGCAGCTACAATAGGTAGTCAAGGAGGCTGATAACCCGATAAAAAGAACCAACATTAATTTGCAGTAAAGGTGGATTATTGGTGTGAAAACGTATATGCAAAAACAGCATTTGAGAGCTCTCCCAGGATCAGCCAGTGCATTGTAGAGGCAGCTGTAATGTTGGCCAGTAAACTAATAAATATTTTTGTTTAGTTGCGTTATATCACAGTAGGCTGGACAAGTCTAATAATTTGCCTGTGGACATGTATACACTCATTTGTCCTGGCCTTCTACTGTATTAGCATTTTTTTAAATGTTCTTTTTAGGTTTCTGTTCAAATCCTTGATCGACCACTAGCCCTCTCTCATTGGTTTAACTATTCTCCAGAAAGTCCTGCGAGTGGTGGTAATGCGCAGGGGAGGGACCATTGTAAATATATTATTAAGACTTAGTTTTCATGGTAGTACAGGGCACAGTAGAAAGGTAATCTTATTAATTTGTTTGAAATTGTAGTTTTATTTAAAAAACAATGAATGTAGGCCTGTTCCTTTGGTAAATATCATGTAGCCCCAACCCTAATTCACCCTTCATCTCCCTCAGGTGATCACCCCAGAGGAGATCGTGGATCCAAACGTGGACGAGCACTCGGTCATGACATATCTGTCCCAGTTTCCAAAAGCCAAACTGAAGCCTGGAGCTCCCCTGCGGCCCAAACTCAACCCCAAGAAAGCCCGCGCATACGGTCCAGGTGAGCCTTGCACATGTCTTCAGAACCACTGTTAAAGCCTGGGCACCTAAAACGGTTTGGTTCTACCACTAGTTGTTGCATGCATTTGTGACTAGACTTTTTTTTCCTGTTTTTTTAGATTTTTACTTTTTTTGATATAGCTCAAACTATCATTGTGCCAATCCCTGTAGTAGATTGTAAGGGATAATTATTTAGATAAATCAAAGCAAAAATGATCCATTTGCTTGGACCGGATTTGGAAAAAGTGTAAGCTTGGACCAAAAAGCAGCAGTGTAACCTTCAGCTGCAGTCTTCCTCACACATGGTACGGTTTAGCACAAACACAGGATTAGATGTTTACAGCCGCTCGCTTTTATGCTCGAACACTTTGAGAGAAATTGCCCTTGCTTGTTGCTAAAATGTGCGAAACATGGCAGGGTTGGGGTGATGTCAGAACTTTTCCCAGTCGGTCTGCAGATGTGATAAATGCCACACAAAGGACCGTATCACTAGAATTTTCTTATTCAAGGAGATCTCTTCTGCATAATGGAGGTTGTAAGCACAGACTATTTTTTTGGGGGGTTTGGGTTAGCTTATCCCCCCACCCCTTCAGTTTAAATCCTCTTCATCTCCAATCAAGTTATGTTCTTTACCAGTGTTTTACTTTAGATAGATGTCAAATGTTAATTCAAGTTACCGCTTCTACCACTACATCGACTTGTTGCCTCATTCTGACTCATCTTGCCATCCATATATTTTCCTTGTAATTGTATTGTTGACCCTTATTTAACAAGGAAAGTCACACTGAGATTTCCGAATCTTTTTCAGGGTAGTGTTTGTCCCAGATAGGGGGCAGAAGTGGTGTCGAGTAGGATGTACGATTGTGTGTGAAATATGATCCATGTAACTAGTTCCTGACACATTAGTTTTCACATACATGTATTTTGTCCTTAGATCAGATTTTTCAGACAGAAAAGTAATAAAGAGAAAATCCCCACACAGACCATTCTCACAAAAGAAGTCACGTGAGAGCTTCTATTGGACAAACATGCATTTACGAAGCGATAATTTAAGTGCCCCAGTTTTAAGGTGAAATACTTTGACATTGCTGCTCTAAATGCTTGTGTGCGTTTGCAGGTATCGAGCCGGTGGGGAACGTGGTGATGAAGAAAGCCTTGTTCACAGTGGAAACCATCAGTGCTGGGATGGGAGAGGTGCTGGTGTATGTGGAGGACCCGGCCGGACACAGGGAGGAGGTAACTGGCCCCAAACACTATGGAACCTGCACGTGTTTTTAGCCCCCACCATGCTAATATCAGGACATTCTGGCACAAACATTATGGACGGAGCTGTTTTCTGCCTTTTTAAACCTTTAAGTAGAATTGCTGCATGAGTCCAACTTGGCTTTCCCAACACTTATTGTACATATTATTCTAGTATTTGCATATGTTCTTGATTTTAGTACTTCTCTCTTAGGAAGTGTCGGGCTCAACCGTAAGAATGCGTAAAATATTTGTGCTTTAATGCTGCGTTTGTTTCAGGCTAAAGTGACTGGGAACAATGACAAGAACCGCACCTACTCAGTGGTGTACACCCCCAAAGTCACAGGCATGCACAAGGTGAGGGCTTTTAAATACGTCTCACTTTTTTTTTTTTCGGTTTAAGAAATTTGTAAGGTGTTCCAGTGTATAACCATGGTAACTCATCCAGCTACTTCCTAAAAAAACGACTTTGTTTCATAACTACCACTTCCACACTCATTTGGTTTTAGCGTTTAAGGTATATTGGAGGATTTTCTACTCAAAACTATTGGTCCTCCAAATTGTCAATCATTCTGGTGACACGTGCTCGTTAAACAAGACCAGATTTTTTCAAAAAGTGGAGAGGGCGGTAACCTTGCCTGCAAGCTGAATATTTGTGGTATTTGTGAGTTCACAAACACGAGAATACATCTTGCCCCGCTCCCGTCAACCCTTTGAGAAGAACATCTAGGTGTTCAAGCCAATCACGCGCCAGTCTGGGGGTTTAGGGCGGGATATCCGGGTTTGACGAAAGCAAGAAGTGCCGGGCCGAAGCAAAACAAACTTGGCTACGCAGGACGACGGACGTGTAGCTGAGGCTATCAAGTCAGTTTTAGTAGAATCTCCAATTTCTTTTTTGAAAGATGAACAGCGAGAGGCGCTTTGTGCATTTCTGGACGGCAAAGATGTTACCGGGATTGGTTTAATGTAACGCAAGTCAAACCTTGGTAGGCGGGCACACAGCGTCACTTCGCCCAATCAGCTTGAAGTATTCTGCTGCTTATCCCTCCTTTCCCCGAAAGGATTCTCCTGCAGAAGTCCCATATTGATATTGTGGAGAACGCTTTAGAGTTCTACACAATCATCAATCTGGCTCTTGCCAGGTTAGAGGGCGGTTCTTTAATAAAAAAATGGGGAAAATCCTCATAACTTAACGTTAGCACGTTAGCATTTTTGTTCTGATAGTTTTGTAAAATGTTGTGGTACTGTTATTTTGTGTGTAATTTAACATAACTTTTAGCTCGCATAACATTGACATAACATTACCTTATCAATTCAAGTTTGTGTAAACTGTCATACAGGGATTAGTCAAAGCAAAGGAAGGTTTCTCACCCATCTTCTGTTTTCCCGACGTTTCGTCCTTAATCTAAAGGACTTCTTCCCTTGAAGTCCTTTTTGATGGAGGAGGACGAATCAATTATCAATTCAAGTCACCTCATCCCATTATTCTCATCGAACTTCTGTTTATTTATTATTATTATTATTATTATTAGCCCAAAAGCCTAAACGCTGACATTCAGTCAAAACCAAAGAAAAGGTGAACTGTTGATGTTGCTGCAGCTTTCCACCTTGGGGTGAGAACTTAACGGCCCCATCAACAACCCCAAAAATTATTCCAGAAAGTGTAATGCACCCTCCTTGGTGAGTTTGTCTAAAGCTCAGACTTGTTCTTGTTTGCCCTTAGCTGTTTGTGCTAATGACCTTAAATGCCCATGTTACCGTTTGGTCGTCCCCAGGTGACCGTGCTGTTCGCAGGGCAGCACATCTCCAAAAGTCCCTTCGAGGTGGAGATCGGAATGGCTCAGGGGGACTCCAGTAAAGCCACAGCTCAGGGGCCCGGCCTGGAGCCCACTGGCAACATTGCCAATAAGAGCACCTACTTTGACGTCTACACTGCTGGTAAGGTCCTTGAACTTCAAACATGACGTGATATGAATTAAAGTCAAAATGTTAACATGCCCAAAACATCAGAGGTAATGTCAGTAACTTATAATAAAGAAGGCATATACTCCATTTGTCCCTGTTTTTGTGAAGATTTCACATTTGCCTTACAAGGGCCAAGTTGCTGAAGCATTGTCAACAAGCAAGCATCTGTTTGAGAAGTGAATGTGCAAAGCATTCTTTTAATCTTTTAAAATAATATATTTAATGTAGTCCCTCTCTGTGGCATTAACAGTAAGATCTGCTAGATCAATGCGGAAAAGGCTTTTTATTTATTTTTTTAGTACTGATTTGTGTATCATGCTGGGGTGGTTAATGAGAATCTTGTCTAAAGTCAGAAAAGAACTGTACTCTAAGGACACGCACACACATTACAGGGTGATTGACTCCCCCAGACAGCACTGTAACCATACCCCCCCCCCCCCCCCCCCTGTCACAGGAGCGGGCGTGGGTGAGGTGGAGGTGATGATCCTGGACCCTGTGGAGAAGAACACCACAGTGACCTGCACCATTGAGGACAAGGGCAACAGCAGTTACCGCTGCACCTACAAACCCACCCAGGAGGGGGCGCACACAATCTATGTCACCTTTGCCGGAGGACAGATCAGCAAGAGCCCGTTCACAGTGACTGTGGGAGAGGGTCAGTGTTTTTACTTGTTCAGAGCCTGTTGTGTATGTGTGAGAAATGTAGTAAATATGAATGAGTATAAATGGGAGCAAGCATCCTTGTGCAACGCTAATCTGTTTAACGCAGACCACCAGAATTGTCCAGGGGCTGGCCGCACAAATTCTAAAACTCTTTACTCAGGAAAGTTCTGACATTTTAACTTTAGGTATGATAACTGGGGTTGTCTGACAAACGTTTTCTATCTTACAAGCTACATTTGCTCTGTAACGGAATCCATTTTGTGACTCAAAGAGAAAGGAGTATAAACAAATATATTCTGTTAAAACTCAAAACAATGCAACTAGCAAGGGGCTACAAGTGTGATAGATAGATGATAGATGATACTTTATTGATCCCCCTTGGAGAAAGTCAGGTGTCAGTAGTAGCAAAAATAAAATTGATCATTCTAAAAAGCTAATAATAGTATTAATCAGCCACAGGCCTTTAGGTGACGGCAGCAGAGGTGGAGTAGCCACTGGGTGGAGCAGGACCGGTCACAAGACAAGTTTTTTTTTCTTTATACAAATATATAAAATGATAAATGACAACTAATGAATATTTTGGTCAACTAGGATTCAATTAATTATATATTATTATTATTATACTTGTATCCTTGTGAATCAGCAACTGGAGGTTGATGTACAAATCTTATGAATGGGACAAGTGGATTGGTGCAGTGGTTAGCTATTGTGCTTCACAGCAAGAAGGTCCAGTTCGATTCCACCTCCAGACGGAGCCTTTCTGTGTGTAGTTAGTATGTTCTCCCCATGTGTATGCTTCCTCTGTGTGCTCCCATCTGTGTAGAGGGGACAAATGCCCGCAATTCTAAATCTCTTGTGGAAGGTGCTGCTTACTTGCTTACCTATGAAAAAGAATTCCTAAAAAACTGAAATGCACACAACATTCTGGTCACCACACCTCTCCCCCTTCACTCGCCCTGTTACTTTAAAGAAAACTAGCTAGTCACTCTTCACACATCCTCAGACTTGCCGCGATAAGGCGTTTTTCACAACTTTCTGAAAGGCTCTATAGTTGCATGAGAAACTCCTGTAAAGCCATCTCTGTATAATGTGAAGATCTGCGTTTACAACATGCACCGCAAAGCAAAGAAATTCTCTCTCAAATGGATTCATGGCAAGTATTCTGAACTGAATGTCGCGTCTCTGGTTTCTGCCGTTTTCTCCTGACGTCTCAATCTTTCTGTATCTCTCCAGAAGCGGCTTATATCTCACTTGTGTCTGGAGCTGCTTCCTCTGCTCTTGATTTCCTGCTTCCCGGGCGCTCTCTTGGGTATTCTGTGTTTGTGTGTGTGATTAGCCGAGGGTGTGTCCCATTTGTGACTGCGTGTACATGGGAAGAGAAGGGCACAACTGGCCTAGAACGCTTTTTAATTTGACTGAGCAATATAAATTTAAAAACAAGTTTCCCGAATTTTGTGTGTGTGTGGTTATCTGTGTAAAAATATCAAATTAGTCCGGATTCTCTGCCCATATAGACGCAGTAAATTTGTGTGTGTAATATTTGATTGGACACACCACTCGCTAATTCACTCTCGTCTGATGAGGAGCAGAAACGGGACGTGCCCTTTTTCCTCTCTTCCATCCACCATCTGTCATTTATCTCATGCTCGTCTAATGCAAGTGGCATTGTGCGACCATTTCAAGCATGATTAATGTTATTAACTCTATAAATCTTTTTCAATCTTTGACTTACATGTTTTTGGTACATTTATCACATTTACTCTGCACAAACGGCTCGTCGTTTTTCACACCTCTGCCTTTCAACACTTAAACATTTGGCTCTTCCTGTTTGTTCCGCTGAGGCTTCCTGATGGGACACGCTGTTAATGCACTGTTTCTTTTTACCAAATATTCGCTTTCCTTTCACCAAAAATAAGCTACATGTTATAAAATGTTTGTTTGTGAAAGTTTTGCATGCAAACCAGAGTACACCTGTGTTGTCATGATGTGTGAGATGTTTAGGATGCCTGCTTGTCTGCTCATATTGTGAGTTCATTCCATCCATGTAATGAGCTCGCTCTACTTGAAATGATAGAACTGTCACTCTTGGTCTGAAAAGTTTGGATTTACCCTCTTGTGTAAGACAAGACGCTGCAGAATAATATGCAAAGGGTAAAATGTACTCCACTCCATCCATGTAACTAGTTCCTCACTAGTTTCACGGGCATGTATTTTTGGCCTCATCCTGTCTGAAAAAAGGTGTGACAAAGAGAGGACCACCCTCTTCTCGCAGCCCAAGTTCCAAATAGTGACTCACAAGTATGCAAAAGTTGACATCTCTTGAAGAATGTTTACTGAACAAATTAGAATCTTTTTAGATATCTTATGAGTAAAATTTGAAATGGCCAAATGTCTTGTTTAAGCCCAATTAAGTCAGGTAATCGAAATATGGATATAAATCTTGATTATAACCATGAGAAGAAAACAAGTTGATTTGGTATAATATTTAAAGGATTATTGTCCCAGGGGAAAATATTTGCACTGTAATATAAATCTGTAGATGTTAATTGGATAGAATAAAGCGTTTCTATGTTGTAGAGTAAAATGTGGAAAGGGCAAACCTAATCAAGTGCATAATTACTTGTGGTGTCTCCTAAATTATGGCGTGTCTCATTACTCCTCAAATTCAATTCATTAACATTGTAAAATCCCTCCATTTGCCGTATGACTTTATATGCTGATGTATCTGAAAGTAACTCTTGTCTCTGCAGCATGCAACCCAAGTTTGTGCAAAGCCACGGGCCGCGGTCTGCAGCCCAAAGGCCTCAGGGTGAAGGAGACCGCAGACTTCAAAGTGTTCACCAAAGGAGCCGGAACTGGAGAGCTCAAAGTAACCATCAAGGGCCCCAGTAAGTGTCCGCTTATATCGCCCTTTGTATCTTATTTATTGAGTTATCACCAGAGAGACCCCGCACAGTTCAACCAGATCTGTTCCAAATCTGTGGACCCTGTTGCTGAACGATTTAAGAATTTTAAAAGTGTGTTTGGATTGTCACTATTACCATGAGAATGAAAAAACTTTGGGATACCAATAAATGATCAAAAGGATGTAAAACAGCTAAAGGCTTTAAGCTACATGTATATGCCACAGATACTGGAGCCAAATTCTCTGATAGCAACCTCCATAGCAATCAATAGAAGCCAATATAGTGTGACTAGTCCTGTGTTCTTCGCTTGGAGATTATTGCTAGTTATATATTGATTTACAAGATATCGACAAAACGATATCGAAATGGACGCCAGGATCATGTCGGTTTGTGGCGTTTTAATGTTTTTGACATTGCCTTTATTAAAAGATATGGCCATTGGAGAGCGATGTGCTCTTACGCTGGCCTTCTACTTGACTTTCCAATGAAAATGAATGCACATTCCTTTTAGGCCTTGCCTCGTAGCCCAATTTTGACGTACTCATTTAAATGTGCTTGTACCTGTGTGTTGCAGAGGGACTGGAGGAGCCTTGTAAGAGAAAAGATCTCGGAGATGGAGTTTACGGGTTTGAGTATTTCCCCTCTTCGCCAGGGACTTACACAATCACCATCACCTGGGGAGGACAGCACATCCCACGCAGGTACATGCAGATAGTAAACCTAACTGATGTTTGTTGTGAGTAGTCGGGTCAGTCAAAGCTCTGCTACACTGTAAAATACAATGTGGCACGTCCTCTGAAGTAATCACTGCGGTGCACACAAGCCACAAAACTTTAATGACATGTTTTACAGTTTACTGGTTATTATATTCTTGGAGTGTACTCACGGCGCATGAGGGCGGCGCTCAAAATAAACCTGTGACCTGCCAAACCTAATGCATAATAGCATGTAAAAAAAGCGTGCAAAATTTTACCAAATATTCATATTCCGATAATTTTCTGTAAAAATGTAACCTTGTGACTATGGTGTGACCATGTGACCTGTGCTCAGTCCCATGGAGGTGAAGATTGGCGCGGAGGCGGGTCCGCAGAAGGTGCGTGCCTGGGGTCCCGGGTTGGAGAGGGGCATCGTCGGCAAGTCTGCAGACTTTGTGGTAGAGGCCGTTGGCGACAATGTGGGCACGCTGGGTAAGGCAAACGTGCATCTGTCATTATTATTTTGCAGACATTCACTTTAGGAACAATGTTATGACATATTTCAGTCACAAACCTGACTATCAACAATGTTGAGCCAAAATCTGGAATTTCCCTTGCACAGAAAGCTTTCTGAAATCTGTGATCTGTTGTGAGATGGATCTATTCTGCATTTTTAAACATTACTCTTCCATTTTAAAACTGGGCTGTCAAACGTACTTAGTTTTTTTTTATGTCTTCCAAACAGTCTTATAAAATTTTGTGTACAAATTAGACCACAACATACCACAGTTTTATCTTATAGACTAGCATCCTCGTCCACGGATTTGGTACCCCAGCTTTAAATTGTTTACACTTTGGGTTGAAGCAGAAAGTTCAGAACCACTTAGGATCTTGAAATGAATGTCTTCTGCCTGAATTCCGAAAGATGAAGTTCTAAAACCTGAAAAGGTAACTGTTCCCTCCTCTGCCTGCAGGCTTCTCAGTGGAGGGCCCGTCCCAGGCTAAGATTGAGTGTGACGATAAGGGAGATGGTTCCTGTGACGTGAGGTACTGGCCCACGGAGGCGGGAGAGTACGCCGTGCACGTCCTGTGTAACAACGAGGACATTCAGCACTCGCCCTACATGGCGGAGATCGTCAACGCCCCAAACAAGGACTTCTACCCAGACAAGGTACCACTGCAGCCAGATGATCACATGTAAACCACAGACTGTATGTATATAGATGGACGTTGCCTCAATGAAGCCCAATGGGAAAGTGCTCATTGACAAAGTTTTGCTCCTACCCTCTCTGGCTCTTATTTACTTACACTCGTCATTTGGGCCTAAAAAAAAAACATGGTCTGATTCTTGTGTTGTATATAGTGATAATGTCGTTATGAATCCAGATATGAGCCCTAACAAGTGACCAATCAGGAGCTTTCTGTCCCTAAATTTGGCTTTGGCGAGCGAGTAGCGCGAGCAGGGACAGACCGGTGCAGCTCCTGATGCACTTGGTAACTCGGCCATTGCTATCAACCCAATTTGCATAAATTTGCCGCTACATTCCTGCTCAAATAGCCTGTTCGAACTAGCTCTAGTCTGTCTCCTCAGCATTAAGGAAAACACTACGGGTGACGTCTGCAGTGTGTGACGCCACTCCTAATATACAGTCTTTGATATAAAGTCGGAAAAGCTTGAGTTTTATCTTGAATAGAGTACATTTTGACAGTCTAAAAGTAAATTTGCACATTTGGGACAATAACTTAAATCTTACTATTTATTCAATTTCTTGTGTAGGATTTAAGGCAAAACATGACATCGTAAGAGAATCAAAACATACTAAAATTTAACTATTCACCAAATTCATGTTTTTTTTTGGTCACTTATTGTATTTAAACTCTGGTATTTGTATGTTCTACTCCTTACTCATTGTTTGTCTAGTCTAATACAGGTAACTAGAATTTTGTTCAAAACTCAATTTACTTCTGGAACTCTATTTACAATGAGTATAATGAGAGCGTATATTAGTTTCACAAAGTAAGATATTTGTGATGTTGATAATTGGTTCACAGCTTGTAAAAACCCCAATAAAAACAACTCAGAAAATTGGAATGTGTTAAATGGTTTTAAGCCATGATCAACATTTTTACAAAGGCTTGGCATTTATCACTTGGCAATTATAATTATATCTATATATTATACTATATATAATATATAACAACAATTAGACTCATCACCTGCAAAGGACACATTTCTATCACTGCGCACGACAAAGTATCGTTTCAGTTGCCAGTTCCCCACGGTCTCATCCTAAATCAGAGTGTGTTTGTTTGTGTTTGTTTGTGTTTGTTTGTGTTTGTTTGTGTTTGTGTGTGTTTGTGTGTGTTTGTGTGTGTTTGTGTGTGTGTGCACAGGTGAAAGCGTACGGCCCGGGGCTGCAGAGTACCGGTTTGGCGGTCGGAAAACCCACAGAATTCACAGTGGATGCAAAGTTGGGGGGAAAAGCTCCCCTCAAGATCATCGCTCAGGTAAAATACACATGACGATACACCAGTGGTTCTCAACGGGAGGGTCGAGTGTGGTTTAAGGTTTTCGTTAGGAACTTTGTTAAAATATGTATACACAACATTGCAAAAAAAGTCAAATGAAGTGAAATGTTCATTTAGGAAATTAGAAATTTGTAATTACATTTTTCATAATTTTACCTGTGAAGTATATGTCATTACTTATTATATATTCTGAAAAGATACATTTGAAGGCATTGGCCTTCAGGCCTGAAGGTCGTGGGTTCAATTCCCACCTCTACACCTTCTCCACCGACTCCCACTGACTGCTGTCGTTGTGTCCTTGGGCAAGACACTTAACCGCACTTTGCCCAAAGCCCCCACTGAAAGATCAAGGCTATGCTCACACTCAGAGAGCAGCCGTCCTCCTGTGGACTCACCACCTGCAGAGGGTCAGTGAGGGGCTGGTGCTATGAGACTTGGGTGGCATCTGATTGCCACCCCCCTGACCCAGAACTGGATTAAAGGGTAGAAAATGGATGGATGGACATTAACTACTACTTGTTTGTAGTATTGTAAAAAAGCATATTGTATCTTATAAAAGAATATATTTATCTAATTTTTATTTATATATTATATTCCGTTCTTATTTGAGGGTCCCAAAAGCATTCCACTTGTAAACCACTCATAAAGCACTTTTGCATCGCTCCACTCTTCAGCCACTAGTGATCTGACCTATGTTCAATATTGGGTTGTCGTCAGGACGGTGAGGGAAACCCGGTGGAGGTCGAGGTCAAAGACAATGGAAACGGCACGTACAGCTGCAGCTACACCCCCAAAAAGCCCATCAAACACACAGTGATGGTGTCATGGGGAGCAGTGAACATCCCAGACAGCCCCTTCAGAGTAAGCACCGAAGCACACGCTTGTTACTGCTCAAATCCATTGTTTTTGTGATTCGCGAGTGAGGCTCTAAAATAATCTTTGGTTTCTAGATGAACATTGGAGCCGGCTGCCATCCCAACAAAGTGAAGGTGTCGGGTCCCGGAGTGTCGAAGACTGGTCTGAAGGCGTTTGAGCCCACATACTTTACTGTGGACTGTGCAGAGGCCGGACAAGGTACGGTGTACAAGCTGACATGTTATAACTGTCAGGATGGTCCACCTATGTCCTCTACTACACAAATGACAATCATTTTGAATTTTTCTCCAACGTAACTGTAAAAGTTTTCATCTACAGTGGAACTAAGCTCTGACCAAACCAGAGAACATTGGTATATTATAAGTTATAGAGGCTGAGTGATTGATATGGTTGTGTATTTTGCAGGAGACATCAGCATAGGTATAAAGTGTGCTCCTGGAGTGGTGGGTCCAGCAGAAGCTGACATCGACTTTGATATCATCAGAAACGATAACGACACGTTTACAGTGAAGTACACTCCCCCTGGAGCCGGCAGCTACACCATCATGGTTCTGTTCGCGGACCAGGTCAGAGGAGAAGGTGAAATGCATCCAAAGTCTGACTGTACATCACTGAACTGTGCTGTTGAACTGTTCCAGGCCATTCCCATGACGCCCTTCAGAGTCAAAGTGGACCCCACTCATGACGCGTCTAAAGTCAAAGCAGAAGGACCAGGACTCAGCCGCAGCGGTGAGACCCTCTTTGTGAACAACAAAACGCAACCGTTATAGAAATAAAATAGTGTGCAGAATTCACTACTTCTTGGTGGTAAATTGGTGTAGTCACGGCACAGTGGTACGCTTGTACCTCACAGAAAGAAGGTTCTGGTTTCGATTCCACCTCCTAGCCTTTCTGTGTGGAGTTTGCACGTTCTCCCTGTGTCTCCGTAGGTTTCCTCAGAGTGCTCCGGTTTCCATTACAACTAAAAACATGTTCAAAAGATCTGGCATGTGCCTCCTGTGTACTGGCAATCCCACTCCCATCTCAAATGTCCACAATGGCTTTGACTGGTCTGAAAGGCGCTTTATAAATAAAGGTTACTTGCCACTGATTCTTTTACCACCACCACCACTACCACTTTGATTCATACCAGGTCATGTGGGTAAAGTGTCTTGCTCAAGGAAACTTTGCACTTCAGTGTCACTGTGGCACCTGGTATTACTGCATTCTCTCTCTTTGTAGGAACAATTGGGATGGGGGTAGGAGTGAGTTTAAAAGGAGACCCCCTGTGTTATGCAGCCCCTCATGTTCCTCTTCCTCAGGTGTGGAGCTGAACAAACCCACTCACTTCACGGTAAACACCAAAGGAGCCGGAAAAGCCAACCTGGACTGTGCCTTCAGCGGCCCCATCAAAGGAGAGCTGGTGAAGGACTACGAGGTCATAAACAACCACGACAACACACACACTGTGAAATACACGCCGGTGCACCAGGTAAGCACACGCACGCACACACACACACACTCACAAGGCAAACGCAACACCAGCACACACACACTCAAACAGGGCCAACACGGCACTCACAATCTGTCTGATCTGTGCTTCCTTCAGGGCCCTCTAGGTGTCGCTGTCACGTACGGAGGCGACCACATCCCCAAGAGTCCGTTTAATGTGGCCGTGGCACCTAGTCTGGACCTGAGCAAAGTCAGCATCAGCGGCCTGGGAGACAGTGCGTCCTCTCTACAACACATCAACCATGTTCTTTTTAAATTCAGCTTCGATGACTCACTTTGATTGTATGCGCAGAGATGACCGTGGGCAAGGACAAAGATGTCACAGTCAAGTCCAAAGGAGCAGGAGGACAAGGCAAAGTGGGAGCCAAAGTGACCGGACCCTCGGGAAAACCCATCGCCAGCAAGGTACCGCAAACTTGAAAATCATTTAGAATGGGACTAGGCCAGTTGTACCGTTCCCTCTCCTCCCATCTGACTCGAACACCAACTCAATGTGCACTGGACATGACCGGATGAGATTGTTTTTTTCTGAGGCAAATACTTCAATACATTTGAAAGATCTTACTTAAAAAAATAATGAAAAAAATCTATAGAATATGCATTTGGATATTCTTGTTTGGAAAGTTTTTCTAAATTTTGATTGAAACCGAAATTTTTTGTTATTACTAATTGCTTTTGGGTTATTTTGTTTTGGAGTAAAAAAAAAAAAGTTGGCTGTAAAATCGACTCAATAGGAAGTTTTGGCACATATTTCAAAATCTAAATTTCCTGGACGCTGCAATAAACCACTGGACACACTAACATCTGCTCCATTTCAGGTGGAGCCAGGTCTCAGCGCAGAGACGGCTCATGTGAAGTTCATCCCCAGAGAAGCCGGACCGTACCAAGTGGAGCTGACCTACGATGGAGTGCCCATCCCCGGATCTCCCTTCACCCCCACAGCCTATCCCGCCACAGACCCCTCCAAGGTACACCACACTTCAAATCTGTCCATGCGTTCCAAAGAGTAACTCCTGAGATACATAAAATTGGTTCGACATTTCGGCACAAACATTTGCTTCCTCTTAGAGCTCCCCATTATTAGACAATTGAGGAATACGTTTTGTACATTAGTTGCTTCCTTAGGAGTTTCCTGATGCCCAGAACCTAATTTGTGTTGTTTTAAAGTTAAGTATGAGTCCTGCAGTTTAAGTTTTTGATTTACAAACATTGATATCAAAGTCACCTGCAACTTTGAAGCATGCAGCTAATGTTTAACCTTTTTAACTGAATACTTCGAAGCTGTGATACCAATGTTGTCTAATGTATAGTATGAGTGAACCCTTGTGCTCAAATATTAATTTAATTGAAGTGTTGTGGATAAACCAACAGTGCAGTTTAGTCAGATCAAAGTGATTTGCTGTAAATGTAAAGTAGTTATTAAATGGAGAAGTTACTAGGTACTTTCATTTTATTTTTAAAGGACTTTTTACGTAAAATAAAAAAAAACTGCAGCAGTGCTAAAATCAAGAAAAGGACTCGGATATTTACATGAATTAAAACTGGTGTAACGAAGGTCCACAATTAGACCCAAATTGTAAAAAAACCAATCTCATTCTGACTTTCTCTTGGGATGTGATATTTGAAAGTATAAAAGGTGAGGTACCGCAGCTTTAAACCAAATCTCCCCTTTATAGGTACGCTGCTCTGGGCCAGGGCTGGAGCGGGCCAAAGTGGGGGAGACGGGGGAGTTCATTGTGGACTGCACCAACGCAGGGCCAGCCGAGCTCACCATCGAGATCATCTCCGACAGCGGGACAGAGGCCGAAGTGCACATCCAGGACAACGGGGACGGCACGTACACAATCACCTACATCCCCCTGTACCCCGGCTCCTACACGCTCACCATCCGCTACGGCGGCCAGGATGTGCCCAACTTCCCTGCACGTCTCTCCGTGGAGCCAGCTGTGGACGCCAGCGGGGTGCGGGTGTTTGGGCCCGGAGTAGAGGGCAAAGGTGAGTGTCTGCACTGCCCTTAGGCCTGGGCCATGTTACTTGGACAAGAAGGAATAAATATGAGAAATGTTTCTTTGCGTGGATATTTTTTTAAGCGGCCAACATTTGCATTTTTGTTAAAGCAGGAATATGAAACCACAAAATTCTTACTTTGATAAAGAACCATGTAACTTGCTCCTCGCTCTCCAAATAGTTTTGATCTATCACTAGTTTTGAATTTTTTTTGCATCTCTGCCTTCTGTCATATCTTTAGATCAGGTTTTTCAGTGAAATGGCCCCCAATCAGCTCTCATTAGAAAACATGTTCTCTTTTACATACTGAGATAAAGCCAGCATGTTGTGGTCTGATTTCCTCACAAAATGAAACAAAAATAAACTCCAGCTTTAGGTACATTTTGGGTATTTGACCCAGTAGCTACATGAGTGGACAGCATGAAGCCTTTACATTTCATCACAGCAGGCACGACTTCACATAAAAACAGTAGCCAGGATTTGTTCATGTCATGGCTTTAGAAAATACACAAACAGTGCTGTAATACCATGTGTACAGTCTAAAAGGTCTGTGTATTTCAGGAGTGTACCGAGAGGCCACCACAGACTTCACAGTGGATGCACGGGCTCTCACAAAGACTGGAGGAGACCACATCAAAGCCCTGATCTCAAACCCGTCAGGATCTGGCACAGAGGCGCTCATTGCTGATCGAGGGGATGGGACCTACAGCGTGGAGTACACCCCCTATGAGGACGGTAAGGACTGACCTACAGGAGCACACCCCTACAAGCACAGTCTCCAGACTGTGGAGACTGAGACGTCTGCAACAAAGGACAGGATACAGGTGGACGCAAGTTGACAAAGTGGCCAGGGGAACTCTGAGCAGATAATCTCACTTCTATCAACACACGCTTCCAGACTGCTTCTTCTGCAACTCTGAAACCGATAACCTTGAATAAAACTGATACATTGACGTTTGTGTGTTGTGTAGGTCCTCACAGTGTGGAGGTGTGTTACGACGGCTCCCCAGTGCCTCAGAGCCCGTTCAGAGTGGTGGTGACTGAAGGCTGTGATCCTACCAGAGTCAGAGTCCACGGACCAGGACTGAAGGGTGGGATCACCAACAAACCAAACAAGTTCACAGTGGAAACCAGGTGATGTCACACACATGCACGCACAGTTTAGAACCTGCATAATTTATTTGAATAATCATTTTAAAGAACTGAAGCTAGTCAAATGATCTAACTAAAGATTTACCCAGCTAAAGGGAGATATTTGAGAGATTTGAATGTGTAGAAGGACAACAAAAAGATTTGTGTTTAGATATTGTCAATGGAAAGAATTAATGCTCTTCATTTAAAACCTAACCAGTGAAGTTGACGGTGGTAAGAATATTCACCAAAAAGTAACTGGTGTTTGACAGGCCTCATTTAAACTGTATTCTGTGACAGGGGGGCAGGCACTGGGGGTTTGGGATTGGCCATGGAGGGCCCATCTGAAGCCAAAATGTCCTGCACTGACAACAAAGACGGCAGCTGCAGCGTGGAGTACGTCCCCTACGAGGCCGGGATGTACAACCTGAACGTCACTTACGACAAGCGACCAATCAAAGGTCAGAGCCCCCCTAAAGCGCTCCGATGTAATCTCTTTGGTGTAGCAGACGTTTTCAGGCAGTTGTTGTTGGTGTAAAATATGGAATCAATTCAGCTACTGCGGTTTGGTCGGAAGGAAGATGCAGAATTTTGAATATATTATAATATATTGTTGAAAGTCGTGTCAAAGCCCATTAAAGTTGCTCCCTAAAGACTTTTTTAAAAGTGTTTTTTTTAACTCTTATCCCTAAATTACAGCCTTCTCTCTTCCGTGTCCCTGTGGTTTTTGTGTTACTGTGTTACTGTGTTACTGTCACTGTCTTGTATGAAATGTGCTCTACAAATGTGCCAATAAATCCTTGTGTCACAGGAAGCCCCTTCTCTGTCCCGGTCAGCGACACCGTGGACAGCACTAAAGTGAAATGCCAGGGCGCTGGTCTGGGCACAAACGTCAGAGCAAACATCCCCCAAACCTTCACTGTGGACGCATCCAAAGCTGGAGTGGCCCCACTTCAGGTGCGCGTGCAAGGGCCCAAGGGTGAGTCTGGCTTCAGTTATTCCTCTTCCTTTAAAAAGGTATTATAATTTGTGAAGGTTTAAAGATTGTTTCATGGCACCTATTTTATTGGTTTCATAAATAATTTTATTGGTGCCCGAGTTGACTTTCTCCATCCAATTTATTTCAGTGTAATTGACTACAATAGCGAGACTTGGGGCACTGTTCTGTTATGTACAGGAAGTAGTTTTCCACAATGTTATATTTAAAATGGACCCTGCCCTTGACAAAACTACAATAACCAACATTCACTTTAAATCTGAAAGCCATGAGTTGACCTCAAACTTTGTGTGGTCCCAGGATGAACGTTTGGGAAACGCTGGTATGATGCTGCCTTCACTGAAAGAGATGGTTATATTTAAATTGTGCCGTAAATGTTGTTAATTTTCCAGTTAGCTTATTTTGGCCTTTGTAATTGCTGATTCTAACAAGTTTCCCTGGATAAAAGCCCCCAACATGCAAAGGTTTAGTTTTTACTTGGATGGAGGATTGGATGGAGAAATGAGAGCCTTTTGCTCTTCCTTCCCAGTCACTGCTGACTTGTATCAGAGTATTTTATCTTTGGGAGCAGTCAAAAGAATAAAGCTTCAAACAAAAGCCATTTTTGTAGATATATAAATATTAACCCTTTCTTCACTAAGCACAGGCCTGAGGCTAAAGGTGAACTCCCATGTGCCAACATAGTACAACATATACAACATAAATGGTATAACATACAACTTCTCAACACTAGTGGGTCTGTATTTCCGCTACATGGGATTTTGGATTCAACTGAAACACCCAACACATTATTAATGATAACATAAACATGCGATTTCATTTACAGCCATGTTTAAGCTGACTTTGCGTAAAGGGACAGAACAATATGGTGGCTCTGAATATGGAACACGTTCATCACTTTTGTAAACTTGTAAAAAATTTGAAAGTCAAAGCTGGTGTTGTTGCAGGAGTGGTGGAGCCTGTGGAGATCGTAGACAACGGAGATCAGACTCACTCTGTGAACTACGTCCCGACCAGAGAAGGACCCTACTCCATCAACGTGCTGTACGCAGACGAGGAGATCCCCCGCAGGTGACCCACAGGATACTGAGGATGGGAACTAGGAGAAACGATCACTGACTTCATAATTGTGCTACCGATCTTTTTGTTCCATAAATATTACACATTTGTCCATTCTTAGGCCTAGGAGCTGGTTGGCTGAGTTAGGTTGGGCCTCTTTGAAAAGCTGATGTAACAGACAGAAACCTAAGAGGCATGCATGTAAAATCTAGTGAGCTTTGTTTTTGTTACCATTAAATAAATGTCTGATCCAGCAGCAAGTCGGTTCAATCTCCATGCTGCTTTATGCGGATTAACTTGATAAATAATGTAATATGGCACACACGTACACACACGTGTTAAATGCATTGGAAGAACGCATTGTTTGTCTTGTGTTTCAGTCCATACAAAGTGAAGGTGCTGCCCACCCATGATGCCAGTAAAGTAAAGTGCAGTGGTCCTGGCCTGAACACCACAGGGGTGCCCGCCTCCATGCCCGTGGAGTTCACGATTGACGCCAAGGACGCAGGAGAGGGGCTGCTGGCTGTGCAGATCACTGTGAGGCCTGGGCACTTGCACTGTTCCTCATCACAAACCGACCTGCCCTTGAGTTTAGCTCTTCCCTACATCAGGAACTCAAAACTGACTATTTGAGAGTATTCTATTCCCTAATTTGGCTTAGCGGCTGGTGTGAAGGGAGACCAACCAGTGCTGCTCCTGGTTGCGCGTTCATTGTCATCCTTGAAGTTAGTGCCAGATTCCCACCCATGGAGCCTTTAAATTGGCTCTAATCCTCCATGTAGCCCACATGAGTTTACTCAAAATTCTGATTTCTAAACTCCATGATAATGCCAACTCTCTGAATGTTAGTATATTTCTCCTGCAGTCAGTGCCACAATTCTAATTGGTATATCTCCCTAGATATCCAGATTATCTGCGCTATATTGATTTGAGTCAAGTCTAATTTAGACAGAAGTGGCGGGGCATGTGTCCGTACCAGAGGTTCTAGGATAATTAGAGTGGATAGAGTTAAAAACAACTCCAGGTCTGTTTGAAGGGGGAACATTCCAGTTAAAAGCTCAAAGGAAAGTTCATATTAGAACGTCTCCTTTAACCCCCCCTCTGTACCCCCCAGGACCCAGAGGGAAAGCCCAAAAAGGCTGAGATCAGAGACAACCAGGATGGGACATACCTTGTGTCGTACGTGCCAGACATGACCGGCCGATACACCATTCTGATCAAATACGGAGGAGATGAGATCCCCTACTCCCCCTACCGCATCCGTGCACTGCCCACCGGGGATGCCAGCAAGTGCATGGTCACAGGTACGAGCCACGTCTGTGGAGGTCTCACACAAGATGGAGGGCATGAATGTCTTGTCTGACTCTTTAAAAGATGCTGATCTGTTCTTTGGAGCACAAAGTCTTTGTCCATTATTGGCAAGTTTCAGCACAAACTGGTCCCATCACTTCACTGTACTGAGCCAGTCTTATATTAAAGCGATATATTAAATTGAAATTTTAAAGACACATTATTGGGTCTTATAGAAATGAGCGTGTATAAAAGCAAAATCGTCTCGACATACTCCTTATGAAGCATACCTTTTGGTTATGTTTAATTACTGTTAAAGTTGGAAAAGTCACTCAATAATTTATTTTTTTTATTAATTTTCTTTATTCATGACATTTTTTCTTCTGAAGACTTTTCAGTGATAGGTGTGATGAAGGGCGGTGAAACGGTTTAACCATACTGTAAAAAAACAGCCAAGTAGTTTTTACCCACAAAATAGATTTTTGCTCGTGCTGTCTTGCCTAAAACTACAGCCGAAAACCCCACTGCAAAGAACTTATATGATGAATTATCACAAAAAAATGATTGGAAACCATTTAAAAGCAACGTGCAGAAAGAACATTTCACTTCTCACCATATTGCACTAGTTTTCCCATTACACTCTTGGTGGTTTTTGAGTGATTCCTGGATTTTAGATCCAGGAATCAGGAGTTTAGATCAAGCCCTGGCGATCTAAGATGGTGCCCTATTTAAATCAGTGGCTGGTGCTCAGTGGCGCATGTGCCACAATTGAGCACCATAATAAGTGGAACTTCCCTATATTTCAGACCTTTTTTATTTCCAAAATCCGACTTTTAAAAAAGGTGTAGGTTCTATGTCAGCTAAGGTTGAGCTGTTTTTAGTTTACATTTAGTTCTATGGGACAAATTTCTGGGTAGCCCATGTGAATTTAATTATGTTTAGTCTGCAGTGCCGCGAGAATCCCCCGAGCACATGGGACCTTCAGCTCCAAGCTAGTAATACCCTATCCAGATATTCGAATAGATCCAGGGTCTAGATACAGAAGTGCACCAACCAGTTTCTTTAAATGGTTTTTCGCTCCTAATGGAAAAATGTGTTGGCTATCAATAATGAGCCACATATGTCAGGGATGCCCACTTTAGCAGACTGATGAATGTTATATCTTCTTTAGAAATGTATTCACTCCAATCACGTTTGTTGATTTTTGTCTGAAATGGCACAAATGTCGTTTACTGTAATTTCCACTTGTGTATGTGCACACACAAACACAAATTACAATGCTGCTTCTGTCTCACGCCGTCTTCCCTTCACAATAAAAACAACCATCTTTAAAGTACTTATACATTTTTGTACCATTTAATGAGTACAAACAGCGAGCTAAAGATGCGTTTTTCCGGCCTCGCGTGGTAATATGTCCTTATATATTCCCCTTTAAATATCCAGATTATCCATGCTATATTGATTTTTAAGTTTAATTTTTAGGAAATGGTTTACTTTTCTCTACAAAATCTTGATTTTTGTTTGGCACGTGTGCACACGTGCCAGTCTGTGGCCTATGCCAATTTAAATGGTAGCTTTTAAAGGCAAATAAAATAACAATTCTACTCCTGCCTCCGGTGGTAGCATAGTGATGGGGCAGGTCAATGGCATTATTTGTCCTTCATACTTACAGAATATTTTATCAATTGAAGATATTCACATTCAAGGAAATTGTCAATATATTTTTTGATGCCAAAAATAATTGATTTCTTCTTTGAATGAACTCAGTTTGAACTTGTTTAAGATGGTTGTTTTCCCCCTCTCCCCACATACATACACATTCACACTATCTCATCAGTCCCATCATTAGAGTGACTGGCCACTCACTGCTGCTCCCTGCTGACTGTTTTTGTCACTGTGTTTTTGCTGCTTCTCACCCGCTCTGTTGCTCAGTGTCAATCGGAGGTCACGGTTTAGGTAAGCCTTTTACACGCTTTTATTTTGTTCGCCTTTTCACTGCAGAACTGGAGATTTAGAGATCTGGATGACTTGAATTCTGAATGTGAAGTTCATCACCCTGTCAGTCAGTGTAGGGGCCGGTGTAAACGTGTATTTCCGACACCCTGCTCAAATGCTTCACTGGCTTCTAACTCAGAATGTCATACTTCTACTTACCATTGTTCTTTGGATTTTAACATGCCTAAAGGCCCCTGGGCTTACTCAGCATTGTGGCTCCCCCTTCAGAGACAAACTTAGAAACTCATACTGTACATGTGTCAAAGATAAATGTTATTTGACATATTGTAATGTGTATACCCACATCTCTATCTTTTAATGCAAAAAAACTACAAAACAATTAGGCAGATTGTTTTGGTTATTTAATGCCATGCTTTTTGTTTGTATATAGATAGCCATTGCAAGCCCTGTGGATTAGAAGTCTATGATAACGTCCACATTTGAAACCTCTACAAGAGCTGTTCCATTAGTGCCTTAAGATGGAAAACCATCATACTGGGTTTTCAATTACTCTTTACTTTCTGACCTAGCCCCTAATCGGAGAAGTACATTTCAATAAATGTTAACATCGAGGAATTGCACTTTATATATAGTTCCCTTAACTTGCTTGCTTCATATCTGGAATCAGCAGATATGAATGCCAACGTTTAAGATTGACAAAAGCATTGTAGAGAAATGGTACGGCATGTATTGGACATACATTTTACAACCGGTCTCAGATCAACTGAGTCTTCCTCTACGTTGAGGCATCAAATCAAACAGGATTCAAATTCAGCCTGATTCCTATTTGAATTCAAGTCTAAGCCAAAAGCTAGATCTTCTATGTTCTGCAGTGTTCTTGTAGCATGAGAGATGGCAGCACAGACCGTCCTTCTGTCTCATTCTCTTAAATGTATTAATGTATTCAAACTCCCTCTTCTGAATGATGTACGGACTAACTGCAGGTCTGGCGCATGGTGGAATGGCTTATGAGGGAGAATGTGTCAAAGTCCATAGTTTTTAAGTCTTTCAACTGTCCCAGGATGTCCTGTTGACTCATTAACTCCATGGATGTAAAAACTAAAATCCCTACATTCAAAGTGCATATGGTGTGTGTTTGTTTAGGAATATGCAAAATGTCTAAGACCTTTCAAAATTCATCTAATTTTAGAGTAGTCATTATGACTTTTAAAAAGTAACTTACCAAACACTGGACAATATATGCAGTCATGGAAAATAAGTTATACCTTTTTTAACACACACATCAGTCCATCATTGAGTGCCCAGAGTACCTAGGCGCCATGTAAATAAAATGTATTATCATTGACACACTAGTCATTACATTATAATGGTCCATTAAAAAAATCCCATTGACCAGCAGAAGCAAGATCATCATATGCACTTGACCTTGGCTTGCAGTTACAGTAAATGTTTTCATCCATTTTGTTCTTCGTCCCTCGGCCCGTCCTCCTGGGTCCTTGTTGCCCTGTGCATGCTTTAGGCCTGTCATAACTACATATCTACTTACTTACATAATATACTGAAAGTTATCTCAATATTTGTGTTCATGTTTCCTAACAATTTGCTGTGGAGAATTGAAAAGCTTTTATTCAATTATATTCAAATTAAAATGCAACCAGCTCAGTGCACTGCAAAAATGAGTGAGTTCAAAAGTGCTTGAACTGAACAGTATCGATCTTTGACTATAACTTTGCACATACATGTTCTGCGTCTCACTGAAAGTTGTAAAGAATCGTGACTGGAAACTCAAAACTAAATTAGGGGCAAAATTTGTACAACTGTGCTTTAATTGGATTGTGCTACATTGGGATTTTCAAATTGCTGTACTGCGTTTACATTTAATTCCAACTTCTACCACTAGATGGCATTGTTTTCAAATCTAGCCATCTCTCAATTATCCATATATGGAATAATTTCACACATTAAAAACTGAAATTCCAAAGTAAAGCTTTTAAAATAAAGATTGTTGGACTTTAACCATGATTTACTATCTGTACACATTCATAGAAATTACTTATTCACGTTACACATTGGGTTGTTTTAATTAGAAATACTTTGTAAAATTAAATGAGTGTCAATTATAGAATCATCTGACTCAGAACGTTTAGGTCTATGTAAGGTACAAAAAACAAATTATTGGTTACAGCCAAAAGATTGAAATATTCACTTCAAGCACTTTTCTGTGGCATCTTTAGATTGATTTAATTTAGAGATTGTCTGTAAATGTGTCGCTATGACAGGCTTACTAATACAGGGCTTTGTGTAGTCAAATGAACGCTCCTTGCTACATGGGTTGGAAGGATAGGTATGAATTGAACATAGCCCCCGGTTGTATTCTCATATTTGACACTCACCTGAGCCCCACTCCCTTCTCTTCCAGGTGCCGGCGTGGGCCCCACCATCCAGATCGGCGAGCAGACTGTTATCACAGTGGATGCCAAAGCGGCGGGCAAAGGCAAAGTGACATGCAGCGTGTTCACTCCGGAGGGGGCAGAGCTGGACGTGGACGTGGTGGAGAACGAGGACGGAACCTTCGACATCTTCTACACGGCGCCTCAGCCTGGAGAGTATGTGATCTGTGTGCGCTTCGGCGGCGAGCACATCCCCAACAGCCCCTTCCAAGTCACGGTGAGGCAGTTTTAACGTATGCATTTACTATACTACAAAAAAGTCATATAGAAAGAAAGACGTTTTTTAGGGGGGATGTCCTTGAAGTAACATTAAGAAACGGAAATCACCGGAATATGTTAAAAGGTTTTATTTTTTTATATTTTATTTTAAAGACAAATGCACTTATTTAAAGCTTTGTACATCCATTTATACTTGATTCCAGTTAGTTAGTTCATAGGTTTATATGATTTGGGTTGAGGCTTGACTTAAGTTTGTACAGCCTAAATGTTCTCCAAGGGCACTTTAGCAAAAGCACGAGATTCAGACCAACGGAACAAGATGGATGGTATCACTGGATTGTGTCCACAGCAATCTGCGTTTCTCATTTACGCTTCACGTATCTGCACAGCTTATTGTGCATAGGGTAACTCCTGTAATCGGTTCCATCTGTACTTCTGTCTGATGTGTGTTTACTGCCCTCTGGTGGCTGCAGGCGCTGGAGGGAGCCCCGTCTGACCCCTTGCTGCAGCAGAACCAAATGCCCCAGTACTACGCTCAGCAGCCCTGGGTACACGCACAAACATTGTCCTCAGTTTACCCTCCATGTGTGTCAGTCATCTTCAGTCTCAAGTCATGATTCCTCTGCTTCTGTTTGGATCTAAGGAGACATATAATGCGCTTTATACCTCAATGTGGACATTCAGTGCTAAAACGTCGATAGTAACATGGTCTGTTAAAGTATTCTAAGGTGATCTAAAACAGCCCTGAACACATCTCCACACCTTTGGTGTAAATTTCATCTCAAAGAGCAAAAAATATGCTCTTTACAATTGAATTAAGTTGAATGTTCATAGATTTTGATTGAGACCTAGAATTGTGTAATTTCACTCTTCTACCACTATATGGGGCTAGTTATTAACTGTATATCCACATATATTCTATAAGATTTCACCTTCTTAATAAAATTGAGTGTATACTTTGACTTTTGACAGGACAATGCCTAATTTTGCCAAAACCAATTCCTTTCTAATTATTAGGCAAATGCTATGACTCAATCAAATATTTACTGTAATTGAAGATGGATAAAGCATCATATGTCTCCTGCTCCACACCTGTACCTGTGATAAATCCTGGTGTGGATTTGGTCATGGACAGAGCTCTGCTCCATGTTTGAGAAGACCATTTTGACTTGTTAGTGATGTGGCGCTGGCTTCACATTCTGCAAAATGGCCCCTGGGTTTTGTCCTTCTCTCCTCGCGTCATCCACTCGTGTCCATCATCCATCATGTCCGAACTACGCACTACTAAGCCTAAAGAAAGAATTTACTAGCCTATTATCATGGGGCTTCAAAGCAAAAAGAACTCATTGGGATTTGCAAATTATACATAAGAAAAAGGGGACAATTTACAGCTTTTAGACCATTTACAGCTGTACTGTGGCTGTAATGGATTGATTCAAATCCTTAGTTATTGTATTGATATGAACATTATAAATAATGTTCATATCAATACAATAACTATGTTTGGCCTTGTGTCAAGGTGTATTTTAAAAACCAATCACTTTTTTAACCCTCCCCACTCCTGCTTCCTCTGTGCACAAAAAAACATCTTATGGTGGGGCCATTTTACTATTTCACAGCAGTGCGGTCACATTTCCATGATAAAGCTAGTACTTTCTTATCTAAGATGTAAAAAAATGCTTCCTAAAGGCTTGAGAGTGCGCAGTTTGTCATCTCCTAACTCTTCTCTCCATGCCCTGCGTCCGTGTCTTCATTACATTGGGTTTCGGGAGCTTGGTTGCACTCATCATTTCCATAGTTATTTGGGTGATTTTTATTTATTTATTATAATTAATATTCGTGGCTGTTGCAGGCGACCGACCGACCCATGGGGATGAATGGCCTGGACGTGGCTGGACTCAGGCCTTTCGATCTGGTCATTCCCTTCACCATCCAGAAGGGGGAAATCACGGGTAACGGCAAGGAAACGACACACTTGTTTTAGAAAGAAGTGATCCAGATTTAGTTTGCTCCTCTGAGCGGTTTTGACTCGGGATGGAACCTTTCTGGAATTTTTGGTTAGAAACTTTTCATGCGTATGAACAGGTATAGAGCATCGAAGTTGAGGTTTCAAATAGTTAACTACTGTGAAATAGCTGTCGTGTGAGAGTGGTGCTCTCGTTGTTCACTCTTCTGTCTGAAAAAGATGATTTAAAGACGTGACAGAGGCTAGAAATAAAAACATTTGAAAACTGTTTGGATCCTGCATTGTATGGATTTAGTTTTGTAATTTTTGTTTGTAGATTTCAAATTGGGTTCCCACGCTTTAAGCTGCTTGTTTTTATTCACAAATTATTTGCACAATTTAGGTTGTATTTAGTTGCCGATGTGTACATTTGGCTCCACCAAAATGATGCGGTAGCTACAGCAGACAAATCTGAATGAACCTGTGCGTTGTTGAAGGTGAGGTCCGCATGCCATCTGGAAAAGTGGCCAAACCAGAGATTGCTGACAACAAAGACGGCACGGTGACGGTGAAGTACGCTCCGGTGGAGGCGGGGCTTCACGAGATGGACATCAAGTATGACGGCATCCACATCCCTGGTACGGCCACACCCTTTAATTTCCCATGCTTTGGACGACTTCAATAATCAAAACTAACACTAAGCATAAAAACAAGTTAATTTCTGAAAGTATCGACACTGAAATCAGGACAAAATGTGAGATTCTTGTTTTGCACTGCTGCATTATCTTCTATATCTAAATGGCAAAATGGCTATTCGCAATTTTTCTGACAAACATTCCAATGTGATTTAATCTGTTGCACTCAACAAGATCCAACTTTAAAATTGAACGGATTAATTTAGGAAATATGAATCGATGAGCATAATTTCAGAAGAGATTTTTTCAGTGATATTACAGCATAAATGTATATTATTTTAGAATACTTAAATTAAGTTTTGTAAATGTATTTTTTTCTCACTTAATAATATTGCACCATACAGAGATAATGCACTATACAGAGACATTCAAGAGAAAATTTAATAAATCCAAGTGCTTTTCTCCTTTTCTCGTTTTGCAGTTTGTATTGTATTGTTAAAAAAAAAAACTTTTTAAATGTGGTATCAAAACTGTTTTTACATTATAGCATTTTCATTATAATCAAAATGGAGTTTAATGTTTTAATGGTGACAACACGTCCCAGTCCCAAAGCCCTGATCTGAAGTCTGTGCCATGTGCCCACAGGGAGTCCGCTCCAGTTCTTTGTGGACTACATGAACAGTGGGAACGTGAGCGCCTATGGACCAGGCCTCATCCACGGGACGGTCAACAAACCAGCAGTGTTCACCGTGGACACCAAGGAGGCTGGAGAGGGTAAGTGTTTCAGCCGATCAGTGTGACCGTATGTCGTTATTGTTCACATCTCATTTGGACTGAGACAAAGCCACAATGCAAACATAATCTCACAGGGTTCATTCACATCAGAGAAAAACACCACCTTACACTTCAGCAATATGCCATCCACATTTCAGAGGTTCAAATGTGTCAATGTCAACATCAAAGAGGGCTCTCTAGAAGTCTAAAGTTATAACTCTTATAATGTGTCTCGGTTTCTGTCCCCGTGTGTAGGAGGTCTCTCCCTGGCTATCGAGGGCCCCTCTAAAGCCGACATCAGCTGTGTGGATAACCAGGATGGCACATGCACAGTGTCCTATCTCCCGGTGCTGCCCGGAGACTACAGCATTCTGGTCAAGTACAACGAGAAGCACATCCCGGGAAGCCCGTACGCCGCCCGCATCACCGGTGAGGGCGCTCTTCATTACAAATGCAGCAGCTTCCACTCTGTAAATGTGGTCATTGTGTTCATTCAAGCTGTATGCTGGTGTGAACATGGTCTTATGTTAAAGTGGCTTGCATTGGGGATTGTAATCGGTGTCATATCAAAACAATCAATCCATCGCACCCAAAGCATCAGAAATGTGACGATAAATCCCCTCCGCTGCTGAGTCATACTTGCTAGCGTTGGGGTCAGCTCTCTTCACAGCGTCTATCTTTTATTGAAGTTTTTCTTAAATGGCGTAACTGCGACTACCAACTCGATCTGCGTTTTTTTCAACAGACAATGGCTGAAGGAGACAAACGTTTCGCACTACACAAACTAGCAATTTCCTTTCTGACATGTCTGTCACAATCGGTGGGGACGGGTCCCGCCTCAAAAACGTCTATGAGCATGTGCGCTGACATACTTGCAATACCAATCTAGGCCGGTGGGGGTGGACCCAGAAAGAAAATTGTCCAATGCTTTTGTATAGAGTCGTCTTTTCTCTCAAAAATGGCTTTACAGGATGATCCGAAAGTCTGCTCTTGACCTGTCAATGCTGAGGGAGTATATTTTTTTGGACCACTCTAGTTTAGCCGCTGTGGACTTCAGAAGGCCCTCATTAAATTAATGGGGCTGGTGCCGGCTAACGAATGCGCAAATGCGTTAAGAAAACTATGAAATGAAGAGTATAGACTATGTGGAATAGTTTAATGCATATTTGTAAAAAAAAAAAAAAAAAACTAAAACAAATAATATATTCCTGAGTATGTTTAGAACAGCAAAGAAGCCTTGCGGGCCTTGAGGGTCCACCACAGGACATAGACCATTATCCTAAAGCAGTATATTACGATTTGCTGAGATGGGGTTGTAGGTCTTGTTCCCATCATGAGGGAAGGACTCTTATGATTATTTTATAATCATAAGAGTCATAGATATTTTCTACTTGCTTAATAATTTATCTCAAAAAGATATAATGTCAAAGCAGATATTCCATTTAAGGGCTAAACTGAACCCAGATAATCCAGATTGAGGTCTAAGGCGGTTTCTTCTTGTTCCCACAGGAGATGACTCCATGCGCATGTCGCAGCTGAAGGTGGGCTCTGCTGCAGACATCCCTCTGGACATCGGGGAGCTAGACCTCAGTCAGCTGACCGCCTCTCTGACCACTCCATCAGGACGAGAGGAGCCGTGTCTGCTCAAGATGCTGCGTAACGGCCACGTCGGTGAGGACCGCACAGATATGTTATGTTTGTAGGTCATCATCAGGCGGACAGTGGCTGCATCACCTTTACTGCAGCCTTGTGCTCCTGGTTGAATCCTGGGTCAGGGTCCTGTCCACTACTGCTGTGGACTCTGGAAGTAAATTGAAATCACGATCCCCATCGGAATTTCCAAAACTTAAAAATGATTATGGTTCGAAGGCATGACAGAGGCTACGATCAACGGTGCCGGTGTTTTAGGTTGAAAACTATTTTTTAAACATGGCTGTGGTCTTTCATGTTTATTCACGCATTCCAATTTACCGGTAACCATTTAGTATTCACTTGAAGAAAGCAATGGAATTTTTGTCTTTGATTTTCTAAGATGTAGGAGCACTAATAACACACTAAACACACACTCAGTGATCCATCACATGGTTGAGGAAATCATAAAAGGGTTGATGTTTTCAAAATGAGAAAAATAATTTACTTTATAGCAGTCTTTATCTTATGAGAAATCTAGAGATCAAACCAAATTGTTGGATGGATTTTATTATTCTGTTTGGGTTTGAAAGTGAGGTACCCCACTTTTACTTCTATTATTAAGGAGTTTAATATCCATCTCTCCCCCTGGCAGGAATCTCGTTTGTGCCAAAAGAGATCGGGGAACACCTGGTGAACATAAAGAAGAACGGGCGCCACATTCCCAGCAGCCCCATCGCCGTCATGATCAAAGCATCTGAGATCGGAGACGCCAGCAGAGTGCGTGTCACGGGACCAGGCCTTAGCGAAGCGCGCACCTTCGAGCCCGCGGAGTTCATCATCGACACCACAGACGCAGGTACGGAGCACCCCGCTGTGGGAGCCCCGCCCACAGTCTGACTTTGCTCATACTTTATCCATAAATCACTATTCATGACGTGGTGTTCTCAGGTTACGGCGGCCTGAGTCTCTCCATCGAAGGCCCCAGTAAAGTGGACATAAACACAGAGGACCAGGAGGACGGAACATGTAAAGTGACCTACTGTCCCACAGAGCCCGGAAACTACATAATCAACATCAAGTTTGCCGATCAGCATGTCCCAGGTGCAATTCTGACCATGATGGCCTCAAGCAAACATATATTTAGGACTTTACTATAATTTTCTTCAGTAAAGTTGCTTACAGTATGTCAAACTTCCAGGTTAGGCATAAGCTACAGAAAAGACAAATCTCAAATCTCAATTATTATGGAATGATATGTAGAAATATACTTAAGACGCTTAACCCCACTTTGCCTGAAGCCCCCACTGACAGACCAAGGCTCCTGTGGACTCGCCACCTGCAGGAGGATCAGTGAGGGGCTGGTGCTCTGTGAATTGGGTGCAGCTCTGATTGCCACCACCCTGACCCAGAAATGGATTAAGGGGAAGAAAATGGATGGATGGAGAAATATTAAAGACCTTATGCCGGGTTTGATTTATTTAGAAATAGTTTTAATACCATTTTATATTAGAAGAGAACTACTAAAGGTTTCAAAATCAATTGTTTTTTTTTGTCTGATCCCCCCCAAATCGAAATAACCCCATAGCAACGCCCTTAGAGACAAAAAAACTTCACAGCCCTTGGTGACGTCAGAGTGGGTACGTTTCAACGCTGTAAGTTGTTAACAATTTGGTATTCGTTCTTTTTTCGCGAATATTCAAGATGACAAGGTTGTGTACAGAGAGTATGAAATCACTACTAGATTGTATCTCTTCGTTGGCACTGAGATAGTCCAGTGGTTGTGTCGATGGACTGCCAATCCAGATACTGGGGTACAAATCCCACCTCACACAATTTCACTCTCAAAATGGCAATTTATGTGTAGTGAGCAATTGTCACCTGTAGAGTGCAGTATTGTGTTGGGCATCAGTGGAGAGAAGAGAGAAAAGGCAGTCCTGTGGCATAGATCCATGGTTTTCAATGACGTCACACACAGGTTACAGCATAGACAATTTAAATTAATGAAAAACACGTTATTTTTATAAAATATAGGATTTTTTTTGCCAGAATCTATTTCAGATTGTCATGCAATTATGATATCCACTTTTTTTTTTTTTTAAACCCGGCATAAGGTCATTAAATTAGTTTTTATTTGATCAATTGAATGTTTCAACTTTACTTCTGTGACTTCATAGGTTTGAGTGATTCAATTTTTTTTCATTGATGGCTTTCAGAATTATGGTTCCATGTCTGGTTCCATGATGACATCATTAGCGCTATCTGCCAAAGTTTACCTTTTCCCACTGTGTGATTGTCAAACTATTCCAATAAGTCGATGGAAGAGGACATTATATAACCTGTTCATACTAGTAACATAATTGTTGCATGTGTCTACTGAGCTAAAGGCGACATAACTTTTCATGGAATAGTCCATAGTGGTGATTTTAGTGGATATTCATTATCTACGTACAGTATATTCTGAAATGAAGTAATAAAATGTATAAGTTAACATAATGTTTTTTTTTTTACTACAGCGCTGCAAAACAAAAAAACCTAGTATCAGAAAGTACTGAATATAAAGTTATGGTTGAAGTGGTATTGGTAAATTCCTGATATTTACCAGAGGCTCTGTCTCGCCAACAAAAGTTATCACCTGTCACATCCACCTTATTTGTAATTAAACTGTCTTATTTAATTACGATCAATCAAAACAATTCATTTTTCCTATTGAATTGAAAAACTAAATGAGTTTCTCCCACTCTTGTGTGTGCGCTTACAGGCAGTGCGTTTACGGTGAAGGTGACTGGAGAGGGCCGCATGAAGGAGAGCATCACGCGGAAGAGGAGAGCAGCGTCTGTGGCGAACGTGGGGAGTCAGTGTGACCTGAGCCTCAAGATCCCTGGTACTCACTCTTGAACCGTTTTAACTTTACTTAGACTCAATTAAAGCCCTTGCGCTGCCCCGTTGTTTTTCAAGGTGTGAATGTTTATAACTTTCCCAACTGGACTGGCCCTGGCTCATTTAGACCCTGGCTTGTTATCAACCTGAAGGAGCCATGGGTCAGAGCGATCCTAAAGGATAAAGTTTTTGGCTTCGATATCAGGATTATTTTGTTTTCTAGGCTCAAAAATGTGGCTTACTCATTAAAGTTTAGCTGGGGTAATTTCTTCTTTGGTGTCAAACAAAATGTATTTATATCTCAACAGTTTGTCAAATTTTACCACATCATGCTTTCTTTATCTTATTAGAAAACATTTCTTTTACACTGAGCTGGTTCTCTTTTATCACTTCTGTCTAAAGTCTACATCTGTTAGACAGTTATAGAAACTAGTGATTGAACCAACCTATTGTGGGGCAAGGAATTGGTAAGGGGTACATTTATTGCATAGTACATGTTTTGTTTTTCAAATTCACTTTTAATTCTGATAAAGTCCCAATTTTTATCTGATGCTTCTGTAAAAGCCAAATCTTTGTTGCACTTAAGTCAAAGTTTGAAACGCAGCGGTCTAACAAAGTGTCTTGTGTTGTCCTTAGAGATCAGCATTGCGGACATGACTGCCCAGGTCACCAGTCCCTCAGGGCAGATCCACAAAGCAGAGATCATGGAAGGAGACAACAACACCTACTGCATCCGCTTTGTCCCCACTGAAACTGGGGTGCACACAGTCTCCGTCAAGTACAACGGATCACATGTGCCCGGGAGCCCATTCCAGTTCACTGTGGGGCCCCTGGGAGAGGGAGGAGCCCACAAAGTCAGAGCAGGAGGACCCGGGCTGGAGAGAGCTGAGGCGGGTGTGCCAGGTGAGCTTCTCATTTACAGTCAACTTTCATAAACCCCAGGGAGCGCTTTACTCTTGTGTCAAGAAGACTCGCCCGCTTGCTCCCTTCTCTTTTGAGAGCGTTAACACCAAACCAAAAAGTACTGGATCCCTCTCCTCATGTAAAATTGTTTATGGACCTTCAGCTTTCTGACCCACAAAAACCTGTGGCTGTCTTCTTGTGTCACAGCCGAGTTCAGCATCTGGACCAGAGAAGCAGGCGCCGGTGGCCTCAGTATTGCGGTGGAGGGGCCCAGTAAAGCAGAGATCTCTTTTGAAGACAGAAAAGACGGTTCTAGTGGAGTGTCCTACATCGTCCAGGAGCCTGGTGAGGAACAGCACACAACAACCCAGCACTTTCCCTGCAAAGTCTTTAAGCAGCAAAAGTGTGATTACAATCAAACACTGTTAAACTCAAATGTTTGTGTGTCACTGTCGTCGTCTCGTCTGTCCCTGTCCTGCTGTCTTCCTCTGTTCTGGTCCCTTTGTCTCCTTGTGTCTGTCTGATCCCCTGCCTCACCCCCCCCAACAGGAGACTACGAGGTGTCCATCCGCTTCAACGAGGAGCACATCCCAGACAGCCCATTCCTGGTGCCCGTGGCCTCCCCCTCGGACGACGCTCGCAGACTTACTGTTGCCAGTCTTCAGGTGAGACTCTGAGATGCACACACGGCCAAGAGCGCCTCCGCAGGCTGCCCCCGGAGCTGCAGGCAGCAGCAGCAATAGCAGTGCACAGAGCCACTACATGTGCAGCCCTCAGATACCTAATATTCAGTATTTAGTCAATTTTCTAATTTAAAATCGTATTGGACTTTCCAGTAAACTTCCTCATCTAGTGGTAGAAAGGGTGAATTTACTCATTGGGAGCCTACAGGTATAAAAAGCCATTTGCCTGGGTGAAATTCTACAAACTAATGCAGGGGGAAAACTTACAGTATGTTCAAAATGACGTATCATCTGAGGATTTGTCTTAGTGTAACATGTTTGGAAAAGGAGTATTTGAACAGATTGGGAGAAGTGTGTGACACTAAAAATGGCTCCGGGTCTGATGAGGGGAAATGTTGCAGTCACATTCAAATTTCTAAAGTGTACCTTCTATCTTGCCATAATTCAGATGCTGTAAAACAGTGTTTCAGACACTAGTGAAGCTGAGAACAGGTATTGTTTGAGCCATAGTTATTGTAGTACAGTGAAGGTGCAACAACCACTCTAAATACACCATGAGTGGCAAAAAAGGAGGGAAGAGTATTAGCGCCTGGTTTAAAGCCCTTTGGTCCACGATTGCTCCTCTCAGGTCTACATCAGTCCTAGTCAGTATCCAAGGCTCTGAAGCTTTGGCTCCTGCTGCTGCTGCACTGTGGCCCCAAGGCCCCCAAACACCGGACTGTGTGTGTGACTCGTGTCTCATTCTAAAGGCTCCCAACAGCTGCTCATCTCAGACAGGGGGCGCTAAAGAGGCTAAAGAGGTTCCAGGGGCTGCAGCTGTCTTTCACTTCTGCTTTACACACAAGCCTATATGCACAAACATTCACCATTATGTGTGAATATTTTGGTCCTAAAACATGATCTTGTGGTATATGTGTACTTTAACATATGTGTTGAGATAAAACATTCCAGAGTCACAAACGTTTACGTGTTTGTACATATTCATGGTTACCGAGGTTTAAGTAGGAGACACTGTTGTAGGAATTGCCCATTAAACTCTTTGCATCCTTATTTTTTAGTTATTGTAGCTAGTGTCCAATTCCGAAAGGCATATTATTTTTAACTCTCATTCTCTGCTTCACATTTCTTTCTTCTTCTCGTAGCCCTTCTCTTTAGCCTTTTTAGCGACCTCCAGGTAAGGACTATTCACCAAAAATAACATGACTCGAGTTTGGGCTTTTGCTCCCATAGTGCCAGAGTTGCAGTTATGTTGCCTCTGTGTGTGTATAAGTACACAGTAGAAATAGTAGTGGAAGTGTCAGTGTTGTTGAGTGCTGAGTGTTTGGAGCAGGAGTCCGGCCTAAAGGTGAACCAGCCCGCCTCCTTCGCCGTCAGTCTGAACGGAGCCAAAGGAGTGATCGACGCCAAAGTGCACAGTCCGTCTGGAGCGCTGGAGGACTGCTGCGTTACGGAGATTGACCAAGGTAACGTACCAAACCCACAAATATGTAAGACTTTTTAATGGACTTTATCAAAGACGCACTTGTGTTGCATGTTACCTGGGTTCCAAAGTGCACCAATTTTGGGCAGTGCACCTTGCTGAAATCTCTAGGTGTATATCTATCTTGCGTGTGTATGTGTATAATCTATTTAATATAGGGCTGTCAAACGATTAATTTTTTTAATCGAGTTAATTACAGCTTAAAAATTAATTAATCGTAATTAATCGCATTTCAAACTATTGGCAAAATTATGCCATATTTTTCTGTAAATTGTTGTTTGAATGGAAAGATAAATGACAGCTTAGTGAACATATGTACTGTATTTGTTTGTTATAACAATAAATCCATATAAAATGGAATTAACATTATTAACATTCTGTCTTTCTGTCTAGACTCAGACCAAAACCATTGTTTGTTACAGATGAAGACCATTTCAAAATAGTCTGAAATGCAGAATGTCATTAAATCTGTTTGATTTGCTCACACCATTACTTTTTTTGGCACAACCAACATGAACTGGTAGTCGAAAGGAAAATTAGGTACCTCAGCTTTAATTTAGCGAGTGCGCTTTGGGAGGCTCCGCAGTCCAGCTACAGCGCTGTACATATTGTGTGCATCGGTTACGCAAAGACACGTACGCACAGAATAGTTCTGTAATCGTTCTGTGCGTGGTCTTGGATATGATCCCATTACGCAGCGCCGTTCGCCGTGATCACAGCCGCTGGAAGTGGTGCTGCTGTCCAGAGCGCTGTCACGCCCGCAGCTCATCATGCAGAGTTCATACAGGAAACTTACACACGCGCATTTGTCCGCGGCATTCTGAGTGTTATCATGGGACGCATGGGCATGCGTCAAATGCGTTAATTTTTTTAACGCGATTAATGAAAAAAATTAATTAACGTGCGTTAACGCGATAATTTTGACAACCCTAATTTAATATAAAACTAAAATTAGTGCATGTGTATCATTAGAGTTCATATAGTTTTATATTATGAGAATACATTTAAATATTTTAAATTAACTGCTAAAACATTGACAAAGGTTGTTTTATGCACATAAAGTTGTACTAATGGGACGAATCAAAGTCGAGGGGCGTTACTGACCGCCAACTCCCCGACGGCAGGTTTAGTAGATGCGTTCAAGAGCGCAGGGATAGCCATGCTTTTATCACAAACTGTCCTTTCTCTTTGTGCTTGCAGACAAGTACGCGGTCCGCTTCATCCCTCGAGAGAACGGCCTGTATCTCATTGATGTGAAGTTTAACGGCAGCCACATCCCTGGCAGTCCCTTCAAGATCAGAGTGGGGGAGACGGGACAGGCTGGAGACCCAGGCATGGTGTCTGCATACGGGCCAGGACTAGAGGGCGGGAGCACCGGTGAGTACTGTGAGGAGAGGGTTTTCTTTTTACTTGAGGATCATCATTAGGTTCAATAAAAATCAGTGAGTTGAAACTTTCATTCAGTTTAATCTCAAAATGATGAAACCATTCCACCTTGACTATTGATAAAGCAGGTGGAATGGGAAATAGCGGAATGTTTTCCTGTATTTTATAACTTGATGATGTAACTTAAAGTACTAATAAAATATATGTCCACAATATTAATGTATGTTGATGTAGGATTTTTCTGAAAGACTCCAACAGAACACAACAAAATACTTGGGCACGCCCTTCTTCAGTCTGAGTGCATTACATTGCCTTATAAACTTGAATGACTGCTGAATGTTCTCATGTGAGATGTTGTTAATATGATAAAATGTGAAAAACATTCAATCCATGTATAGTATAGTATAGTATAGTATAGTATAGTATAGTGTATAGGCTCAAGATTAAATGTAATTAAGTTAATTAAAATATTATACTGTACTTTCTATTAACTATTAATGCAGATTTGTTTGATATAGAAGTGAAAAGTGTAGCTCATATTGACCTGCTCCAGTGAAAATTCTCATTCTGAGAAAGAACCCTAAAGATGTGCAAATGACTGAAGGTTACAGTAGTTTGTGGTATTGTTTTTTTGTGTGGAAGAACCAAGTCAAAGAAACCACAGTAAGGGGTGTCTGTTGCTCTTGTCAGGATATGTAGTCTGTCCATAGCTGGTTCTAGAGCTAATGGTTCTTTCCTCATGTGTCTGAATGTAGGCACGGCCTGTGAGTTTGTGGTGAACACGAGTAGTGCGGGCCCCGGGGCCTTGGCTGTGACCATCGACGGGCCGTCCAAGGTGAAGATGGACTGTGTGGAGTGTTCAGAGGGCTACAGAGTCACCTACACCCCCATGGCGCCCGGAAACTACCTGATCTCCATCAAGTACGGAGGTCCCTACCACATCGTGGGAAGTCCCTTCAAGGCAAAGATCACCGGTGAGTCCCCTATAACTAATGTGCTGCTGGGGTACCTCACTTTGGGATCATCACTTTGTTGGGACAAAACTCTACCATTTATGACAGTCTACGTCTGTTTAAAACATCTAATTTTTGCCTAGTTGTTTGTTACTATATGACACTTGGGGTTGATTGCTGACTGAAGGTGCTCTTTTTCCCCTTTTAATCTGTCACATGCAAAACCTCATGATAGAACCAAAACTGATTTGAGACCAACAAACTTGTTGCTACTTTGGTTTTTCATATTTGAAAAATATTGATTAGTTTGAGGCCCCTGCTTTAGACAGAAATAATTTGATGGGATTTTTTTCAAACCCTCAGTTTCCCTGTTTTTTGATGGGGGTTAACATGTATAAATGAAGGAGTAAACTTATCTAAGAATGACATCATTATGGTCTAATTGAAGTGGTAAGTTTTTCATTCACTATTGAAATAATTGCACCCTTCGCAATTTGCCAATACCTCCTACATGTCATTTTTAAATGGGTCACTTGGGTAAAATTCAAACCTATTCACATTTGGAGCAAGAAGAACAAGGAAGGAGGTATTGATATGAAAATTGGATGCAGTCTAGGACTGTGAAATGCAAATCTGGAAACCAGCGTGGTCTTATCTGCACATCCAATGCATTGTCCCTGTTTGAGTATGCTGCTGTAGAGCGGTCTTTGACACAGTCTCTGTTTGCCTGCACAGGTTCAAAGCTTGTGTCCAGCCACAGTATGCATGAGACGTCCTCTGTGATGGTGGACCCACTGACCCGCTCAATCAGCTGCTCCCAGGCCGCTCCGCTCTCTGATGCCAGCAAAGTGGTGGCTAAAGGACAAGGTCTGAGCAAAGGCTTCATCGGACAGAAGAACAGCTTCAGCGTGGACTGCAGTAAAGCTGGTACGCTTCCCTCCACATACATACCTCCATACACACACCAGCATTAGGATGTAGTACACCTGCATGAACACCAGTCTAAGTTTGGAAATACTTTTGTTTTAAAAAGGCATAATATCAGTGACTACACAGAACTTGTGAAAACCAGATCACCAATTTAATTTGATTGAGCAGTAGTCGGCACATTGGCTGAGTGGATAGCACTCTAGTCTGTCAGCAAGAAGGTCCTAGGTTTGAATCCTGGTCGGAACAGGGACTTTCTGATTTGAGTTTGCATGTTCTCCCCGTGTCTGTGTAGGTGTCCTCCGGGTACTCCGGTTTCCTCTACCACTAAAAAAATATGCTCAATATGTAAAATCCACCGGCTCTGGTAGTCTTGACCAAGCCGAGCATCAACACCTGGAGATTGGTGCTGTACTACGGCGACCACTGCTCTTGACGTGAGCCTTTGTGGCATCAGGATAGGTTAAATGCAGAGGACAAATTTCCCTAGAGGGACAATAAAGTACTTACATTTGTACAAGACTCATGTAAGCCTGTGCGCTGAGATTGAGGTGTGAAACTCCAGTTTGTTTGACAAAACTTGTTTAGTCTGCATTCGAAGGGACAATGTACAGAGACAATAAGCTCAAAGACAGATATGTTCTGCACCAGAAGATAGCTAAAAAGCTAGTTTCCATCTGTAGTCCCTGGTTACATAAATAAAATACAGGGACACAGTAATGTACAATACAAAAGAAACACTTGTGTATTGTACATACTTGTATTGCCTGTGTGGAAACAAAATGTTCAATGTGGGGCGACAGTAGCTCAGTTGGTAGAGCCATTGGCCTTTGGGCCTGAAGGTCGTGGGTTCGAGCCTACAGTAAGACCTACTTCACGACTCCTGCTGATGACTGCTGTCGTTGTGTCCTTGGGCAAGACACTTACCCCCACTTTGCCTGAAGCCCCCACTGAAAGATCTCAGCTCCCGTGGACTCGCCACCTGCAGGAGGATCAGTGAGGGGCTGGTGCTCTGTGTTCTGGGTGCAGCTCTGATTGCCACCCCCCCCCCCGACCCAGAAATTGATTAAGGGGAAGAAAATGGATGGATGGACAGTTCCTAGATGTAGACTGGGAGCAGAATGGTCAGACAGATTTTGAAGCAAGGCCAAATTGTCAGGTTTTTGGCATATTCTGATTTGTAATTGTAGTCTGTGTAATGAGTTCATAAATGTTTGTACTTTAGATATTGGCGTGGATGAAGCTGAAAACAATGTTGCGCTTTAATTGTTTAACTTTAGTCAAACCTGTTTTTGGACAGTCAGAACATCAGGCAATATCATTGTAAAGAAACTTTTCTCTGCTCGTGTTGACTAAACATTTCTTTTTCTTTTTTTTTCCATCGTCCTCCTCGCCGCTCCTCAGGCCGTAACATGCTGCTGGTGGGGGTGGACGGCCCCAAAGTCCCATGCGAGGAGATTCTGGTCAAACACTTGGGGAACAGAGTCTACAACGTCAGCTACCAGCTCAAAGAGAAGGGCGACTACATCCTGGTCATCAAGTGGGGAGACGAACACATCCCTGGCAGCCCTTACCGCATCATCGTCTAAGAACACACAAAAACACTGCCACGCGCTGCAAAAATGTCACAAGACAAGTTCACATGTGCTTGAATAGAGTAGAAATTAAAGCTGGGTTACCTGATTTTCACACCACAAAATTTTAAAACCGTGGTATCTCTGAAAACTGTTTGAGCCATTACTACTTTTGTTTTGTATCACCTGCATGGTATAAAAAAACTGACTGAAAAGTGATGGAGAGATGGCCATCCCCCAAATCGGCTCCCAGCACCGAAAATGCATATTTCGACATCGCAGGGCTCTTTGTGAGTTTGTCGTACAGGGTGAAGGCAGTTTTGTGTTTACAAGGCAGAACTGTGGGGTTGGAGAAAATTGGGTACCCCAGCTTTAAAGCAAGATTAGCCAATGGAATAATGACACTTACAAGCGCCTCAAACTTATTTTTAAAATCATTTCTGCAGCACCGTCGTCTACAAATCCAACAAACTTCAAACCACTGCTTAAATGTCATGTTTACAATGTCACAGAACACACAGTTCAGTTACTCCTTCAAAAGTCGTCGCATTTCATCTGAGAAACAACGTGCACCTTTGTTTTTATAAACGAATCATCCGCTTTGTCCTTTGAAAAAATCCCAGCACTGTTTGAAAATGAATGAATGAAATTACTTGGAATCAGTTTCACTTCATACAATCTGACTTGTTTTCGATACAAAAAAATCTGTTTTTATCAATGCAGTTAAAAACTTTTTTTGAACTGTTGAATTGGACTTGGCAATTTCTAAAACGTCAGACTTAAGATTTAAATGACTTGCTGCCCTTAGTTCTCCATAAAATTGAAGGATGGATTGAATCACACTCTAGCCACTTTGTGTAATGTTGGAAATTAAAATTATTGATGAACTTAGTTGCCATTTCCACTTTTTTACACAAAAAAATAATTGAAATGTTGATTCAAATGAACGTGAAATACACTCTTCAGGTGATTTCTGCTCTAATCTTTACGTCAGCAGTGTTGGTGTTTTTTGTTCCATGTTTGAATAAGTCTTAGCAGAGTCCAGCTTTTTAAACGGAGGGTAAGTTACCATTTTGCACTGAAAAAAATCATGAAATGTCACACACAAAATGACAATCACAAGCTTCAATCGTAGTTTTTGCCAGTTAGTTTCACTTTCATATTTGTACGTTTACCTGCCGATGGTGTTAAAGATGTACCCTAATGTATATAAATCTCTTTTTAGATTGCATTTACTTATCTAGGCTGAATTGTCTCAATTGGATTTAGTACACATTCGACCAGCATCATTTCCCATTAAGTATTTTGACTATTGATAAACGCTGAAATTCCTGCAGTTATTGGTTGAAATAAGTTAAAATCTATTGATCAGTTCAATTTATGGAGGAGCTAATAATTGTAATATCCAATTATTTCTGGTCATATTGCGGATTTTTCACAAAGAAATCTTTGCATTGCGAAATACCACAACATTTGACATACACAAGGAAAATATTGTTCTGTCAAAGAAAATATCCGTAATATTTTGCAGTGTACATTAAATATTGCATTGGTAAAATAAGCATAGAATTAATCTTTTTTCAATTGTTTTGTGCCAGTAACAGCACTGCATGCACCTGAGGCTGTCACTCCTTTTAGAAATCCTGTCTGATAAAACCATAACTTGAACTTCACTCGGTCTTAAAGGGAACTGTTGAATGTGCGGGTGTCACCTTTTCGCTGTGTGCCTTATGTTTATGATATTAAATGATCTTTGTCCTAATTTTAAAAAGGCTTTAAAAGTGTTAAAGACAGTATTTTGATACACAATAAAGTTAAGTATTTTCTGTCAAATGTGTGGAGTTGTATATTTGATTCTCTTTTATAAATATCTCAACACATAATACAATACCCTTGTGCTGTCCTCAGGTAAAAATGAACGGTAACAACTTGTCATCTACTGATATTGACATTAAAAACACACATTTAGGTGACTATTTAGGTGGGGTCTAATTATGACCCCACCCACTCTGTACCACACCTCGCATTCCTTGTTCCTTCAAACCCCTCGAAAGTGAGACGTTCCTCCCGGTCTTGCTGCTTAAACAATTGAATTCGGGACAGTATATGTCATTGTTATTGTGTGTGTGGTAAAATAAGTACTACCTGGCTTCACCTCTGCTACCCCTTTAGAACCAACAAATGTACACAAAAACATGTAATGTCCTGGAACATTTAAAGTTAAGTCCAATGTTCTTGCGCACAAGTTCCTCGGAACAAAACGTGAAAAATCCAAGTCTGAAATAAGACCCCCTTATCTGAACTAAACAATGTGGATGTTAAAACAACACGCATATGTTTTGAAAGTATAAAAAACGTAACTCCTCCATCAGGGGGTCTAGTTGATGAGTGGTGAAGTACTGTGCTACCCATGTATCTGGCATCAACCCACTTCCCCAAAGAGATTAAAACTTGATGTCCTGCAATCCATACAGTTTTATTTCAGTTCTGGAATATGGGGTGCCGTTTGTAAAAATTCTGTTAAAATTTTTTAGCTGAACATTTTTCTACATTTAGCTCACTTTCCTCACATTTAGCACATTTTCCTCACATTTAAGACATATCTATATCTAAATATTATATCTATATCTAAATGTTAAATGTTATATCTAAATATTATATCTATATCTAAATGTTATATCTATATCTAAATGTTAAATCTAAATGTTAAATCTAAATGTTATATCTATATCTAAATATTATATCTATATCTAAATGTTAAATGTTATATCTAAATATTATATCTATATCTAAATGTTAAATCTATATCTAAATGTTAAATCTATATCTAAATGTTAAATCTATATCTAAATGTTAAATCTATATCTAAATGTTAAATCTATATCTAAATGTTAAATCTATATCTAAATGTTAAATCTATATCTAAATGTTAAATCTAAATGTTAAATCTAAATGTGTCGCCAAGTGTAAAGCTAAATATATAGAAACCACGCCCACTGCAGTGGCTTCAAATCCAGTGGGCCCGCCTTCCGTGCCGTGTGGTGAGAACCCTACAGGATTACACAGGAATCTCACGGGACTCCACGTGGCTTAGTTTACAGTGAATACACTCTGGCTCCAGCAAATAAGCAAGAATCTTCACAAAAATGCTAATTTTGTGCCGTGGCCAAGGACGATGGCGCCGGAGACCCAACATGCCTTGAGCCGTGACGTCGGTCCACGTGTATTCCTATGTTCAAAACACGCGGCACCGCCCCCACTCACCACACGGCACGGAAGGCGGGCCCACTGGATTTGAAGCCACTGCAGTGGGCGTGGTTTCTATATATTTAGCTTTACACTTGGCGACACATTTAGATTTAACATTTAGATTTAACATTTGGATTTAACATTTAGATTTAACATTTAGATTTAACATTTAGATTTAACATTTAACATTTAGATATAGATATAACATTTAGATATAGATATAATATTTAGATATAACATTTAACATTTAGATATAGATATAATATTTAGATATAGATATAACATTTAGATATAGATATAACATTTAGATTTAACATTTAGATTTAACATTTAGATTTAGAGGGCGACAGTAGCTCAGTTGGTAGAGCATTGGCCTTAAGCCCAGAAGGTCGTGGGTTCATTTCCCACCTCTGCACCTTCTCCACCGACTCCCACTGATGACTGCTGTCGTTGTGTCCTTGGGCAAGACACTTAACCCCACTTTGCCCAAAGCCCCCACTGAAAGATCAAGGCTATGCTCACAGTCAGAGAGCAGCCGTCCTCCTGTGGACTCACCACCTGCAGAGGGTCAGTGAGGGGCTGGTGCTATGAGACTTGGGTGGCATCTCTGACTGCCACCCCCCTGACCCAGAAATGGATTAAAGGGAAGAAAATGGATGGATGGATGGATTTAGATTTAGATATAGATATAATATTTAGATATAACATTTAACATTTAGATATAGATATAATATTTAGATATAGATATGTCTTAAATGTGAGGAAAATGTGCTAAATGTGAGGAAAGTGAGCTAAATGTAGAAAAATGTTCAGCTAAAAAATTTTAAAGGCGCTATACCCGTTTCTGCAATGTTTGAATGTTTAGCACCGCCCCCCAACTCGCTCACAGGCTTCTCATTTCCCCTGCGCTCTCATAACACGGAGCCACCTAGTTTTATTTGCGATCTGATACATATGCTAACATTAGCATTAGCGTAACTTGTAAGCTGTGCAACAATCACTGATGAAATGGCACTAAAGCAATGCACTGCTAACACAATATATAAGTAAAAGAATACGTTTCGCGTCCGGATGTATTAATTTAAACATTAGAATTATATTCTAATATTTAATTATAATTTATTATACAGCTCCTCAAAGCAGCAGCACTCCATTGACTTGAATGCAATTCTTCCGATCATTTTTTCTTGATAACAGAACTCTCAAACCAATAATGACCGCAGCCCCAATGCAATCTCTGTTTGTAATTCAGGTGTGTAAAATACTGCCATTACTTTGCAAGTACAACAAGCTATCAGCGCCTGTCACTACATTGTGCAGTTTTTCTGCACACTTGTCTGTGTAGAGAAGCTAGCGGAGCTAGCCACGCTCAATAAACAAATACATATCAATCAATCAACACAATTAAACGTCAATCGGACAATACAGTATACAGATACATCCTTAACACACATGCACGGACGATTTCAGAATTTGCTGTCAACGTTTTCATGACAAAAATACTGTTTTAAAGTGACAAAAAGCGATCGCGAAAAACCCGGAAGTTACCATGAAACAGCTAGCTAGCTTAGCTGTTACCTGCCTAGCACGTCCCGTTGAAACCTTTGGGAGCTAACTATTTTATTTGCAGTCATTAAATACATTTCTAATTATAAGGGTTGTCTAATATTTGTTCAAATATGTATATATTTTTTATTTTAGAATTATATTCGAATTTTGAAGTCGAAGCCCTGGTGTTAAGCAGCGCTGTAGAGGCTAGAGGACGCAGGCTGCTCGCTGCTCGTTCTGTGAGCGGAGGAGAACGAGCGTCCCGCTAAGACTCTACTCAGCACTTTTCACGGCCTGAATTTCATACATAGTGGAATCAATGACCTCAAGTTTTCAATTCAATTATGTATTATGATACAACTTGTATGTAGTAAAAAGCATTTTTATGAACTACTTAGAAAAAAAATCGGGTATAGCTTCTTTAACAGAATTTTTACAAACGGCACCCCATACTGGAAAAATATTTTAAAGCATGAATACATTTGGTCTCACAAACTCAGTTTGTTGTTGTGATTGTATTTTGTATGTATGTACGTCATCACTTTATCAAGAAAAATACCTTTTTATTAACTTTTAAGTACAAGTATGACATCACTGCTTTAACTTTTACCACAATGGAATTGTATACTGGTATCTGCAGTACTTTGACTCGCCTACCTCAGACTAGTGCTTCTGCACCCCGTGTCTGGCATTGACCTGAACATGGACCAGAACTATTTACTACAGTGGTTTTTCTTCCACTCTCTCCTGTAGTGTACATTCCTCTGGGTCTGAGCTCATCTCCGGCTCCAGGAACACACTTGGACCACACCCTTCAGCTGAAGCTCCTTTTTAGGCCTGGATCCTACAGACAGCGCCGCTTTGAGCCGACAGGGGGCGCTGCTGGCTTCAAAACTGTCCGGAGATGCAGACTCAGAGCAGTGTGCCATGGATCTATTATAAATACTATGCGCACAAGCGCCTTCGCAATGCATAGAAATAACTGTTTCTACATAAGACGGCCATGTTGGAATCTTCTGAATCATGCTTCTCTGATTAGATCAAATAGATCCACGAGTCTAACTGATCTACACACACGATATGTGTGTATGACAACAATCTGAACATCAACAATGCTGTTTATATCCATGTTAGACGTCCCTATAAACACTTCCTTGTGTGTTGCGTCTTTAATAATCGCGTATATAAACCATTGTTATAAACCATTGATATAAACTCGTATGAAACAAATGAAGGCGTGCCGTCTTACGCAACGCTCCAGCCTCACGCCCACTTCTTTTTTCAGAGTAAAACCCAGAGCCGCGCGTTTAAAAAGGTGAGTTTTGCTTTAATTTGATTTATTCTGTTGTATAAAACATACGCGGACATGAGTCGTAAAACTACAGCGCTGCAGATGCGCCGGATGCATCTGGAAGAAGTGCAAAGTTGAGCAGCGTCGCGGTTTCGGTCCTTATCGTTAAAACTTGACTCCATTACATCCTTCTACGCCTGCTTTTAAAGACGTGAGTGTTATGTTTTTCTAGGTTTCTCCTCCGCCGTTTTTCTCCAGTTTCTAATCTGTTCCCACGTGGATTTCATTCAAAACTCATTTTTGGGATGCGGAAAAGTGCGGCCCTATGTGCGGACAGATGCACGTATGAATGAGTCGCTGGCTTTTATGTGGTTGAATTGGAAAAAAATAAAATAAAACTGGGGACACAGAAAAGTAGTTTACAAAATCCTTATTGCAGATAAAAAAACATAAAAAACAGAATATCCACTTCCTACTAACGAGCCAATAGGACCACGAATAAGTGTTTAAAGCTGGGGCACCTAACTTTTTCCAGCAGAAACGATCTTGTAAAATTAATTCGTGAACAAATCAGAGCACAAATGTTTTCTTCACCTTTTAGAAAACATGGCATCTTTTGAAAATGTGTAAGATAGAGCCCTTGTTGTCACTGTTTTACTTTTTGGGATGAGAGCTGAGTGACAGTGGTCAATGATGTGACAGAAGCTAAAACACATGCATGAGAAAACTTAAGTGAGACACCCAAACTATTTTAGAGCCACAGACTATTGGTATTAAATTAATATCAGATTTCTCTTAAAAGCTACATATGTAACTGTAATGTGAGATCTAGCTGCCTGATCCTTTTGCCAACAAACTCAAGATTTAAAGATTGCTGCTCAAGAAGCTGATTTCTTCTCTCTTAGATTTGACTAAGCCTGGTGATGTCACTCCCATTTAGATGTATAGCACAGTTCTTACACAAGTGCAAAACATTACAAATCACACAAGGCCTTAAAATAAATATTACTGTGCATTTAAAAGAGTGAAGATACAATCCTTCAGTTTTATGCCCAGCTAAATAAAACTGTTTTCCATTTGGATTTGAATATTGACAGTAGAATCCTGTCTCACATTTTCAGTATGACTGTTCCAGATTTCAGCTGCATAAATCTGAAATGCTGCCTCCCCAAGTTAAGTCCTGACTCTAGGCACCAGCAGGAGGCCAGTCCCTGTGCTCCTCAGAGTTCCAGCAGGAGGCCAGTCCCTCTGAGAGCCTCTATTGTGGGAGTAACATTGGGCAAAATGGGGGTTGGTGGATAGATACTTCAGAAACACTTACTCAGCTTTTCCAATTGTTCATTTGGGACATAAACATTGTGCTAAGAGGCCTCTGATGGGTTTGCAGATGTCTTTGAGTGAGAAGACAGATGCTGAGCTCAGTGAGCTGCTGACGGAGTACGGAGTCAAACACGGACCTATCGTTGGTGAAGAGGACACTGCACATGTTTTAGGGGACTTACAGACGAGGATGTCGTAACGAGTGATTGTGTGTGTGTCCGTGCCTTTGTGTGTGTGTGTGTATGCTTGCAGACTCCACGAGGAAACTGTACGAGAAGAAGCTGCAAAAGATCCTGGACGAGGCCCCGGCTCAGAGCCAGTCTGATAAGACCTTCTACAGAGAGGGTGGGTCTGCAGCCTCATCTCCTTCTGTCGTCTAGTAAAGGGCGCTATGTTGGAATTCTTGGACGTTCTGATGAAATATCAAATGTACAAAAGCAGTTTGTCATTGTCATTGCACCTGGAGCAAAGGGAAGTCTGAAATATTATTTTAAACCTAATAATGATAATAATAAATTGTAATTCACATTTTGATCAGAAAAGGCCAAATTATGGTGTTTACATGTCGACCTTGTGTCCGGGGCATAGTTACAAGAACCATTATATAAGATGTAGATTGTATATCCATCAGCTTCTTTGATTTGGTTCCTGACTGGTTTGGACTGATCTAGACTTGAGTCCTGACTAAGACAGGTGTTGGTTTGCCGTGCTTAAGTCCTGGTAATGGTTTTAGCCTGGCCTCGTCTGTTTGAGTCCAGTGTATGTGGTCTGGTGTGTCCTCCACTGCAGAACACAGGAGTAAGAGTCGAACACAGGAGTAAGAGTAGAACACAGGAGAAACGAGGTAGGCGTTTGCAGCACGTAAGCGTTGTCGCGCAGCATATGTGTGTAACATTATGCGGCTGTGTACACACCGGCCGTGGGACGTGGCTGCTGCTGGCCCTGTGTGGCCAGACAACTGAGGTAGAGCAACAAAAATCACATGAATGTGTTTGTCCTCATGGTCTCTGTGAGCTGGGGTGGTCAGAGACTTAATGAAAGAAAAAAAAGATGTCTAGAATCATTTTCAAACCTGCCAGTCCTCCTCCTAATGTTTAGATACAAGTGCTGTGGGACTGATCCAGAGCCAAGGACCCATAGCAAAAACATGTTTCCCATGTGTTTTGACTGGGAGCCGCGTCACTGTGCGAACAAATGTAGGAATCCATTCTAATTCCGCATAACACTAGTGTAGATATCACCATGGGTAAATGGAAAAATCTGTCATTTACGCCTGCGGTGTAAATTCCATCCATCCATTTTCTACCCTTTAATCCATTTCTGGGTCAGGGGGGTGGCAATCAGAGATGCCACCCAAGTCTCATAGCACCAGCCCCTCACTGACCCTCTGCAGGTGGTGAGTCCACAGGAGGACGGCTGCTCTCTTAGTGTGAGCATAGCCTTGATCTTTCAGCGGGGGCTTTTTGGGCAAAGTGGGGTTAAGTGTCTTGCCCAAGGACACAACGACAGCAGTCATCAGTGGGAGTCGGTGGAGAAGGTGCAGAGGTGGGAATTGAACCCACGACCTTCTGGCCTTAAGGCCAATGCTCTACCAACTGAGCTACTGTCGCCCTAGTGTCGGTGTAAATTGTGTTAACCAAACATGTGTCACTGTTACAGAGGAGGTGGTAACCTACATCAGCTACAGCCCGGTGAGTCCAGATAGACACACACACACACACGCACACACACAGGTCACCTTCAGCAGCTCGCCCGGTGAGTCCAGCTGCAGACGGCCACACTTATCTCACACGTGTACACACACACACACACGTACACACATCACACTTACATACATGCAAACACACACTTACACACACTTTTTTTTATTTTCAGCCCTTTAACTTATATTCAAGGACCAAGTATCTGTTTCGGACCCCTAATTGTTGATTTTTCCCCATTATTATTTACACTGTTGTTTTTGAAGTCATTGTGACTGTGGTCTGAGGTGGGACTTTCTAAATTACAATCCTTCTGTGCTTGTATACACTCATTTATAACATTACAGTGATTACATTTAAGGACATGTATGCACATTTATTAACAATTATGCGCATTGGTCATTTGCTACTTATGGAAAAATTGCGCCTATGTGTTTGTTATTATTATATTTCATGTGTTAGAACTGATCCTCTGACCTGTGTTCGACAACTTTGTAAAGTCCTCCGAGACTACGACTTCTGTGATTTAGCGCTATACAAAAATTAATTCAATTGAATTGATTGCATGAGCACACTTGCTGAACTGCTGTGTTTTCTCTTTGCGCAGACTCGACTGGAGGCCTCCGCAGACGTGTGAGTACAGGTCTGATGCAAACTGTTGATTCAAGGATGAAGTGAATAATGCAGCATTTGTGTTTGAGTCAGGCTGAAGCACAGAGCAGGCATGCAGCAAAACCAAAACAGCCAGAGCTACCAGAGCTCCCAGTCCTACCAGAGCTCCCAGCCAAAGAAGCAGCAAACAGAGGCCACTGAGCTGCAGGAGTGAGTCATACACATGTCCAACACACAGAGATGAATTACACTCCCATCTAGTGGTAGACTTTACAATCCATTCTGCAGACTACAGGCACGTTCAGACCGCCGACGCTGAAACGCTGACGCCACGCACACCAGACGCACATTCTCTAATTCAGGGGTCTTCAGACCAGAAGTCCTGGCCTACGGTGGCGCCCGCCGGAAGTGGCGGAAGTAGCAGGCGGATTTTCATGCTAATGGTTTTAAGCTAGCGGCTTTTTGTGTCGTTTCGTTGCGTCGTTCTTCCCCTACTGCGCCTTTGCCGCGCAGTCCGTGCATCTCTACCGCGCAGTCCGTGCGTGCATCCCGAGACGCACATGCAGTTCCACGCTCGAACGCGCGTCACCATTTACTTTGCATTGAAAGTCGACGCAACGCATGATCCGGTCTGAACGCGGCTTAAGAGCTGCATGTGGAAGAGAAGTGGTAAAAGGAACTTGACTGGAATATTTACACAGTGTAAACACCAAGTTGGCTCTACTTCTCTACATGCAACATTGTTCTGAAGAACAACTAACTCTCTTGGCAAGAAGAGCACACACAGTGTGACCCCTGTACTTACTCATACGGGCTGTGTACTGGTTCTCCTGGCACCCCTTCAGCTGTTCTCTGTCCGCTCCTCGTTTAGCATCACACACGTCTCCTGTATTGTGTGGGTATATGAAAGGAGCCCTGCAACCCGCACTCGAGCCTTTCTGCTCCAGAATGTGTGGTCAATTTGAACATGATGTCACTCAAACTTGTGAAAGTAATAGCATTAGTAGCGGAACTGAAGTGTGTCTGGAAAAGTAACTGCATTGAATGAAAGCAAATGAGAGGGTTATGTCCCTTTGTCTTCGGGTGGGCAACAAGACTCTCTGTTATGGCAGCCTACAGGCCAAACCCCAGTGCAGAGTACCCGGACTTCCTGGCACCGACCGGGGACTCCATTAGCTGGACTCCCTAAGCTGTCTTTTCACTGCATCATTGACTACAGTTAAAGCTTAGAGACATAGCCAGTCTCTAAGCTGGCTTGGGAATGCCTCAGGCGTCCCCCTGATGAGCTGGAGGAAGTGTGCCTGGATCGAAGTCTGAGTGCCTCTACTTAAACTACTTTAACTCCGACCCGGCAAAATGGATGCATGAAAAATATTGAAAACTTAAACATTAATATTTTTCCAAAACAAATGTTTGTCTCTTTTTGAATCACAAAATTTTTCCTTATCAAAACAGAGAGTTCACACTAGTATCAGGAACTTTCAGCGCAAACCGGTCCCTCGCCCTCACAGAACACACTTTGAGCTAACTACTATTCTCAAAAACGTATTGTAATCTGCTGTCCTCTTGCCCTAGGGCTGCAGTGCTTCGCTCCGGGACTAAGCCTTCCCTTGCCTCTGTCCCGTCAGCCCCAGAGAAGAGGGGCTGCTGTGCCCGTTTGAGGAGGCTGCTGTCTGTGCTGCTGCTGTTGGCTCTGTTAGCAGCGGTGGGATACTACGTCCTGTCTCACGTCATGAGCACCGACGACAAGCAGCTGCAGAAGTAGTAGCACTCGAGGATGCCAAAGGAATGTCACCAAAGAGAAAGAACTCTTTTATGTAGTCAGGGAAAATGCATATTGGTTTTGGAAATGTTATGACTCCAAAATTAATATCTAATAAAGATAAGAGATCACTTATACCATTGTAAGAAGATACCTACATGATTATGCTTAGTCTAAAAAGGCCAAATGGGAATTTCGACATATTTATAAATAAGTATTTTATAATCACTGAAAAATTGGAAAAGATTAACTTGGGTTTGGTTTGTGGTTAGACCATGTTATTGTTAATGGTTTTAGTTATTTTTCTTCTCGTTTCTAGATTAAATTCATTGATGCAAAAAATTGACGCTCTTTTCTGTGATCTGTTTCTACGTCGGCACTTATCCTTTACCTCTGCATTTGTGAGAACTCCTTAAGAACTTACAAATAACTGTTTTCACCTCCCCTGTTTGAACTCTAGCTCCGTAAATATAGCATTTGTCTTTGAACGGGTTTTCATAATGGTGAGAAATACATGACGTAAAACATATTCTTGATTGGTAAATGAAACCAAAGAACTGGGGTCTTCCAAAAGATGGTTAAAAGAGATTAAACATTTGCTTAATTCTACTTTCCGGCAGCTGTAAAAAATCAAAATGTAATGAAAATCAAATAAAACTCGACATATACATTTATTTGTGTTATTGGTGAACAAATATGTCAAATTGGCATCTGTTTGAATAAATATATTTTTTTTATCAATCTGTTATTGTTGCTACTGGCATTTTAATATATGTTCTCCCTCCTTTATTTAGCTTTAGTGTGATATTCTTCTCACAAGAGGTTAGAAAATGTAAAGTTATGTCAATTAGCAAATAAAATGTTCACTATTTTTGTTGTTACTGCTGGAATAATGGAATGAATTAAATGGCAATAAATCTAGAAAGAGACAGTTAACATTTATTGAAAAAAACACAATAAGAAAAACGTTGAAAAAGTGCTGGAATCTGTGCAGGAAGTAGTGTTGACGTGCCTGAAGACTGCAGACTACACAGGCTCATGGAAAATCAACGTCTTGTTTTCAATAGGTCATGGAAAAGCTATAAAGTAATATTTTGTCTTATGCATACAAGCTGAGCTTATTTACATTTTATTTGACAACTCTTGACCTGTTGGGCTCTAATGGACTTCTGCCTAAACTAGCTAGAAACAAACCTGATGGAAACATTTGCATCAAGTTGAGGTAAAGGTTAAGATATACTTTATTGAGCCCATAGAGAACTGTGTCCTCTCGAGGCCTCTGCCAGCAGCAACGCCGAAGGGACACTTCCATTTCTTGATGCTCTTGGTCAGGTCTTCTTTGGAGAATGTTTCCCTGATATTTAGAAATCAGTAAAAGGCAGTAGTCTCAACATACAGTAACAGGCTGATGCATTTGTAAAATGTATTGAACATTAGTCAAAGTGATGGTAAACTTGAAGTTCAAATGTGCCTGAACACCCTGTGTATATCGCCTGGTGTTCAGACCTTGGGGCCAGAGGCTGGGGTTAGTCCCTGGGGCCCAAAGGCTGTTGCAGGCGCTGGGGCCAGAGGTTGTCCTCTGCCACAGTCCTGCAGTGTGGTTGAGTTCAGGCACGGGCAGAGTCAGAAACTGGTCTGGAACTCCAAGCACAGCCACAGGAGTCTGAGACCTGAAAGTGAACATACTGTTACACACACATACTGACATCATCTAAAGGACGTCACTATTATTCTCACAAGCTTCTCCTGAATACTAAAGCTGACTATTATACTATCCCTACGACGTGAGATCACACCTGAGTGTGTTCAGAATGGACAGACCATTCGTAATGCTGGTTGTACTGTACTTCTCATATAGACTCATAGAAGTACTATCATGTCTGCCATCTGCCCTGTAGCTCCTCCCACCACAGTGACCCATATAATCATTCCCCATAGTAGCACCTTTTACAACAGACTCCCATCCTACTGACAGGGACCAGACCTGCTTAGTGAAAGACAAACAGGTTGGGACCTGTCATACATCGTTCAATGGAAACTTTCCCAAACATAAACGCCAGAGGCCCAAACACGGGCGGAGTCCTGCTCCAGTCCAGCTCCAGTTCTGCTTCAGTCCAGCTCCAGTCCTGCTCCAGTCCTGCTCCAGTCCAGCTCCAGTCCAGCTCCAGTCCTGCTCCAGTCCTGCTCCAGTCCTGCTCCAGTCCTGCTCCAGTCCTGCACCAGTCCTGCTCCAGTCCTGCTCCAGTCCTGCTACAGTCCAGCTCCAGTCCTGCTCCAGTCCAGCTCCAGTCCAGCTCCAGTCCTGCTCCAGTCCTGCTACAGTCCTGCTACAGTCCTGCTCCAGTCCTGCTCCAGTCCAGCTCCAGTCCAGCTCCAGTCCTGCTTCAGTCCTGCTCCAGTCCTGCTCCAGTCCAGCTCCAGTCCAGCTCCAGTCCTGCTCCAGTCCTGCTCCAGTCCTGCTCCAGTCCTGCTCCAGTCCTGCTCCAGTCCTGCTCCAGTCCTGCTCCAGTCCTGCTCCAGTCCTGCTACAGTCCAGCTCCAGTCCTGCTCCAGTCCAGCTCCAGTCCAGCTCCAGTCCTGCTCCAGTCCTGCTACAGTCCTGCTACAGTCCTGCTCCAGTCCTGCTCCAGTCCAGCTCCAGTCCTGCTCCAGTCCTGCTCCAGTCCTGCTACAGTCCAGCTCCAGTCCTGCTCCAGTCCAGCTCCAGTCCAGCTCCAGTCCTGCTCCAGTCCTGCTCCAGTCCTGCTCCAGTCCTGCTAAAGTCCAGCTCCAGTCCTGCTCCAGTCCAGCTCCAGTCCTGCTCCAGTCCTGCTCCAGTCCTGCTACAGTCCAGCTACAGTCCAGCTCCAGTCCTGCTCCAGTCCTGCTACAGTCCAGCTCCAGTCCAGCTCCAGTCCTGCTCCAGTCCTGCTCCAGTCCAGCTCCAGTCCAGCTCCAGTCCTGCTCCAGTCCTGCTCCAGTCCTGCTCCAGTCCTGCTAAAGTCCAGCTCCAGTCCTGCTCCAGTCCAGCTCCAGTCCTGCTCCAGTCCTGCTCCAGTCTTGCTCCAGTTTCTGCTTCAGTCTTTGCTTCAGTCCAGTTCCTTACCTGATGGAGTGTCCCTCAAAGCCCAGTGCTGTGATGAAGATGTTGATGAGGACGGTGAAGAAGACAAACACTGTAGCAGCGTTGTTCAGTCGGTTCAGTTTGGCATGTTTCCTCGTGTCGTTCAGGTCGTACTTCACTATGACACAAATCAAACTCATGTCAATGAAAAGCTTGGTTCAAAACCTTACAATAGAGCATCTAAGAAGAGTTTTTCCCAAATTATAATTTTGATAGATTGTATTTTTGTAGCCAAAAGTAAAGGTCATACAGACGTTGTTCTCACGACAGCGTAGATGCTCAAGAGGTCCGGATTTCAGATTTTTTTTTAATTATTTGTATGCTTTCTATGAGACAAGTAATTTGAAAGGGCAACACCCCACACAGTTGTCTAATTGCCTTTTTTTGTTTTACAATTGATACTTAATTCACTAATTTAAGATTGGTTGTATTAGTTGAACATTTTTTGAAAAATCACTTTCAGATAAACATCGACTCGCCGAAGCAGGAGTTTTATATTCAGGGATTCTCTCAATTATTGGAGGGAAACTCCTCACCACAAAAAGTTTACATGTAACGGCAGCAACAATAAAGTTTTTGCAATTACAAGATGTACTTTGGGGCGCGGGCGACAGGGCTCAGTTGGTTAAGCATTGGCCTTTGACCTCAAGGTTGTAAGTTTGATCCCACCACGAGACCTACTTCACAATTTCCACTGATGTTGTTGTGTCCTTGGGCAAGACACTTAACCCCACTTTGACTGAAGCCCCTGCTGAAAGGTCAAGGCTGCTAAGACTGAGCCACCCCCCTGACCCAGATATGGAGGGGAAGTAAATGGATGCATGGATTCAGGGATACATCTAACTCCGGTGTTAAAATCACTCCACTGGCTCCCTGTGGAGTACAGAATAAAGTTTAAAATCCTTCTCTTAACATATAAAGCCATATATGGCCTGGCTCCTTCCTATCTCCAAGAAACATTAGTGTCATATCAACCAAGTCGAGTGTTGCGCTGACAAAACGGCAGACGTCTGGTGGTTCCTAAGGTCTCAAAAATCATTGTCGGCGGCAGAGAATTTAGCTACCAAGCTCCTTTACTGTGGAATCAGCTTCCCATTCAAGTTAAGTGTTAATGCTGGTTCACCAGGTTTCCTTAAACAGTCGTCCGATGAAAGGAAGGAAATTACAAACTTAGATAGATATAAAAGAAGGTTTAATATATAAAACAGAATACATATAAAAGACAGGCAGAGAGAGAGCCCGGGTCTGCTGCGGACGACAGGCAAAGCAAAAAGACAAACCCTGGAAGTTACGCCTCACCTCTTATACCAAAGTTCTAAAACACACATGTGACCATTTGGTGACAATTATGACCTATCGAACTCTAGGTGAGAAAACCAATCTCCTCTCATCAGTCAGGAGTCTTCTTGTCACAACACAGATGTCTTCTCGCTTCATGCTTGTTTTGTTTACTCTGCTCTTGTTTACTTATGCTCTTTCACTCTTGCCTGGGGGCTGCATTCTCGCCACGCTCAATGCATTAGCTGGTTAACTTGACTACCCTAATCTACACACATTTATTAATATGATAATACACATAACATTTCTTGACATTAAGGAAGCAGATACGGTCTCCACATTCAAGGCCAGGCTTAAAGCACTCTACTTTAATTTAGCATATAATTAGGCTGTTTGCCTGGATCGGTTTGGACACCCGGTGTGCAATCCATGAATCTTGGTGCTGTAGCCTAGGCTAGCCTAGCCGTGGCTGCTGCTGTCTCACCTCTTTTCAGATACGCTCTCTTTATTCAAGGCTAGGTTTAAAACAGTCCTCTTTAGTTTAGCATATGGCTGGGAAGGTAAGACTCAAGGAAGGCTAAACTCCTCAGACTGTCAGTCAAGCTGCATAGGGAGTCAGTTTGCTGGGAGAAGTATGGTAACTTGAACACTATCCTCTCCTCCTTCCTACTTTATCTGTTTAGCATTATTAGGATTTTGACTGTAGTTTATTCATTGCTATTCACCCGCTGTCCCATTGTCTGTTTCATGGTACGATGACAGGACCTCTTAGCCTGGCCTCCTCCATCTACACCTGCGGACTGCCCCGCCCGACCCGCCTGGGAGTGCTTCAGTCCTGCACCGGACCTGTCCACGTTCAGCGGCCACTGGTCCACGTTCTGTAGCTTAGGTCCTGGATCTATTGCCCGTCTGTCCGGGAGGAGCGGATCCCTTTCTCAACTGGGTCTCCCCAAGGTTTCTCACTTTTTCCCACTAGGTTTTTTAAGAGTTTTTCCTTGTCGATGCAGGAGGGTCTTGTTGGACAGTTAGTGTCCAACAGAAAGGATTGGTGATGATCAGGACACTTTAGCATTCTACAACAAGTATGGACATTTTTTTGTGTGTGTGCTTTATATTTTTCATGTGTTTTAACTGTTGATTCTCTGACCTGTGTTGGTGATTTCAATGGTTTTGTTAAGTCCTCTGAGATGACTTCTGTTGTGACTTAGGGCTATACAAGAATAAATTGTATTGTATTGTATGGATTGACTTTGGTGCAAGGTCATGGAGAGACTTGTACACAAGCAGAGCTGCTTAAAAGTTTATTCTCTGAGCTACTTTCTGTTTCTCATCAGGACTCGAGCTGCAGTGTTTTGAATATACTGCAGCTGTTTTACAGTTTGCTTGGAGAGATCAGTGAGCAGGCCATTCCAATATCCGACTAGAGATAAATGCATAGACAGAAGACCAAGAATCGATCAATAATTTGAGTAGATTAAATTGGAAATTAAGTATTAGTGGATTCAATTGGACCTTGTTTTTTCCATAATCCCTGTTCTCATTGATGAAGACGAGCAGCAGTCCCACCATCACCTACAGAGTGATGGAGAGGCACAGCAGCACCATGAGGGGGATGTAAAAGCGGTACTGAGGCCCCACGTACAGCACCGTCTTCAGGTGGGACGAGTTGGCCATGAGCAGGGCCACATCCAGCATGCTCTGGGCGGCGCTCTTCTTTGTGGCGTAGTGGTTCAGGTTCAAAGAACGTTGCTTTCTGAGTGCACCAGACTGAAACACCAAGGGGAACATGATTATCATCATGAGAATCATGATCATGATTAAACATGGGAAATAGTTTGTTAAGAGGAAGTAGCATTGTGATTTTCTAGTAAATTTAACAAGATGTGATCTAGTTGAAAGCACTTTGTCACAGAGTAACATAATAAGTTTGAAAACAGTGCATTTGGACAGAAGGGGTTGGTGGAGGTTCCTGATGTTGATGCATTTGATGTATCCTGGTCCATCCACTAATCCTTGGTGCTGTAGCCGGGACTAACCTAGACGTGACTGCTGCTGTCTCCTTCGTTCAGACACGGTCCCCTCATTCAAGGCTAGGCTTAAAACACATCGTCTTTAGTTTAGCATATGGTAAGACTCAGGGACAGCTAAATATCTTAGACTGTCAGTCAAACTGCATAGGGAGTCAGTTTGCTGGGAGAAGTATGGTAACTTGAGAGCTATCCTCTCCTCCTTCCTACCTTATATGTCTGCATTATTAGGATTTTGACTGTAGTCTGTTCATTGCTATTCACTTGTTGTCCCATTGTCTGTTTCATGGTGCGATGACGGGACCTCTGAGCCTGGGAGCTGCTTCAGTCCTGCACCGGACCAGTCCACGTTCAATGACCACTGGTCCACGTCCTGTAGCTTAGGTCCTGGATAATTAGCCCGTACGTCCGTGTGGAGCGGATGCCTCTCTCCATATGTGGGTCTCCCTGAGGTTTCTTACTTTATTCCCACTGGGTTTTTCTTAAGAGTTTTTCCTTGCCGATGTAGGAGGGTCTGTTGAACTGTTAGTGTCTAACAAAAAGGACTGTGGTGATGATCCAGGACAATCTAACATTCTACAACATGTGTGGACATTTATCAACATGTGTTCAATATTCTTTTTGTGTCTTAACTGTTGATTCTCTGATCTGTGTTGGTGATTTCAATGGTTTTATTAAGTCCTCTGAGATGACTTCTGTTGTGATTTAGGGCTATACAAGATTAAATTGTATTGTATTGCAATGTATTAATAATATAATAATTAATAATGTGCCTCAGGCAGTGGACACAATCAATGGAACCCAGGCAGCAGAGTCAGTCTTTGCAAATAAATAGAGAATATAAGAGTGTTTAGAGAAGATGTTTATTTCTTTAAGTGTGTGCTTGTTTTTAAATCTTCTTTCACAAAACAGTGCTGGTTAAAGCTTGCTTTTATAATGCCTTTGTAATTCTCAATCACAATGGCTTGAATATGGTAGGCACTAGTTGGATCTCAGTCTTTTAATTCAAAATCCATCCACTTTGAGCAGAGACGCCCAGACTTCCCTCTTCACACACTCTTCCTCCAGCTCATGAGAGGGAATCCTGGTGTTCCCAGACCAGTGAAGTGTCCAGGAGGCATCCCAAACGGATTCCCGAGCCACCTCAACTGCCTCTCGACATGGAGAAGCAGCTACTCTAGTCTGTCACATTCTACTCTTGTGTGACAGAGCTCCTCACTCAATCTCTGAGGGACTGCCCAGCCACTCTGCAGAGGACTGCTTGTCTCCACCACCTTGTCCTGGCCCTTCCCCAAAGCTCGTGGCCATAGTATAGGAACGTACACTGGGCAGTAAATCCAGAGATTTGACTGCAACACTGCTCCCTCAACACCACAAGAAAATCAAATTGTCAAAAATCATTAATGAATTATATCCAAATTTAGATAAATGGTGATCTAAATTTGTTAAATTAGTTTTTGTGATGTCCCTTGTGAAAATAGATTTGAAAAGCTGTGAGCGTTGTAGAGGTGACAATGGACAGAGTGGATCTAAAAGATTTATTCTGGGCTTTATTAAACGCGCTATAATTATGAAATGCAGTGAAGAGCTCTTGCAGTTTTCTCTTTCTCATGGATAAGAGACAAGGTGCTGTGTGACGTGTGTGCGCATGTGTGTATGTGTGTGCATGCATTTCTCCTGTTATACTCACACACACACACTCACAGGTGTGTGTGTAACAGGGTGCGGCACAACTACAGCACAGATACATGTACGTCACACACACCACACCCACTATGACTATAACATTTTGTTCCATTTGAATTCTTTAACTTGAAATCTAAAGGATCTGAACTGAACGGCAGTGAAAAGAAATGACAATCAGATCAGATTTTCCCTCCATTAAGTGTAAACACACAGTATTGTGTTTGGGCTCTTTTGTGTGTAAAAAGATATTGTTGAGTTATTGTGACAAACATTAATGTGAATGCTTGAGGTAAAGTCGCTGCTCTTTATTGTGGATAGGAACCAGCTGATGTGGCTGTTTTGTAAGACCCAGGACATCCTATAGGGACTGTCTCTCAGCTGGCCTCCACCTTGGGATGAAGTGTGTGAAACTGGGGAAGGAAGTCTCTCTGGTCGAACACCGAGGCACCATGACCTGACCGGAAGGAGAGATGTTCCAAAGAAACAAGTGACTCTTGTTGCTCATGATTAAGTATCTACAGACTTCTCCAACTGGAACATCACAATGGAAATGAGGTTCTCATGCCCTCAATGAAATTTAAGTTATGTGTTTATAGCCCTTAATCACTTTTTACACACTTTTGCCAACAACAAATCAGATAATCAGAGAACAGTAGGCAATGCAATACAACAACAAAATACATTGGAGAAATTGGTCCATAGGAAGCAGATGACCACTATCCAGTAATGTCCTTAAATGTCCTGGTTCATCTCTGTCCTTAGACCCTCCTGCATCGGCAAAAAAAGGGGGTATAAAAAAAGCCTATAGGGAGGTCCACAATGAGAGAGGGATCTGCTTCCTGGGAAAGACAGCTCCAGGTGCAGGACTGAGGAGGCTCCTGGAGGCGGGGAATGCTGGTGTGAAATGCATCTTTTCTCATCATCACTAATACTCACTTCTTTTATGTGAGGGCAGTGGAAAAGACACCAGTGAACAAATTTAGAATTCCCCATAGAGGCTGTGTTTGTAGTTGGAGCAGTAAAAGGAGTCTGTTGTTTGAGGAGAATTCTGGACAACTGGATAACTAAAATAATGACCCAGGACTAACATCTGACAGTGTTACAGACACACAAACCATCGGCTCTGACATTTATTGGAAACAGTTTTCACTTTGACTAAGAATGAACTTGGTCCAAATAGGAAATGTTGGGAGGAAATTCTCTTTTACAATGTCTTTCCTGCTCTAATAGTAAACACCTGCAGACAGTGGAAGAGACCAGGACAAAAGCATTACAAGGACCTTTCTTTGTTTCATGGATTTGGTCCATCTATGATCTATCTATCTATCTATGTATCCAACTGCTTTTGTATCTATCTATCTGTATTGACTGTATAAATGGCACTATATGATTCATGCAAAGTGTGAACCCAGAATGCCTCAATTCAAGTTCTTGTATCGTTCAAACCATAGAGATGTTCCAGGACACATGATCAGTTTCATCTCTGCATGGTCACTACTGACAGATTTGGATTCCAAAGTATGATATAATTTAAAAGTGAATGTTTAGTAGTGTTTTACCTCAATGTCATGGTCCATCTTGAGGACGTTGTTTTCTCCTCCATTCAGAATGTGAGCAGCAGACTCCATGGTCCAGACTGAAGAGAGGAGAGTGTGGAGTGAGGTGCTCCCAGAAACTAGTCTCTCAAGTTTGACACACCCACAGCCCTCCGCCCAGCACTCAACACACACACGCAGACACGCGCGCACACACACACACACATTATATTAATCATCTGGCATCTTTTTACTTTCCCTCCTCACTTTTGAACCCATAGATTTGCTCTTTCTACTATTTGCATATTAAAATGACTGTAGTTACATATCCTGCTTCTAAATGAAATAATTCATTGTGGTTAGCCATGCTTCCAAGTTCTATTTCTTAATTTCTATCATTTTAATGTGTTAGTGTTCCAAAGGCAAAGCTTAAACTGCCTCAAATACATTTTACCTTTTGAGTTAAGTAAATTCTATAATTCTAATACTTTTTTAAAATTAGGGAGGGATTTCAATACCTTCAGGGATTTTGTATAGTATAGCCTATCTATACTTTTACTTTGTACCCAAAAGACCGGCACTTGTTCCACTTCTGCTTTTATGAAAATATTGGAGAAAACAAGTTTTATTTTAAGTGTCACTTTATTCCATTTCACAACCTTTTTGATTCTTATTTCATTGGACAGTGCATGTTTTACAGACCCGTGCTCATGCCATGGATATCGTGTGGTTGAAGGAGAACTTTATGTTGTCCCCAAAGCCTGTGGCTCCCAGGGGCCTTAGGCACCACAGCTCCTCAGTGCAAACCCAGACATCACGTTCACCAGTTTGGTGACTTTGGGTGGGGCAGGAACATTGATGACTCTCTTCAGATAGCAGCGCCGCCTGGAAGAAGAAACCCTTTAGCCGACTGACATACAGAAAGTAAAGTGTGATTATATGACTTCACTTGTATTCATTATCAAAGAACTGCTCCGTGAGATATGAGAAGAATTGGCAGTTAGAGTCGTCATCGCAGACCCTCTGACAGCTCTCTGCATCGTCCAGAAGAGTGTAACGCATGTCAGAGCCATTGAAATCAGTTCCATCATAAGTCACTTTGAGCCAGTCTGTTGAACACAGAAAACATTTGTGACAAAAACCAAAAATGCATGAGCATGTATTGTTCATAAGTCATACTGTAGTCTTGATCACAGAGGCGAGAAGGCAACCCAGAAGTTACTCCAGCTTTGGCCACAGTCACCATCTGATTGGGGTTGTTCTTGAGGTAACATGTAGTACTAAACATGTGACAAAACTCATGTGAGATAATATATGTAATATGGATTTCATAATTAGATGGTTCCACTTATCTGGTGTTTGAAAGTTAGCTACCCCAGCTTTAATGTATATAAAAGTAATATATTACCTTTCAAAGGAAAAGTATGTGCACAATGGGTGAGCCGCACACAGTGTTTGGCAGTGGTCAGCAGAAGCAGAAGGCATATTTAGGAGGTTATTCTCAGGTATATCAGTAGAGGGGAAATATTTGTTTTGGCATTCTGTGGGACACAAGATGAAAAATAACTTATGCATACAACACTGTATACTATGGCGCAACATACCAGTGTAGAAAACCTGGGTGGTGCTCATCTTTGCTCTTTGAGAAAAGCCAGATACCACCTCATTCTTTTTTTCCACTATAGGGGTCAATGGTACGGTCCAGCTGAACTTCAGGTGACATTTGTACCTAAAAACAGAAATTGATCAAATAAAACACATGTTCTTAAAAACCGTCATGGATGCGTACTACCTTGACAGTATGGAATATGATTACCTGATCGCCTCAGTTACATAGAGCCCATTTACCCATGTGAAGAAGTGGCAGCCTGGATCTTGTGTGCAGGCTCTTTGGCACTCCTCGTGGTCAGAAGTGAACAAAAAACGATAGTCCGCCCCAGGGAAGTCCAGGTTAGTGTAAATCTGATCAAAGCAGGCACCTCCTACCACAGCACACTAACAATCACTATCTTTATACTAATTATTACAATTACAAACATATCTTGAAACTATCCAGTGTACCTGAGTTTCCAAGACAGGGTTTGAGGGAATACCCAGAAGTCACACCCAGGAGAGGCTTCATGACATTGGGCTGACCGGAGGTGGTCTCCTTCAGGTAACAGTAAAAATGTCTGAGTAAAAACAAATGTTTGCATGTATTTCAGATTTTAAAGTTGTGTTATGGTTGAACAAACTGCCAGCTTTGACTTTTAAGTGGCCCAATTAGGGCAAACATGTGAAACCACGAGTTTTTTTTCAGTCTCAGTGGTTTTGCATTTCCACAAATTACGTTTTTCTCCACTTGGGACTGAAGTGTAAACACATCCTAAAAAAAGAACCATAGGCTGTATTAAAAACACCTGGGGATCCCCCAGCCTCCCCGGAACGTCTATTCCAAGATACTGGGGAAGAGACTATGACCAATAGTTGAATCTGGGATTCAGGACGAACAGTGTGATTTTGGTCCTGGCCGCGGAACCTTGCAGGAAAACACTTGAAACCCTTGAAACGTCAAACAGAGTGAGAGCTGTGTGTTGGAGCCATTTTTGTTTGTTTTATTTTTCTGCCTCCAATCACTGTGTGGCCCACCTAAATTGTATGCCTTACAGGTGTTGTAGTGTGGAGGTAAACATCTTTTGACTGTTTTTTGTTACCTGAGTTATAATGAGATCTGTGTACAGTATATGGATGGAAATAAATGACTGCAACGCAGTATTTAGCCCTGTTGGATGGTGAGACACGCATGCGAGACGCCAACACACTACATCCAGTGGACCTTGCACAGGGAAAGTTTTGACCACTTGTTTGCATTGCTGGCAGAAAGTCAGACCTGTTTCAGCCGAGGCTGCTGTTGTCACCTTGGTTCTTGGGCTGGAGGGAGTCCGGTTTGGGGACCAGAGGATTCCATTTCAACTGTTCACAAATTATATTTTCCTCCAACATAGGCTTTTAACGGGGTAGCCTGGCCTTAGCCATCCGTACACTCCGCTCAATTATCATTTCCCTTCATGTAACGTCTGAGTCTGGTCCCTGTGTTTGCGATTACAATCGGTTGAATTTCATCCGACCAATCAGCGAACGCGGAAGGTGGTGTTGTTAGTTGTGTCGAAATGGCAGGTTGTAGTTTGGCAATGGCGAAGAATGCGATAGTAAAGTAATCCGGTCTGCTTCTATCAAGAAATTGAAGCCGGAGAAAGAGGAATGTTTAGCAAAAGATTGTGGTGCTACTCCCCACGGGCTTCGTTAGCGGCAAAGGAGATGGCTAGGCTACATGCTAAATGCGAACGACTCACTCTGCCGCATTACAAACGTGACGGTAAACTCAGATCCAATCGTTTCAATCTGCAAAAGGAGTTAACCCCTCCCACCTGTTAACAGAGCTCAATGGAGCACCTCCAGACCCGAAATGTAATTTGTACTTTGGTGTGGTACGACCAGGCTAGTACCGGGGCAGTTTGCAGCCGAGTGGGAAGCAACTGGGAAGATAATCAGCACCTCCAAATATCAGGCCATTGTTGTGGACTGGTGAAAAGAGCCTAATTCACTCCAGGTGGTTGAAGTACAATGGAGTTTAGGTACAAAAGCCCTAGTAGACTGACTACCTGTCATCTCTTGTCCAGTCTTCACGGATGAATGTAAAGAAGAGACATGAGGGGTGTTGAGTACACATTTGCTGACAGTGGTTCACATCTGGCGAATACACATGCATAATGTCTGTCCCAGGAAAGTCCACGTTCTCCAGGAGCTCGTTTTGACATTCTGCAAACAAAGACAGAATTTGTTTGACTGTAAACCCTTAAAGGTAAAGGTGCAGAGCATATTGTTACCTTGACTAGAAGAGCCTGTGCACAGGCAGAGCAGTGATCCTAAGAAAAACAGGCTTCTCATGGTGAATCCTTTTGTCGCAGTGTCCTCTGCGGCAGTGGGGACACTCTCATAAGGCGGGGGCACTGGTCAAAGAACATGTTTACCCATTACCAGTATTGCAAAACACTGCTCAGGCTTAGTCACAGTGTGGAAGTGTCTGCACAACAGTCAAATGTGTTTGTTCATTAGCTTATTCTGTGTTTTATAGAGTGGACCTGGAGTTTGAATAAAGAAACAATGATGATGTTTGGTTATCAGAGCTGCAGCACGCTTATTCTTTAGAGTCTTGATGTATATGTGGAGTTTGGATGCTATGTCTTGGATAGTGTCCTTGACTTTCTCATTTAGGGCTTGTGCAAAGTCTCATGGTGCTTGAATTGGGGATGAAAGCCACCAAACATAGTGAGGAGCTTTTGAGTCTCAACATCTTTGGTCTGAATCACTTCGGTCACCTGCTGTTTTATTGCCATTGAGCCAGTTTCTTTGGACCTCACTTACTGGAACTATTAGGGGGTGGCCGCTTTCCTGGGTTGCCTGTTAGAGGTTGCCATTTGAGGGTTGGATTCCATAGTACTTGTACCTGTCTGCTATTCTTTCATGTGCGAGTGAGACCGCTTCCTTGTGGACTACCTTACCGCTTGGTGTCACCATCCTACTATTTTCAAAGAACTATATTCACTATAGACGTGAACATGTATCTACCAGTGGGGGGCGGGTTCCGGTTCAATAGGATACATGAGCATGTGTATTGAGTTATGATGTTATGTTGCTGTTTATCGATCCTGATGGTCACACGTGAATGTGTGACCAGAGGGGGGAATGTGAGATTTCATAACACTTTGAAGCAACTTTTGTTAAAGTTAAACTCATCAATCTATCAATGTGCAGAAGCCTGTACTTTTCCCTTGTTTTGTCTATCTGAAGGCCAAGCTACATGGCACTGTGGCAGCTGCTGATTGGAGGTGATTGGAGATCTGTATAATACACTTGCATTCTGTTGTTGGTGTTGTTCGTGCTGTCTCTACCATCGACAATAAAACATCGTCTTCTGTCTGAATGAAAGACCCGATCCCAGACTATGTCATCTTCTTCAATACTAACAAAAGGCTTAAGCTAAATTCAGCTAACTCATCAAACAATAAAAGCAACTAACTAATGACTAGAACTCCAATATTCAACAACAACGCTATTAACTACGGAAGCTTATTGCATTCACTTGAATTAAAAAAGTTAAGAAATAAATCCTGTTTTCAATGATCAGTGTGATCAGCTTGATGCAATTTCCCCCCCTATGAACTACATACAGCTTCCAGCAGGGGTCCTCATCAGAGAAGGAGTGCGCTGCCTTCTCCGTTTCTCTTTTCCGGTTATTAGTCAAAATGGCGGCCTCCTGGTCCTTCGCCTTCAGGCTCTCCGCCGTCAGGCTGTGTCCACGGTTTGCGCTGAGATTTTCCTCGCGAACAGACCGTCTATTCTCGGCTGCAGCTGCGGAACAAACTCGTCCAAAGATCTTAGAATCTACCGAAGAATACAAGTTTGTGGAGAGACTCATTCCCCCCTCACAGGTGCAGTGTCCGACTAGTGTGGGGGGAGACTGGAAGAATATGACATGTATATGTTTGTCTTGATAATCAGTGATGGTCAATGTTTTCTAGTCATTCGAATATACAATTATTTGTCCATGTCTGACTCTTAAGAAATATTGCCAAACTATAAATGCTTGTCACATATTTTCCAGTATGCACGCTCCTTCAGTTTTTTTTCCAGATTACAATAATATATTTAATCTAACAGTCTTAAGAAAAATACCCTGAAGTAGGACTAGTCAAGTTATGAAATTCATATGAATAAAACATATTTATGGTATTTTTTTATTACCCCTGTGTTGGGTCATTTTGACTCGAGGATAGCATACGGCTTGAAGTGGTTTCCAATATTTAGTAAAAAAATTCAAATTATGTATACAACATGACATCTAAATAAAATAACATCCATATCTTGGATTTGAATATTGTCAGAGTCGCCCCTTGTCTCACATTTTAAGGAAGACACAGGTTTTAAACTACAACTGAAATGCTGCCTCTTCATGTTTTGTACTAACTCAGGGACCAGCAGGTGGCCCGTCCCTGAGCTCCTACCAGCAGGTTTATATCGTTTTATCAAATCAGAGACAGGCTAAGTCCAATCTATTATGACCAAAGAAATACATTTTTGTATTAAGGTATAATGAGCCCTGTTTTTTTTTTTTTGAACACATTATGCGTAATTGTTTATAGCTTTTTACGGGGGGACAGAATGTCTTCAGTGTTTAGTGCCTTGACTGTATCTCCTCTCCTCAGGTGCCAGCCCCCCCTCCGTACTCTGGGCCCTCTCCCAGCGGCTGGCAGCCTCCCTCTGCCACCCCTCCGGACCTGCCCTACTCCATCCGCCGCTCTCGCATGCACAACATCCCAGTGTACTCAGACATAACCCACGGCAACCGGCACATGACACTGATCCGCAAAGTGCATGGTGACATCTGGGCACTGGAGCGGGACGTCCGGGCCTTTCTCCAACAGGCCACTGGCAAAGAGTTTCCCACACAGGTCAATGAAGTCACCATGACCATAAAGATCAAAGGGCAGTTCCAGCAGGAGGTCAAGGAGTGGCTGCAGAGGAAAGGGTTCTAACATGGAACTGATGGAGACTTCTCATGTGTGTGTGTTTAGGTTGTATTTCCAAAATGAATATATACTATCAAATATTTCTATTTCTCTGGTTTTTTGGGGAGGATGTTGAACTAATTGTGATTAGGGCTGCAGAAATTAGTCATCTAATGGTTTGATACAGCAATGAACAATTTGTGCAGGATGAAAACCAAACATCTGAGAGCGATTAACTGCAGAACTGCAGAACTGCGATGAACGAGACACCGCTTCAAACGACACATTCTTGTTCAGGGCAGAGTGTATAAAGTTGCATGAATTGACAAAAAAAATCTATCGTATCTATTTATGTAGGATATAGATTCAAAAGAATCTGCTGCCTATTGACTGTAGGAAATTGCACAAAATGTGTATATTATTTTATATGAAATTACTGGCACTTGGCACAATGTGCTGCTTCAGTGCTCCACCTAATGTGGTTTCACATACAACTTCTGATGCAAGGATCCTGGCAAAGGGTTAATGTGATTTTGGGTACCTTAAGTTTTGCTTCTACTGGCCCCCATATGACAGTTCACTAGCTCAATAATGCTTGGTGGAAGATGCAGTTTCTGGTCATAGTTCCAAATAGTTTCAAAGGCAGAACCTAATTTACATTAAAATGTTTTAACCATTTGTGTCTCACTCACTTTGACTTGGTTTCAAAATACATAAATCATGCTTTATTATGGTCCAGGTGTTAAGTTATTGTCGTTTGTACATCCAAATATGTTAATGATTTACCCCATTTTTAGCAACCACACTTAAGTTTGCATCTGCTATGACCAGTAGGTCAGCCTTGTCATATTGGCTAGTTTGACTCTCAACCAACTAATGCTCCATCTTCTACTCTGCTTCTTCTACATTACTGGTTTATGACAGAACTCTGTTAGTCTACTACGGTCTATGGTTATGATTATCTTATATTACAAAAAAAGTAGAAATTTTTGGTCAACTAAAGATTACTAGTACTAGACTACTATAAATTACTTATTATGGTTCTGACCCAAAGTGCACTCACAAGAGTTAAAATTACACAAACGTATTCATGCACTTGGATCTAGCTTTCCGTCCATGATTTTATAAGAGCAGGATTTTTGTTTCGAAATACCAACACTTTAGAGAGTCCCTTAAGATTCTTTAATCTTATCATCCTGATTATCTACTCTAACCATATTTTAATAGATCTATGACGCTAAACTGTCAAATGCACATTAAATATTGACAAGCCATGTCGCGTGTTGCTGCTATAATCTGGCAACCCTCCATAGTTTTCACCAAACTTCTTCCAAGCGAGGGTTCTGTGTGTATATCACTGCCCAGAGTGAACTGTAGACGTATCATGGATGTATTAAGACACAACCGCACAGAAGAGTCCCTCGGTTCAAGCATTGAACAGAAATACATCATTCCAACGCGTTTGCGATGAACTTTGAACATCACTTTTTTCATCTTTCAATGGACGAGTACCAAACATGGCGGATTTCTATGGTAACGCCATTATTTTGATGTAGGTTATCTATTTAGCGTTAACAACACTAGATTCAGATTCATTTTATTTGCGATTTGCTGTCATACCACATTGGGATACATACCGTGGTGAAGTTGGTTGGATATTGGATATTCGGCAGATATTCAGAGCGGGGAAGCGATGAGTTCGTCAGCCGGCCTGAGAGCAGCAAGGAGCGGACAACAGTGTTGCCAACTCCTCAGTAAGGAAAGTAGCTATTGGCTGTCCCAAAAGTCGCTAGAAGTCGCTAAATGACGTCATCGCCTAATTTGCATAATTGGCAATTTGCAAATAACTGTAACGGACGCTGTAGGAGAGAGGAATAACGTCGTGGGAGAGACAAAAGTGAGTAAAAAACACCCTAAATATGTTTAGAACTACAAATGTACAAAAATAATTTCAACATTAACAACATTTAATGATTTTAATGCTTTGTCTAGATCCACATTACACACATCAGTTTTGTCCTGTATTGTTAAATGTTATAACAGCAAATTTAATCAAAAGATTGTTCATTGTAGGGTGAAATTGCTAGCTCTACAACCAACCCTCCTCCTTTATCCGGGCTTGGGACCGGAAAAGTGACCCAAAAGACACACTCTGGCAGAGTTACTTAGGTTTATGTTTTTAAGTTTTTTTTTTTTTCATAGTTTGGCATAACAAATGATTTAATGTGACCCACTACTGAGAGAAAACAGAGTCACGGACAGAGCTGTCGCGGATGGAGTGAGGGGTAGTAGGGGGTAGTGGGGGGTGGCGGTGGTAGGAGTGGCCGGGGAGCTTTGCATGTGTGGTGGTGGTGGAGCTGAAGTTCAGTCTGTAGCAGCCTGAAAACTTCCTGTGCTTTTGAGACAGGGTCTCCTCTCTCTCTCTGCTCCGCCCATAGACTGTAGCTGGGACTGCTGCGCAAGGCTACTGTGAGACTGGCCGCCTGTAAGTGCTTTGGGACGGGGGAGGGGCTCACGTTGAGGACAGTAACTGCAGAACAATATGTGCTTCACGCCAGAGTCTCCAAAACACCAGATAAGTCTCCACTAACACCAGAAAAAGTCGCTAGATTTGTCGCTAGTCGCTTTTTTGAAGAAAAAGTCGCTATAGGGGTCTGAAAAGTCGCTAAATCTTGCGACAAAGTCGCTAAGGGCCTTGCGGTGACCAACGCGTTGCGCAAGTGACGTCACGTCACCTCCGTAAGCTCCGCGCCGCGCGAGTATAAACTAGGCTTAAGTTGGCAACACTGGCGGACAAGTACTCGCACGAGTCTTCGCCTATATTTAGGGACCGTCAACATTTTACCCTACGCTAATTTTTCACTATTATGAAAGTGGATGTAAAAAAAGAGCGTAATGGCTAAATAATACAATACATTTTTAAATACTTTAAATACTTTAAAAACATGAACATTGATAATTATAGCCTTGAACAAAAGCCGATTAATTGTAATGTAAACATTTTAAATCACTTTGATCATTATAGTTACAGTAATATAGGATTTTATTCAATAGCTTTTGAGGAATTTGACCCAGTGACCCCAAACCACTTTTAAATAATACTGCTACCTCTGGGCTATTGGGCTCAGGCCGTTAAATCATGTTTAAAAGCTTTTAAAATGATACTTTGGTTAAAACTACCAGTTTTTCTTCAATAGCTTTTAGGGCATTTGACCCATTTACTCCAAACCACTTTTAAATAATAGTACTACCTGAGGGCTATTGGGCTCAGCCCTGGAAATTGTTCTTAAAAGCTTTTAAAATTATTTTTTGGTTAAAAATTTCAGGGCCCCATAGCCCTCAGGTAGTTCTATTATTTAAAAGTGGTTTGGAGTAAATGGGTCAAATACCCTAAAAGCTATTGAAGAAAAACTGGTATTTTTAACCAAGAAATAATTTTAACATTTTAATAGCTTTTAAGAACAATTTCAAGGCCTGAGCCCCATAGCCCTCAGGTAGTACTATTATTTAAAAGTGGTTTGGAGTAAATGGGTCAAATGCCCTAAAAGCTATTGAAGAAAAGATGAAATTTTTAACCAAAAAATAATTGTTAAAGCTTTTAAAAACAATTTCAAGGGCTGAGCCCAATAGCCCTCAGGTAGTTCTATTGTTTAAAAGTGGTTTGGAGTACGTGGGTCAAATTCCCTAAAAGCTATTGAAGAAAAACTAGCCTTTTTAACAAAAAAAATATTTTAAAAGCTTTTAAACATAATTTCAAGGCCTGAGATCTATAGCCTACAGGTAGTCATCTTATTTAAAAGTGTTTTGGGGTCACAGGGTCAAAATTTTCCAAAGCTATTGAATAATATTATATTTTACTGTAACCTATAATGATCAAAGTGATTTAGAACTTTTACATTACAATTAAATCTATTTTGTTCGGGGTTATAATCATCCTTTTTCATTTTTTAAAAGTATATATGAATTTATTGTGTTATTTAGGCATTAAAGTCTTTTTTTATACCCACTTTCATATAAGTGAAGAGTAGGGTAAAATGTTGACAGTCCCTAAATGTAGGCGAAGACTCGCGCGAGTACATGTCCGCTCCGTGCTACTCTCAGGCCGGCTGACTACCTGCCGAATATCCAATATCCAACCAACTTCACCACGGTGGGATACATGTATAAATTTCCCCGGTGTGCACCAGACATTACAAGAAGAAATCAAGATAAAAGTACAGAATACAGTTTTTTTCAGTCGCTTTGGTGCTTTTCTCCGATCAAAGTTCTTACAACTGTTCAACCTCCACAATATTTGTGCATCATCGTAGCAGTTTATTTATTTGAACAAATTGCAAATGCCTTTGGACATGTATCAGTTACTTTCATACAATTCTCTGCTGTTTAAAAGCATAATTTGCTATAAATGTCATGTCAATTGAAATGAAGCATTATGAATTCTGAATAGTCTTCCCCTATAAAACTAATTGTCCTTATTTCATTGGTTGAGTCAATACATACTTAATAATAATGCATTGGTTTTATATAACGCTTTTTTGGACACTCAAAGACGCTTTACATGTGTCATTATTCATTCACTCCATACACGGTGGTGATAAACTATTACTGTAGCCACAGCTGCCCTGGGGCACACTGACAGAAGTGAGGCAACCAGTATGTGCCATTGGCCCCTCCGACCACCACCAACCATTCACACACACCAGACTCATTCTAGGCAATGGGGGTGAAGTGTCTTGCCTAAGGACATAACAGCAGTTTGGCACTTTCCAGCTGCAGCTGCCCCACTGTGGCCTGGTGTTCCCAGAGGTTAAGTGTCTTGCCAAGGACACAACAACTGCAGACAGTGGGAGTCGGGCTTGAACCCACGACCCTCTGGCTCAAAGGCCAATGCTCTACCAACTGAGCTACTGTCGCCCCGACTTAAGTGTTGAACTAGCTGTCAACAATGAAGTCGCCTTGCAAGGTCTGCTGTGCCTGTGATATAGATGTACATACGTATACATATATTGTACTCAGTTAGCGTTACCTCACTAAAGACAGAAATGTGTAACTTGGTCATGTGTAGTGCTGTCTTGAGCATTTTCAGACAGTGTCTCCAAGATTTTTTTTTGCATTGGAAAACAGAGAGTAAACCATCACAATGAAAACATGACTAAGCCATTTGGTGTCAGGGCTTATTATTTTGATGACACTGACAGTTTCATTGACATGAATACTTGCTTTTGAGGAATCAACTATTCATTTTGAGCAAGTGACACACTTTTGCAGGTTATCCACTAGGTTTTGTTTGTACTAATTGTTCTGAGAAATGCACTAACTGTTGTGTAAATGAATAGTGAAGTGAGAAATGCGGCAAAAAAAACCTGTAAAACAAGCTAAAAACAAAGATTTATCACTGAAATTCAAGGGCAATTATAGTGATTTGCTTATACTGCTAACAGCTTGTGGAAATAAGTGGTTAGCAAAACGTCCTGCGTCTCAATGAACAATATCTTCTGCCAGAAGTAAGAAGCTGTAAAGATTGAAGTTGGGGTACCTATTTTCCAAAAAAACATGTATTTGGTTTTTTTCTGTTGCGACCAAAAACATCCATGGACATAACTGTTAGGTACCCTAGTACCTGGGCCAGCTTTGAGGACTGTGCAGTATACATAAAAAAAACCCAAAAAATTTCAAATTCGATATCGATACTTGGCAGATGCATATCGATAATCGAATCACAGGAGAAAGTATAAACCCCTAGTTTAAACGATATGTGGGCGCTAATTCACACAGATGCTTTTTCTGCAGGTCTCCACAATGAGGACTTCTGCACTGGCTGTACTGTTCTGTGCTACGTGTGTGGATGTTTCTGACAGCGGAATGAGCATAGGTTCAGAACCCTCCCAGTTAGGTATCCAGTTTCGCAAATGTGCTCGTGTGATCCCGCAGTCACACCTCCTGTCTATAGGTCTCCTGATTCAACACCATGGCGGTGCTCTCAACACAAACCTGACGCATCTCTCAGTGCGCGACTCTATCCGTGGCATTACTACAGTAGAATCCCCAGACCGAAAGTTGGAACCGGGATACCAGATCTTCCTTGTCAAATCCCTGTGCGCTGGATCCCAAGTCACTCTGAACTACACCGCCCACGTCACAAACCCTGCCCATTTTGCAAACTCTACCCACATCCTAGAGTTGCCCGCGTTCCTCACCTTTTCCAACGCTTCGCAGAATGACGTCAACATGTTTGGACCAATTGCTGCCAGTCTAACTGTACGGGTTCGCTTCGTGGTCAGAACTTTTCCAAACCACACGCTGGGCTTGGCAGCATTTGTCGGAGCGTTTCTCATCTCGTTTCTTTCGATGGTTTTGTGGTTTGTGGCGATGAAGCGGATCGATCCTAGCTCTGCTTTGGGGATCTGCCACAAACCAGGACGACCAATGTTACCAGACCAGGAGATGGGAGACTCCTGCATGAGTTTGAAGGAGGGGGACAAAATTATGGAAGAACCTGCAAACCAAGCCTTGGAAAGCATGGACACCCCCGCTCGGCTCCTCTCTGCTTGGCAGCTGGAGGAGGCGATGCTGCAGATCCACAAAGACCTGGTGGTGGTGTTGATGAGCCCAGACCGATCTGAAGAGAAACTGGTGCAGATCCATCACCAGATGACTGCATTGGGGGAGGTGCAGGACAAAGATGCACCATTGTGTTTAGACGCACTACTCTCACAGTGGGCATCCCTTTGCTATCTTCTGGTCTCCCTCCACTTCAAGGAGGTGCAGAGTAGAAGCAAAGTGCTAAAAACCTGGGAAGGCATTTTGTGTCTGCAGTCACTCTTCATCCCAAAGCTCAGAGGGAGACATAAAATGACAGACATCATTCGAACGCACTGGGAGAGTTTAGCAGCTGCAGAAAAACAGTTTGACACAGACCTCCACGAGACTCCTGCGTCTTCACTCACCCCTTTCCTGGAACACCAGTCCGAGTGTAAAATGGGCTTAATCCTCCAGGAGGCGCTCTACAAACGGGAGCAACTCATGTCTCTGTTGACTCGAAGAGGTGAGGAATCTCTGTCCAGAACTCGGAGGAGAGAAGATCGAAGAGAACACGAGGAGTTGAAGATTGTGAAACAACTGTGCGCTTGCGAGGCGGAGTTCACGGCAGCATTGGTGAAGCTGCTGCAGGTTCCTCACAGTGTTCTAATGGAGATGTTACGTCTGTTGCTCCCAACTGCCACGGACAGCGAATTGGTGTGTGTCTTTGAAGCCCTGTGTCCGCAGGACTCTATTGCCCAAGCACAGAACTGCACCGTCTACAAGGATCCACTCAATGATCCACAGCATGAGCCACCGCACGAGCCACCACTTCAAACCATTCCACATCACCGTCTGGACCTCAATAATCCACGGCACAAAGACACAGTCCATGATCCAGTTCACAACGATTCACTCCAGACCCCAGTCCACAGGGATCCACTTTGCAAAGACTCGCTGCGTGATCCAGTCCACCCATGTTGGTCTGATATCCTTGAGAAACTGAGAGTAGATGTGATCGGTGACGTCCATGCAGAACAAACGGAGCAAAGGGAGAACATGCTGCAGAAGATAGAGAAAAGGAGGCAGAATCTGTTGCTGAAGCTCCTCCCCTCTGCCTATGCCACATCTCCATCAACTGCTTCTGATGTTTTGGTGCAATGCCACAAAACTGGGGCCAAACCAGAGACTGATACGGTTACTAGACCAAAGACTGAACTAGAGACAAGAACAGAGGCTTGTTCAGAGACTGTCAGGCTTGGTCCAAACCAGTTCATGCATGAGTCCTCTAGGTCTGGTCCCAGCCCTGATCCAGCCCAAGACCAATCTCCACACAGACTGTTTGTGTTCAGAGAGCCACAGGTGTCTGTTCAAACAGCCGTTGGTGCCAAAAGGAAACGCAGAAGGAACTTTCTGAACTTTAAGAGCAACAGCGTGACTCCTGTGAATTTGGACCTCATGCTGTGAAACTTAAGACTATTCATTGTTATTTACAGTTCCGGACAATGGCCCTCATTTAAGAAACTTGCGTACGGCCAAATCAGGGTGTAAATGAGGCGTACGCAAATAATTTACACTTTTCGGCATTTATCAATCTGGACGTGAGTGTACGGTACGCACAAAATGTATGCCGATTCAGGAGGTCGTGTAAATTTTACACCCATTTCAACCTTCATCACAACACGCCAAAACACGCATGAAATCAAAGATTTGGACAACAATAAACATATTCCCACTCTGGAAAAATTATAAGCTGCTTTTTCATTGAGCATCAAATTTGGAAATTTTAATTTGCGCATCAGAATAACTAATGGAAACAGGCAAACTTTGAATAAATCACAGATCATGATGAGGACCCTCTTCTGTTTCTTTGATTTTAAATCTGACTGATGTGTATTATTACCATTTGTATGTTTTTTAAATTTTTTTATGTGAAGCGCTTTGTGATCCTGCTCTGTGAAGGCGCTATACAAATACGCCTTACTTACTTAATGTGTGATGACCATCTATTTCTCTGTAAATCTGTGGCAGACTCTGCGCTGCGTAATTACGCATGGCTATTTGTTTTATTCACCTCTGGCAAAGAAATATATTTTTTCATTAGTTTTGTGCATAAAGCCCCATAAACGCAGCGATGGCAGAGATATGGCGAAGCGCTTATTTATGGGAACGGGCTCACGGGAAATGACTCTTTGAGAAGTGCGCACTCGCCATATGTGGTGTGCGTCATTCAGACGTTTTGGAGTTTCGCTGTGATATCACGGACACTTCACAAACTTCACAAACTCATATGCATGTTCTTCCGTGTCTGCGTAGGTTTCCTCCGGGTACTCTGGTTTCCCCTACCACTAAAAACATGCAGAATAGGTCTGGCATGCGCCTCCTGTATTGGCGACCCTGCTCCCATCTCGGGGTGGAGTGAGTGGACAAATGCCCAAAAATAATAATTGTAAACCGCTTTGGGACTCTGGTCTGGTATATAAATAAAGATAACTTACTTAGAGATCCATTGCATTCACAACATGTCGATGTCGCTTGACCCAGTTAATGATGAGTCACCGCTGAGATATTAATAGTCAGCGTATGCTCCGATCTGTGCAAATCTCACATGTTCATAAATCTAGCGTATATGGAATATACACCAAAAATATACACCCTTTTCTGCGCAAGTTCCTAAACCCCAAAAGTAGGAAAGTTATGTGTTTTCAAATAGGAATGAACATGACCAGATGCCTGTAACCTAAAAAAATAAATCATAAATATCTTGGAGCGGGCTGATAGAAATAAACCACCTGTCTGAGTTGGATTTTCTAAAACCCCCACGTTTGCCACCCACTCGCCCTGTTGTGACGAAGAAGAGTAAATCAGATGGCATTGAATAAGACTCAGCATGCAGCCAGGGCTCTGTAAAGCAGGCAGTCCAGTTGTGCTAATTGCTGGTTCGTTAGGGGAAGCTAGCGCTTGTCAAGTATGGCAGACTCACAGACTTGAGCCCTTATGTAGTGTAATGCTTTCACATATCAAGCACACAATGCGTTATTACAGAAACAGTGTTTATGTGCTGGGGGTTGGGTTGGGTGGAGGGGGAGTGGCTTTTACTAGGATGCTGAGCTAACAACATTCTTTACTGCACCTTTTAAAATGACACAACATGAACTCAATAAAACACTTGTTTAGGATAATAGAAAACATTTTGTGTTTCCTATTATCCAAAACAAATGGACAAATGGGAAGAAATTGGATGGATGGACACATTTTATGTTCATTTGGCCGAATGAAAACCAAAATGTTTTGTCAAATGCGCATGCAACCTTTTCATAAACAAAACAAATTAAGATGTTTTTATTAAGGCCATACTTCAAAAGTACATTTATAAAAAGTAACATTAAAATCACCGCATCAATAGTTTGATTATTTACAGAATTGTTGTTTTAAGTATTAAGCAGTGTCAAAAACTCCCGATAGCGCCTCGTCAACTCCTCCAACTGCTCCGCTGCAAAAAGATTAAATCACCAGTTACCAGTGTTCTTCTACATGTGCACATGTACTTTTCAGCATTTTTACGTACGCAGTGTGTGCTTTTCCCCTTTGTTCCAGTAGCGCGGCTCAGTCCGTAGGCGGCGCACTTCTTCTGTCATGACACCAGACGTCTCTGACAGTTCATGTAGGATTTCCAACTCCTGTAAAGGAAAAATCAACAGTTCTGAATTCGTTTATTTGTTTCGACAAAGCTGACAGTAAAAACTACTATAATAATAATAATATTAGTTGTTTCTTGTAAAATAAGTGTTCCAAAATCTGTCAGCATGCTTTAATGAGTACTTCTCAGTTGACAATGTAATCCACTTGCTTCTCCATCAAGATTGCTGCATTGTATGCACTGTCTCCCCATAAAACAAATAAATCTCACTCCCTCTGTCTGAATTGTCACCATTCACCAGACAGGCTGAATGCTCTGCTTTCCAGCTCTGGTACTCACAACTGTCTAATCTCTGCAAGACACCCTTCCCCTTTTCAAATCTGGACTCAAAATTTGCCTTTTCAGATAATGTTACCCCCACACCATCAGTTTGATCTCATTCTGATCTGTTATTAACCCTGTTATGTAGTGTCCTTGAGTGTTCTGAAAGGCACTGAAGAACCTCTCTTCCATGTAGTTGCACCTGTTGACCACAAGGCCACTCTACAAAGTTCAAAAACCAGCCATCTGTCTTTCATATAGAGCTGTACTGAACATTTCAGAGTGCCCCGTTATTGTGCACCCATGCTTACTGTGTTGCATTTCGTCATAAGCTCATGGACCCTCTTGAAGACGCTGCTCTCTGGGCTGAATGCAGGGGGCGCTCTGTTACAGTAGGACTTAAGGTCTGTGTGGTAAATGTGGCTGAACGCAGACATCATCTGTTGAAGGTCCAGTGCTGCCACTCTCAAGGCACTGGAGCAGAAGGGGCCGGAGCTCTGGGGGGATTTCAGAAACTCACACTGGAACAAAGGAAGAACAGGTGTAAAGAGACTTATGATCATCTATGACAGTGGTTCTCAGAGTGTGGTAAAAAAAAATTAAAATTATTTAACCAGGAAAGTCTCATTGAGATTAAGAACCTCTTTATCAAGGGAGTCCTGGACAAAATATTACATACAATTACAGATTATAAAACAGTCACATACAATTTCATACAATTATAGACTATAAAAACAGTTACATTTCAATGAGGATGTCTCAAGTCTCAATCTGGATCTAAAAGCATTCAATAAAAAAAGTTCAGATAATTTCCAGTCTTTTTGTAACATGTTCCATGTAGAAGGAGCAGCATATACAAAAGCTTTTTTCCCAGTTCTGTGCAGGCAAAAGGAACAGAGTCACAAAAGATCATTTGATCAAAAACCACATGAACCAACATGTCTGTGTTTAGTAAATGGCAAATTTAAGAGGGCAGCAGACCAAGCATAGCCTTTAAACAAAAGTGCACCAGTGTCCAAACCTTCTGATGGACAAAGAAGGCCATCCCACTCCAGAATATCATTTACAGTGAGTCAAGACTTTGCAGAATTGAATTGAATCATTATTTAAATAGTTTTTCCTATATTTAAGTCTTACTGTTGAAACTGTGTAAAATGTGACAATGGCTGACAATATTAAATATGTTTCTTTCGGAATGAAACCTCTGCCTTGTTTTTGATGAATACTTACGACTTACTACACTACTGTATAGTGTTGGTCATTTGTGGTGGTACTTTGCGAGGCAAGTATTTTCTGAGGTGGTACTTGGTGTAAAAAGTTTGAGAACCACTGATCTATGACATCCTGCAGGCTCAGCTCCGACCACAGATCAAGTTAGGGAACACTCAATATTTTTCCCCCATTCTAGCAAAACAGCATGCGCAATTTCCATGTATCAAATTCAGAAGGATGAACATACTGTATTCTCTTACACCTGAGAATCCACTAAGTGACTCATAAATTGCTATGAAAACATACATTATAGCATGGAGAAAAGCTGTGAGAAGTCCTATCTGTGTGTTATGTCCATAGACTGTAAATATTAACGGACGTAGTCACACCTATCTCCGCCGTTCAAACAAACGGGCCAGAAAATGTGCTCTACCAGAGCTCTCCAAAATTGTGGTCCCACCCACAAGAAAATTCTGAAAAAACGCATCTGCGCATGCGTCAGCCGGCGCAAGCTCCATTCATTTGAACGAGAGACTTCAAAAATTCCCCGCGAGTAAACTAGAGTGGTCCAAAAAAATTCACCCCCCTCAGCATTGACACTCATGTGGAACGGAGCTTTGGGCCAAGAGCCAACTTTTGGACCATCATGTAAAGACGTTTTTGAGAGGTCTGCCAATTCTATGTTAGCATTCTTATTCCGGGTCCACCCCCATCGGCCCGGGGTGGTATTGCAAGCATGTCAGCGCACGTCATTTTGGCCACTTTTGAGCCGGGACCCGCCTCCACTGGGTTTGTCCTTAATGTGACTGATGGCTTGTACCTGGCTTTGCAGTTGCTCTAATGCCGTTTGAGTGGAGAGCAGAAGAGACTCCAAATCCACATGGTCATCTTTGGACCATCTCTGAGGCCTACATCCTTTTTGCAAACTCCTGAAACAAGTCAAAATGATTATACACAATCTGGAACCTTTACTTTAGTATTACATATTTTATAAGTGTTGTCTAAATAAATCAGCAAAGGTCTGACAGTCAAAACAGGGCAATCACCGCTATGTACTGGTGTCAGTGGGAATTACCACCCCCAATGCAGCCTTTCCTCTATGCTGGTCAGGGAGACTCAGTCATGTGCATGTGACAGGGGTCAGAGACTCACAGTGATGTGTATGTGACAGGGGTCAGAGACTCACAGTGATGTGTATGTGACAGGGGTCAGAGACTCACAGTGATGTGCATGTGACAGGGGTCAGAGACTCACAGTGATGTGCACGTGACAGGGGTCAGAGAGACTCAGTGATGTGCATGTGACAGGGGTCAGAGAGACTCAGTCATGTGTATGTGACAGGGGTCAGAGAGACTCAGTCATGTGTATGTGACAGGGGTCAGTCAGAGACTCAGTCATGTGTATGTGACAGGGGTCAGTCAGAGACTCACAGTCATGTGCATGTGACAGGGGTCAGAGACTCACAGTCATGTGTATGTGACAGGGGTCAGAGACTCACAGTCATGTGTATGTGACAGGGGTCAGAGACTCACAGTCATGTGCATGTGACAGGGGTCAGAGACTCACAGTCATGTGCATGTGACAGGGGTCAGAGACTCACAGTCATGTGTATGTGACAGGGGTCAGAGACTCACAGTCATGTGCATGTGACAGGGGTCAGAGACTCACAGTGATGTGTACGTGACATGTGCTGGCCAGGGGTTGGCCGTGGGGTGCAGCATCAGCGTGAGCTGAGGCAGGGTTTCTGGAGAGAACAGCTCATTCAGCAGAAACTCCTCGTCACATCTGACCTCTGCCTTGGGGCAGGGAGGACAAGGCAATAGAGAGAGGAGCTGCTTCAGGAAGGCCAGTTGTCGCTCTGGGCTCTGCAAACCCTGTGACCACACACAAGCACACTTATTTACACACGAATCACACATAATTCTGAACCATGAGAATAACCAGAATAATCAAGATTCATAAATCCATTTCCACCCACTTCATGGCAAGTACCAGCTCCTCCCATCGGAGGCGCTATAGGGCTTGCTGATGTAGGCCAGGATGAATCAGATCTTTGTCCCTACATCACTTTGAAGCAGCCATACTTTTTCAGAGATCTTAACCTCACACTATGGGTATTATGGTGGATTGAGGTCCATTTAGTTAGTTAGTATTATATAACTATGTTTAAGCATGGGGGCCTGTGCTTGGTCTTGTATCTTATTTTCTTCCAGTAGATTCTTCATGGTCTAAGCTTAGAGGATGATCCTTTGGGCCAACCAAAGCTTTATTGTTGTAAAGTTGTTCCAATTGATTTTCTAATCTGCTGTTGGCAAATCAACAATTCTGTGAGGCGCTTCAGGTGATTGCTGTTGTGATTTTGGGGTGTACAAAAATGTATTGATTTCATTACAATTTGAAAGCAAAGCATTTGGACAGAACAGGCACATTTCCAAGAGGGTTAGGTTTACATTTTATTGTATAAAGCAGTGATTCTCAAAGTGTGGTACGCGGGGATCCCTTCCCGCCAAAGAAGGTAAGCCAAAGAATCACTAAAATAAATAAATGTTTTTTTATTTATTTTTTATTTAACCTTTATTTAACCAGGAAAGTCCCATTGAGATTAAGAACCTCTTTTTCAAGGGAGTCCTGGACTAAAGTTATATACAAATACAGATTATAAAAACACAGTCAAGTCTCAATCTGGATCTAAAAGCATTCAATTAAATAAATTCAGATAATTTCCAGTCTATTTGCAACACGTTCCATGTAGAAGGAGCAGCATATACAAAAGCTTTTTTCCCAGTTCTGTGCAAAAGGAACACAGAGCAACAAACGTTCATTGGATTGCAAACCACATGAACCAACATCTCTGTGTGAGTAAATGGCAGATGTAAGAGGGCAGCAGACATAGCCTTATGAACAAAAGTGCACCAGTGTCCAAACCTTCTGATGGACAAAGAAGGCCCTCCCACTCCAGAATATCATTCACAGTGATTCAAGACTTTGCAGCTCGTAATGAATTGAACATTTTTAATTAATCCATCCATCCATCTTCTACCCTTTAATCCATTTCTGGGTCAGGGGGGTGGCAGTCAGAGATGCCACCCAAGTCTCATAGCACCAGCCCCTCACTGACCCTCTGCAGGTGGTGAGTCCACAGGAGGACGGCTGCTCTCTGACTGTGAGCATAGCCTTGATCTTTCAGTGGGGGCTTTGGGCAAAGTGGGGTTAAGTGTCTTGCCCAAGGACACAACGACAGCAGTCATCAGTGGGAGTCGGTGGAGAAGGTGCAGAGGTGGGAATTTTTAATTTTTAATTTTTAAATGATTTTTAATTAAATCATTATTTAAGTACAGCGTTTAGGTTTTTTTCCTGTCTTGCTGTTAAAACTGTGTAAAATGTTACATTGGCTGACAATATTAATTTCTTGAAACCTCGCCTTGTTTTTGATCAATACTTAGACTTACTACACTACTGTATAGTGTTGGTCATTTGTGGTGGTACTTTGAGAGGCAAGTATTTTCTGAGGTGGTACTTGGTGTAAAAGGTTTGAGAACTACTGGTATAAAGCATTAAACTAACACAGAATGACACTTTTTGTCGACTTCTTACCCTGATAAGATCCAAGTCTGTAGCTTTACACAACATGAGCTCTTGTCCAAATAAAGCTATTTCTGAAAGAGGAACACAAATTAAGTAAGGTACTTTGATGCATTATAAGAGTGTAATTGTGCAAGAAACAGAACAATACCAATTGTCAATGTGTCAGGGTCTTTAGGATTTACTGAAGAGGATTTACAACTCAGAAAGTTTGGATTTATACTGTGAAAAGAAAGACGTACATTAGCAAACAGATATTAAGTTATTTGTCACTTTATATATACCAACCATATTTTTCAGATTATAAGCCGCGGCTTTATTCCTGCCTTTTGAAGGCTGCGGCTTATAGTAAGGTGCTTCACAATGGGAGATTAAGAACAGCCGCTCAGTGACTCACTTCTTACCCTTACTCTTATTACTCACAGTAAAAAAAAGACATGATGAATGTTTTTGAGCTCAATTTTTCCATGTTACAACGTGGAAGAGGTGAGGCTTATTATCCGCTGCGGTTTGTACAAGTACAAAATTAAAACATTTTCTAAAGATTGAAGCCTTCGGTTTATAATAATAATAATAATAATGCATCGGTTTTATATAGCGCTTTTTTGGACACTCAAAGACGCTTTACATGTCATTATTCATTCACTCCATACATGGTGGTGATAAACTACTACTGTAGCCACAGCTGCCCTGGGGCACACTGACAGAAACGAGGCAACCAGTCTGTGCCATCGGCCCCTCCGACCACCACCAACCATTAACACACACACCAGACTCATTCTAGGCAATGGGGGTAAAGTGTCTTGCCTAAGGACACAACGGGAGTTTGGCACTTTACAGCCGCAGCCGCCCCACTGTGTTTCCAGAGCTTAAGTGTCTTGCCAAGGACACAACGGCAGCAGACAGTGGGAGTCGATGGTGAAGGTCGGGCTCAAACCCACGACCCTCTGGCTCAAAGATTCAGATTCAAAGGCCAATGCTCAGGTGCAGCTTGTAGTCCGCAATCTGCAACATTTGCATATAGTACATATTTTCAATATTGTGCAGCCCTACTGTAGATAGGCCTGGACGATTGACTGATCTTGAATTTAATTTCACTATACTTAACTTTTTTAGTTGTGCGGACGCAGAGGTAAACACACAGAATGTCTGTCCCTGTATCAGTTCAGTCTCCAAAACAGTGATTTTACATTTTTAAAATAGAAAAGTGAAAAGTAGACCATGCACAAGTATTCATACAGCTGAGTGCATTAAATTGCCATTAAAACATTCCTAATTACTGCTGAACATTCACACCTTGCTCTCATGATTAAATAGGTCTCCTGTATGTAATCTACTCTTAGTAAGGGCCTCGGCGCTATGGTTGGAATGTATTGGTCACTAATAATAAAGTGCATCTTTACCTTTAACTTTTTTAACAGCATCATAGAGGCTAAGGAGCAGACCATAAAGGTCAGGGACAAAGTTTAAAGCAGCGTTAAGTTATAACAAGATTTCCCAAGATTTGAACATCTCACAGAACCCTGTTTAATCCATCATGCGGAAATGGAAACAGTATGGCACCAATCTCCATTTAATTTGACAGAGCTCGAGTTGTTTATAAAGACGAATGGGCTTAAACTTTCTGTCTCTCCATGTGCAAATCTTGTAGAGTCTCAACCCAAAAGACTTGCTGCTGTTATAGGAGCAAAAGGGGCTCTACAAAGTATTAACTCATGCAGTATGAACACTTGCACATCCATATTTTCAGTTTTGTATCTTTAGAAAAATTACAGAATTATGCATTATTTTGTAACTGCAAATTAAGTACATATCAGATTCAGTCAGTACATTCTTAACTATGGTTAAATTATTTTACACTAAAAGGTGTCTAGAAGTTGTGACAATATTGCCCAGGATGGTGGCGAGTAGAAAGCAAGCTTTCAGACATTAGAATAATATGGTGGGTTTGTGACCCTAATGACTATCAAACAATGATCAGGAAAAAACATTTCATTTAAAATGTTGATTGTTTCCCAGAAAATGTTGATTGTTTCCCAGAAAACTGCACCTGTCCTCCAACTGAAATTGAATTCTAGAACATAACATGTCTAAAAACGCAGCCGTTTAATGTCATGTAATCTGAGTGAAGCCTTGCCTTTACTTTGTATTCAGACTTTATTTGTTCTTTAAAATACACATCCTGCATACCTTTTACAGATCCATGCGAGTATGTCTGTGCGATACTGTGAGGGAGAACACAGCAGATGTAACATACTGTCCTCGTCCTGCAGGAACAGCCCCTCCATCAGTGGACAGGAGGCAGCCTACAAACACAAAGAAAATACTTTATTTACCATATCTCTTGGCCAGGGAAACAAGCAGGATTAACTGGTGCCATAATGACTCTCTAGGCACATTTAAAATAATGTGTTGCGAATGTAAATGACATTTCAGTTTTCTGTTCGTCGTGATTCCTATTATTGAATCGTGTACAATAACAGATGCGATTAGTACGGAGTGTTCCTGTTTTAAACGTTATTAGTTACTGTAGAGTAAATTAAGTTGTGAATGAAACACTATGAAACGACACACGTAGCTAAGTCATATTGTTGGGAAATCACTAGACTGTGGCAACAATCCCAGTTTGATTTCAACGCAATCAACGAATTATTTAAAGCAACTCGGAAAATCCAAAGACTTTAATGGAAGCCACACTTTGATCGCAGAGCACGGAGACCGCATCAGATGATCGTAGCATCACGAATTATACATGAATTTTAGCGGAAACTCGCATTATTTATGTAAGTAGAAATAATCAAATGACATGTTTACCTGTAATAAATTGTACATTTCGCGTGCAAGTTGTTTTTCTTTCAAAGCACCCGCCATTTCTGAGCGACAAACACCGTCGCTCTTCTTCTTCTTCTTCTTCTTCTTTTAATTTCCGGCAGACTTGGCGCCTCATCGCGCATTGCTGCCTTTCCCGGTCATCTTGTGCACTACAACAACTTCCATAAAGAATAGGCTCAAGCCTATCCTCTATAACAGGATATGCAGCTCAGCTGCTCGTACAAATTCCAAGACCGCTCTCACAACCAGATTCTGCTCTCTAACTGGACTCAGAAGAGACTTCAGATTGCAGTCCATAGAAACCTTTGACATAACCTCCTTCAGCACGGCTCGCTGATGAGAATATACTGGACAATCCATGAATACATGACTCACAGTCTCATTCTTGTTACAGTGTGCACATAACCCACTTTGATGTTTCCCCACTATAAATCTGTCCCACGCTAGCCCACAATGCCCTAATCTCAGCCTGGTAAGGATGACCTCACTCCTTCTATCCTTAACACACATTATAGGATTACATTTAAAGAAGCTATACCCGATTTTTTTTCTAAGTAGTTCATAAAAATGCTTTTTACTACATACAAGTTGTATCATAATACATAATTGAATTGAAAACTTGAGGTCATTGATTCCACTATGTATGAAATTCAGGCCGTGAAAAGTGCTGAGTAGAGTCTTAGCGGGACGCTCGTTCTCCTCCGCTCACAGAACGAGCAGCGAGCAGCCTGCGTCCTCTAGCCTCTACAGCGCTGCTTAACACCAGGGCTTCGACTTCAAAATTCGAATATAATTCTAAAATAAAAAATATATACATATTTGAACAAATATTAGACAACCCTTATAATTAGAAATGTATTTAATGACTGCAAATAAAATAGTTAGCTCCCAAAGGTTTCAACGGGACGTGCTAGGCAGGTAACAGCTAAGCTAGCTAGCTGTTTCATGGTAACTTCCGGGTTTTTCGCGATCGCTTTTTGTCACTTTAAAACAGTATTTTTGTCATGAAAACGTTGACAGCAAATTCTGAAATCGTCCGTGCATGTGTGTTAAGGATGTATCTGTATACTGTATTGTCCGATTGACGTTTAATTGTGTTGATTGATTGATATGTATTTGTTTATTGAGCGTGGCTAGCTCCGCTAGCTTCTCTACACAGACAAGTGTGCAGAAAAACTGCACAATGTAGTGACAGGCGCTGATAGCTTGTTGTACTTGCAAAGTAATGGCAGTATTTTACACACCTGAATTACAAACAGAGATTGCATTGGGGCTGCGGTCATTATTGGTTTGAGAGTTCTGTTATCAAGAAAAAATGATCGGAAGAATTGCATTCAAGTCAATGGAGTGCTGCTGCTTTGAGGAGCTGTATAATAAATTATAATTAAATATTAGAATATATTCTAATGTTTAAATTAATACATCCGGACGCGAAACGTATTCTTTTACTTATATATTGTGTTAGCAGTGCATTGCTTTAGTGCCATTTCATCAGTGATTGTTGCACAGCTTACAAGTTACGCTAATGCTAATGTTAGCATATGTATCAGATCGCAAATAAAACTAGGTGGCTCCGTGTTATGAGAGCGCAGGGGAAATGAGAAGCCTGTGAGCGAGTTGGGGGGCGGTGCTAAACATTCAAACATTGCAGAAACGGGTATAGCGCCTTTAACAGAGGGATTGATAGCGTATAAGTGTCGCCCCCTGCTGTCCCCATCCCAAATTGCTTGCCAAACAGCTGTACTATGGATTTTAATCTTAGCTTTCCACTCAAGCACCCCTGGCACTACACTACACTCTAAAGGTTTTTTCAATGCCTGTTTTGCCGCATTGTCTGCAACTTCATTGCCCCATACACCAACATGAGCCGGGACCCAGAGGAAACCCACAGACCCCTTTGCTTTCTCAATCTCAGAAATTTCAGTCAGCAACTCGATCACTAGATCGGGCCTGGCATTGCCTTTATCGAAACCTATAGAGCTTAACACAGCCGCTGAGTCTGAACATACTACAGTCTGACCTTGTTTATTGGCCTTTGCCCACTGAAGAGCAGATATTATCGCTTTAATTTCTGCAGTGTACACAGACATCTCATTTGGCAGTCTCTTATTAAAAACCACATCTAATTGAGGCACAAAAAAGGCGCACCCCGTCCTTCCAGATTCCTTTTCCTTTGAGCCATCTGTATAAACCTGCAAATGGCCTTCCCATCTCCCTCCCAACGCCTGTTCTACAAGGTTCAATATTCAGGATCATTTTTTCCCCTTTTACCTTCTAACACTGACATGTCAATATCAGGGGATGGTAATGTCCAAGGAGGAATGGCTGGCCATAACAGCTGAGGGGCAACCCCCACCTCTCTAAATCTCAACTTCTCAATTTCTTTGCTCACAGTAACAACAAAAGGTTCATAGTTCCTCTTTGCTCCTAACTCCCATGATGGATCTAGCAACTGTTTCGCTGGAAATTCCCCAGTAAAAGCTCTTAGTTTAACCAGGTACTGCATTGCTAGTTTGTCTCGTCTTATCCTTAATGGTAATTCCCCCACCTCTACTAAGAGTGCAGGAATTGGAGAAGACCTGCAGGCTCCGCAAGAAACCCTTAGTGCTTTCGCTTGAACAACATCCAGTCTATTCAAATGCGACATTGCTGCGCTACCATATGCTAAACACCCATAGTCCAACCTTGACCTCACCATTGCCCGATAAATGAGCATTTGAGTTTCTCTCAGAGCCCCCCAACAACTCCCTGACAACGCCCGCATCACATTTATCACCTTTTCACATTTCACTATAACATTCTCAATTTGCTTTTTCCACAGACCCTTTTCATCAAGGATTACTCCAAGAAATTTAAAATCCCTCACCCTTTCAATTTGCTGCCCATACAGTGTCAATTTCTGACTGCCCACTTTTTTATTTCCAAAAACCACAAACTTACTTTTCTCAACAGAAATTCTAAAACCCCAATCCTGCCCCCATTGCACCACTCTATTAATAGCTGCCTGCATTTGCCCTACCACATATCCTACGTTTCTTCCTCTTTTCCAAATAGCTCCATCATCTGCAAAGAGAGATGTGCCAAATGAAGGACCTAGAGAGTTAAAAATATCATTTACCATAACATTGAATAAAATTGGACTGATCACACTTCCTTGTGGTGTACCATTATCAATCTCTGTCCCTTCAGAAAAGACCTTCCCCACCCTGACTTGGATCACTCTGTTGCAAAGGAAGTTTTGAATCCAGTTGAGCATACGTCCATGAATACCACTGTCATAGAGCTTAATCACCAGGCCATCACGCCATAACATATCATAGGCTTTTTCAATGTCTATGAAGACAGCCACCAAACTTTGCTTATTGACCAAAGCCTTCCTTATGTCACAATCCAGGCTGAGGACAGAATCCATAGTACCCCGACCTCTTCGAAACCCACTTTGCACAGGTGATAGTTTGCCCTCCCTTTCGAGTCTATAGACAAGCCTGTTAGTAACCATTCTTTCCATCACCTTACACAAAACAGAGGTTAGAGCAATTGGTCGATATGAGCCTGCCTCAGACGCTTTCTTTCCAGGTTTAAGGATAGGCACGACTACTGCCTGCTTCCACGCTGACGGAAGCTTCCCCTGCTCCCAAACATTATTAATAAGAGCCAACAATTCATACAACACATTCTCACTCAATCTTTTAAGTAGCTCATAACTAATCCCATCTTTCCCAGGAGCAGACCTTTTCCCTTTGCCAATTGCGCTTTCCAGCTCCTCCAAGGAAAAATACAAATTACACACATCGGAATTGTCATCACTAACTTCGAGCTTGTGCCTGTTTGCCTCCAACGTGACATCTCTCTTCCTCCTGTCCTCTAATTGTAGATTTTCACCACTGTGAACTGCTCTGAACTTATCTTGGAGAACCCTGGCCTTTCCCCACTCTGTTGATACTGACGACCCTTTGTCTTCTAAAGCTGGAATGTCAATTCTCCGATTAACTCCTGACATACGTTTTACAGCCCTCCAAATATCTTTCAGCGAAGTCTCTATTCCCAGTGTACTACAATACTTCCTCCAGCTCTCTCTTTTGGCCGACTTGATTATTCTCCTGGCTGAAGCCCTTAACCTTTTATACACTATTCCATTTTCTTGTGTTGGAAATTTTTTAAGCACTCTAAAAGCAGTTTTTCTCTCCCTCACAGCATTTTCACAGTCTCTATTCCACCATGGTACTTTAGCACGCTCTTTTTGACATTTCTTTACAGGAATACACTCATACGCACTATCCATAATAATCTTACACAAACTATCATTCCATTCACTGAGTGTACCTTCCTCAATTACTCCATCTATTCGTTCATCACATAACTTACTAAATTTATCCCAATCCGCCCGCTCATAATTAAAATACTCAGGATTATGCTCCTTCCTCTTCAATAAAGGTTTCCCAAACCTCAAGAGAATAGGCCAATGGTCACTTCCAACATTATCCTCCATAACCTCCCACTCTCCCACTCTGGCCAAACCACTGGACACAAGAGCTAAATCAATACTTGAGCCTGTTCCTGACTGGATGTTAAAACGTGTAGGCCTTCCATCATTCAAACAAACTAACCCACACTCCATAAAATCTTCAATAACACCTCCATTTACATCCCTACTACCACTCCCCCAAAGAGGGTTATGGCCATTAAAATCCCCCACCCAAACTATGTGACGCCCAATCTGTGCTTTCACGTCCTCAAGCTCCGACAGCTGAATCTGGATACACGGGTTGTACATATTTACTACCGTAATCCATCCCTCCTTACCCCACACCCTGACTGCTACACACTCGAGTGAGGTCTTAAGATCCACTTTTTGAAACTGGACCTCATTTTTAATAAAGGTTGCACAACCTCCACCAGCTCTCTCACCCCTATCTAACCTGACACTATTATATCCAGGAATTACAAAATCTAAGCATGATTTTAACCATGTTTCTTGAATACAAATAATCTCAGGAGGTGGCATAAAATCACATAAAAATCTCTTCAGCTCTTGACCATTAGCCAAGAGACTCCGAGCATTCCACTGCAGGACGTGAAACATACTGTTCAACTGGTGTCAAAACCTCCATCATTAACCTCAATACTTCCATCCTCAGCAACTATGACATCTGCACTTGCTTGTGCACTTTGAGATCTATCCCTTCCCTCCTTAGCTCCTTCCATTCTCTGTTTATAAAGTAAAAAAGATCCTCAGGCACTACTCTGTCCCCTTCAAGAAATCTCTCTGCTGCCCCAGTCACTACTTTAATCAAATCTGATCTTCTATCACAATTCCTTGCAGCCCAGAGAATATCCACCATGAAGGCTAGCAACGGCTGAGACACAGTAATTTTTGCTGCTTTATGTGCAGGAGCTGCATGGACTACACCTCTGGGTGAACTACCCTCCCCAATCTTTTTAAGTGCTTCAGCATACGACAATTTACCCTCTGCTCTAACTTTCTCTACTACTACAGCTCGCTGATGGAAACTACACTCTCTGGATGAAGAGGTGTGGTTGCCCCCACAGTTGCAGCACTTAGCCTGGTCACTCTCACACTCAGTAAACGCATGGTTTCCTCCACATTTACCACATCTTTCAGCCCCTCTACATACTGCCGCCACATGGCCAAAACGTTGGCACTTGTAACAGCGGAGAGGGGGTCTAATGTACTGCTTGACTGGATAGCTCATGTATCCCAGCATGACTCGGTCAGGGAGAGAATCCTCTTTGAAGGTGAGCAGAACAGCTGCACCAATGCTCCTAAACCTCCTTGCAGACTCCACCTCAGCCCCTTTAACATTTTGCACAATAGAGCTTTCTGAAATCTCAGGGCTCACATAAATGACCCCTTTAACACTGCCTCCTTGGTCTGGAACAAAACTCTCCACAGGGCGGTTTACAAAGGATTTCACCTTCAGAGCTTTTGCCCGCTGGTTCTCAGTTTTACACAAAATCAGGAAGTTTCCGTTCATTAACATTTTTACATTTAAAACTCCTCCCAATTTGTCTCGAATGTCTTCGGACAGCTTAAGTGGATTAACGGCCCTATCACTTTTGTCCTTGAATTTAACGATAATCTTGAATTCACTATTTTGATCCTCCAGACGAGACATTTTCCTCGCTTCCTCGTTACACTCGTCTCCACTGTCAATCCCTGGTCTATCCCTTTTCCGACGTCCTCCCCCCATACGCCAACGCTAGCAACAAGCTGCAGCGACAATGGCTAGTGCACCCCTACCCTACACCCACCGCACACTAACCTTCAACAAACTAAACCAATCCAACATATAAATCATATACAGAGCCTTAACAATGGGAAAGTGCACACTGCAACCAAGCACGGGCTTGAGACTGAAAAAATGTCCACAGACAGTAAACGAAAATCCGTCAGCGTTGGACTCAAAGGCCGCTCCGCAACTCATTGGACGCAGCTGCTGCCAATCTCCCCCGGATAGCTGTCATCCCTCACACCGTCGCTCACTTATGACGTAAATGTATAACTTTGTAAAAAACTATTTTAAAAATGTATTATATTGATTATAGAATTAATTGGTCAATGTCTAGTGTCTTCTTGAAAGCAAATATATGGTAGGTAAGTTCATAGGTTGAAGTCTATAGTCAGCCATAAAACTGGTAAATTTGTCCCAAATTTAGTTCATATATCTACATTTTTTTAACATCGGTCAACATAGGTAACATAGGTAATACCTATGGCAACGGTATTTGGAATCCAAATTTGCTTGCATATAACATTGGGTAAAAACGTTTGAATAATATGAATGAAAAGGATGATATTTTTGATGATGACCAACTTTCACTCATGGCAGAACACCATCACAGAGTACTAGAGACAAACCCCATGAACCTTGGATGTATTTGTAAGGTTGAAGAAGATGACATAGTCTGGGATCGCGTCTTTCATTCAGACAGAAGACATGTTTTATTGTCGATGGTAGAGACAGCACGAACAAAGCACACGATCACAGAAACAATAGAATGCAAGTGTATTATACAGAGCGGAGGCATGGAGACCTCCAATCAGCAGCTTCCACGGTGTGCTTGTAGCTTGGCCTTCAGATAGACAAAACAAGGGAAAAGTACTGGCTTCTGCACATTGATAGAATGATGAGTTTAACTTTAACAAAAGTTGCTTCAAAGTGTTATGAAATCTCATATTCCCCCCTCTGGTCATACATTCACGTGTGACCATCAGGATTGATAAACAGCAACATAACATCATAACTCAATACTTCAACTCGGTACTTCAAAAAACTCAGAACTCAGAACTCAATACTTAAACTCATAAAACTCATAAAACATGTTCAGATCTTTCATAAAACTTGTCAACAATCTTCAGTAAAATACCAAACTTCATCAGTCGATGGTTCCAGATATTGCTTTGAAAACAGTCTCTCCCACTTCTCAGTGTTGGATTCTTCAGGCTGCATTTGTGTCGAGCCATGAATTCTTCTGTGACGTGTTATTTCAATCACACGTTTCAGCTTCAGTGTCCAGATTCAGCAATTCAATTCAGTCCAAATTATGTCCAAATTCAGAAATCCAGATTGTTCCAAATTATGTCCATGCAAAAGAGGACGCTGGTGTTGTCCATGTCTCAGCAGCTCACAGCCTGACTGGAATCAGGGGCTGTGCAGATTGTCCATGTGCTGATCCAGATGCATTCTCTTGAGGTTTCTCAGTTTTGGCTTAAAAAAAAAACACTTTTTGTGTAAAAAAAAAAAAGAGTCTTCTGTTCTCTAGATGTTACAGACAAGGCCCGCATCCTCCACCACCTGAAGAAGATGACATAGTCTGGGATCGCGTCTTTCATTCAGACAGAAGACATGTTTTATTGTCGATGGTAGAGACAGCACGAACAAAGCACACGATCACAGAAACAATAGAATGCAAGTGTATTATACAGAGCGGAGGCATGGAGACCTCCAATCAGCAGCTTCCACGGTGTGCTTGTAGCTTGGCCTTCAGATAGACAAAACAAGGGAAAAGTACTGGCTTCTGCACATTGATAGAATGATGAGTTTAACTTTAACAAAAGTTGCTTCAAAGTGTTATGAAATCTCATAAGGTGTCCTAGTTGCTGAATAAAACTTAAAAGTAGTCAATACTTCTAGTCAATACTATTACTGATTATACTGAAACGATAAGCTAAATCCTGGTGTTGTAAGATCAGCCTTAACTCATCTAATATGCATAATAAAATACTCTTAGATGACATGACTTTGCTTGTTGGTAAGTCACTAGTTAGATGTAAAACAAGCCTTTTAAACAAATACATAATTGGAAGTCAAAAATCAAACACCAGCCTGTGGTCATTCTGGGTCATGTTCTCATCCAAGGATTGAAGCCTCTCTAGTTCAGAGAAAAGGTGTTGGTTCTCCAGTCTAATTTCACTCATTTTTCTGCTAACATAAAAATGTTAGCAGATGCTAACATATAACTACATATTGCTTGCACTAGAACACACAGTACTTTATACTTGCCTCTTATTTTGCCAAATGTAAAATTTGTATACTTCTTTATTATTATTATGTTCAAGGTAGAGATGTTATATTTGTTCTTTTATGCTAGAGTTAAAGATTTTGTTCTATTTTAAGAAGTTCATCTATTGTTCATTTATCTTGTGCTGTGTGCTTCTCATTTCTACTGTTCTATCTTGTGATGCAACGCTGACATTTCATCGCTGTAAAACGAATAAAGGATCTCTTAATCTAATCTATTCACCAGCAACATATCAGAAATCAAAACAGTTCTAAGGAAATGCATCAATAACAAACACAATAAATGTCAATAAATGGGCTTAAAGTGGTAAAATATATTTTTTATAAAATAATATATATACAGATATATAGACCCCATAAAGTGGTACTCAAACAGTGTGCGTATAAAACAATATAAAAGTTTTATATTACTGGGTTGTTTATCTTGAGTAACGCGTGCCTGTTTACACTCCTAACCAGTTGATGGCGGTATTACACCACTTACGTCGTTTGCCAACCGCCAGCAAAGATGCCGTTCTTCTTTTATACGTCATATCCGGGTTCTATCCCAGACGCTAACAACATGAACGAGGTAAGTTGACTGCCCCGTTAACGTTTGTTACTGACGAATGGGCACATTGTGAAGTACTCTTTAAGCAGTTATTTGTTGTACGCAGGTCGTGAAGATGAAAAAGAACCGCCATGTGGTGGCGTGGTACAACAAGGCGGAGTTTGACCACGTGCGGGAGCATCTGTTCTCTGGTGACCCGAGCCTGCAGAAGCATTCACTGGGCAGGTAACCGAGCATCTGTCCTGGTATTGTCTGTCTGTGCTGCAGGGACAGGGGCCTCCAATAACGGCTCCGGAGAGTTCCCCCTTGCATTGATTAGCACTGTTTAACACTAGGACTCTCAGAATTCTGGATCGTCTATAACTCACAGAACCGTCATTTTGACTGCTCCCATTCAAACCCCTGGAATTATGGAAAAATCCCCAGAAATGCCTTTACTCACCTTTTTATTGATTATAATACTCGTCAATGTAATATGAAACACAGCCAAAAAGTAAAGAGTAAACAGTGTGTTGTTATAAATACAAAAAAGTTCCTACTGAGTAAGTACTCATACAAAACTATAATGCTGTCAAATTGACTGTTCTTGGAGTTTGACTGTTGGATTACAGGAATGAGGATTCACCATAGCAACACATGGCATTTGGCATAAATGGTTAACGAACAGTTTGCAATAAGATGCTTTTAAAAGGATGCTGCTAAATTCAACCTAAAGTCTGTTTTGATGAGTAACAATATTGTAAGGAAATTTACAAATGTAACTTGTATCTGTCAGGATCTCTGCGTGGAAGTGCCGTCTCTCCTCCAACACTCCGGTGGCGATAGGGTTGACTGCTGACCTGGTCCGGTGCCAGGTGATGGACAGACGTGGGCAGCTCGATGGACACGAGCTGGTCATGGTTTATGGAACTGCTATCGTCAGATTTGTCAACCTAATCACTGAGAGACAGCAGGGGAGAGTGGCCCGGTCACTACGCCACCTGGCAGGTAGGTTCACACAGGGACTTCAAGGGTACTTAGAAAGTTTCACAAAACTGATTAATCAATATATGTTAGCTAAAGTCCACTCAAAGCTCGGGTACCCAACTTGGACCACAACATGTTGTCCAACATGATTTATTATTACTTGCAGAGAGAGCCCTGTGAGTCAGTATTGGCTGAGCTGTTTGAGTGATATCTAGTGATGGAACCAAACTGTTTTGAAAGTGAGGTTCGTGAAAACCGGAGGGAGTACAGAAGGGAACCCTACTAGGTTCATGACGGCTTAGAGGACCAATAAGTTCAATTGGTCAATTAAAAAACTGGGTTTGTACAGCGTAAGTGTAAAATTCAAGCACTTTCAAGATAAATGTGAACTTTTTCAAGGAACCAATACTTTAAATAATATACATAATTATAGACTTGCATTAATTTAATTGGATGCACTTTGCCCAAGAAATCCAAGAAGAGCCCTGTGAGTCATGACTTTTGGGCACAATCAACATGCATTGTTAATGCAAGGAAAAATCAATCAAAGTTTATTTGTAGAGCGCCTTTAATACACCGGGCAACACAAAGCGCTTCACAGTCCACATCACAAATCATCACATAAAACAAACACCAGAATCACAGTTAAAACATTAAAATCGCACACAAGCTTAAAACCATTAAAACGTTAAAAATTACTCAAGGAATTTTGAAAAATGTAGGTACCCTAGCTTTAATTTAGCAGGTTTTAGTTTCAGTGCTTCAAGAGGAGACATGGTCACTTCTTGAGGCTCCATAATCCAGCTCTGTTTCTTACAGCGGCGTATTTATCACATGCACAGGTTGCACAAAGATACGCACTTGCAACAAGCAGGTAATGCTCCTTTCTACGCTGGGTACCTTATGTTCAAGCTGTTGTCAAAGCGGCTCACAGTCACTGGAGGCTACCTACAGGGCAACCGCAATTGCTCTGGGGTCAAACCATAGAACGGGAATTGCCTCAATTGCCTCTTGTAGCTCTTTAGTTGATTTCTTCTTTGTTTTGTAGGAAAGTTGAACATCCCTGAGTGGATTGTGAATATGAGACACGACTTCACCCACAATAAGCCGCCAAGTCTGAAGTGGTGCAGAAAAGGCTGCAAGACAGCCCTGGAGTGGCTTCAGCAGGAGTACTGGAACAGACAGCTCAACACTGCAGCCTGGGACTCAGATGGGGAAGAAGATGATGGGTGTAAGGACAACATGCGGCAGAGAGACATGGAAGCGTACGGAAAAGCCCGCGAGCTCCTCATATCGTATGAGAAAGAGCAATACCAGGTAATGTGGGTATAAACGCATATCTCAATGAGTTAAGTTTTCCAAATTTTTCGAAACAATGTACGCAGAATACCAACCCCTCTATGTCTCTATATGTGTTAAGCTGTAGTATTTTTAATCATCCTTCATATTCTATGCACTCTTTATGTGCATATTGGTCCATTTTATCTCTTGATGTACAGAGGTTTTTAAAACTTGTAAATGTGCCATATTGTAGAAATAAATGTCTGATTGTCTGCCCTGCTCTAGCACCAGGCGTCTGAAGGCGGATACAACTCTGAGCAGAATTGGCCCAGTCCTTTCGCCGACATGAGCTGGCTTCTGGCCGAGATCAAACAGTGCGCTTCGGACTCGTTCCATGTGCTTCTCGACGCTTTGCTGGAAGAAGGATTCATGGTACCGACTTCAGAACAACTGGAAACCCTTGGCTGTGAAAACCCGTCTACGTCTGATGTTCCCAAAATACCACAAGTTTTTCTACGCTTTTGGCTTCCCCTGCTCAAAACGCTCAACTCTCCTGCATACATACACCTGCTTCTTGAAAAGCTTTTTGCTGAATTGAAGCTGCTCACAAGTGAACCCAACCACAATAGAGCGTATTTCATTTCTGCTTGGATCTCTGAAGTCATTCTCTGCAACTGCAAGCGATCCGATTTCCACTTTGAGACAAAAAATCAGCGAAAAGCGCGATTGAAAGACCGTATCTTTGCCAACCGCATTCAGCTGAGATGGCAACAGCTTCTATCTGCGTGCATGGATGCCCCTTTCACTAGCACACCGCACCTGCTCAAACTAATCTTTGACGACATGGATCACCCTTTGCCAGTGGAAACGCAACATAATCTGATCAGGCTCTCCTCCATCTACACGCAGCAGCCTGAAAGTGCTCTGCTGCGGAAAGACGCGACCATTTACACAGTGGACAGTTTGCACGAGATGCAGCGCAAGCAAAGACGTGAGCGCGCAGAGAAGAGCAGCGTGCACCGTGAAATGTCAGAAGGTGACGCAGATAAAGTGTGTGCTCTCAGGGGATCACCGTGGCAACTGTGTACGGACAATATAATATGGAAAAACTTCCCCTTAGGGAAAGTTCCAGGACAAACTGATGATCCCTCATATTTAATGATTGACACCTACTCCCTCATGAAGGCTTCGGATCAACCGGTCGAGGTGGAGAGCCACAGCTCGCTGAAAACAACGCTTGCACTGAAGTTTGACGGAGGGCCTGATGTAGGAAAACTCAAGTCTGGAATTAAACTTTTCTGAGCAATGGTTTTTCTCAGGTTTTGACCGAATTGCAGTTGAGGTAGTCATATTTTCTTACACCTTAGATGCCATTGTTCCATCACAGCGCACCCACTGTTTATACGTTCTCTGTCCCACTGGTATTTTCTTCCCTAGACAACTCTGAAACATTTTTGTTCAAAGATGAAGTTGATCGCCAACTTAATCAATGGCGGGACTGAATACATAAGTGCACTGGTTCGTCTTACATTGTTTCATATCGATATTGATGGTAGATTTGACATTTGCTAATGAGCCTAATACAGAAGACCGAGCCATGTTGTCTTTTAGAATTGACTAAGCAATCTGCCATATGACCGTTTACTTTGATAAATAGAGAAAAGGAAGTTATAAGCACACAAAAGGATAACTTGTGTGCGGTCTCATAGCAAGGAGTCATGAGACCTCTAATGGTTTCTGTTTGGTTTATCTGGAGTCGGAATGTTTTTGTGCAGTGCTATTATACAATCAGTGAAGGTGTCAAACATGCCACAAAACAGTGGTGTTATAAAAAACTTAAGACCAACTTTGAATTAAATACAATAATTCTAGACTTTGTATAAATGTTTGTCATTTTTATTGTAATGCGTTCATTATTGTTGCATGAAAGTCTAATGCAATCCACTTCAACTCTGGCTTTTGAAAATTTTTACTTTTACAACTTGAATGCAGAAAAGATGTTTTTGTTTTTGGCACAAAACAGACTTTGTAGAGAATAATTAATGGTTAATTTGTTCAATCATTTTGGCAGTTTTGGTCGTTTATACTGGGAATCATGGTGACTTTACTTTTGATCACTGTAGAGAAGACAGTTCTCCAAGATCAAATGTTTTGTAGGTTTTCTAAAGCAGGGCAACCACAGCAAATAACACTATCCAAACAATTGATCCTACAGTATTCTTTAGACCAGTGTCTCCCAAAGTGGGGTCCGCGGCCCCCTGGTGGGCCGCGAGGGTACTGCAGGGGGGCCGCGGGAGGTCATAAAAAATAAAAAATAAATTATTTAATGTTAAATTTATAATCTTTTGTTTGTAATATTAAAATATTTGTGTTCATTATTTGACTTGAATAATCCACTGTAATCATTTTTGTATTACAATGTTTGTAGCAGAGGCTATTTCCCCAAAATAAAATAACCAGAAGAGCATATTCTTAATGTTGTCTTCTTGGTTATTATTTTGGGGGGCCACGCAGACCCGTCAGATTTTTAAGGGGGCCTCGGTGTTACTGAGTTTGGGAATGGCTGCTTTAGACCATTGTGACTGGAAGGAAAGGCACTATTTTGGCCTAAGTAAAATGTTTCACATCTTTATTCTGTTTTGGATGATAAGCCCCTTTAGGCGTGTGATTATTCTTCCGATTATTTTATAGGTCAAAAGTTGAAACGGCTGAAGTGAAGCCCTGGAGGATATGTAGAATTATACCCAGGCAAAACGGTATATCAATTAAAAGGATTGCACAGTCTAAAAAAGGTATGGTTTTAACTAGATACTGTTTGGAATATTAAAAATGAATTACAAAAAGTCTTATCGGTTTATTATGGGCCTGGACTTTCTTATAAGATGAAGACATTATGTTGTGGTCTGATTACTTTTACAAGACTTTCGGTAGGACAAACATGTATGAGAAAAGTTAGGTACCCCAGCTTTAATATGTGGCGTCCTGTTGCCTTGTACTCTGCGCATGCGCGACAGAGGACACAGACTCGACGAGGAGAAGGACGCTAGATTTCGCTCCACGCCATTTCATGTTTCTTTTCATACTTTTTCCTGCTTTTTTCCTCTGTCCGCTGGTTGACTGGGCTCAAATCTCGTCCATAACCCCCAGGATCGGGTGTATTCTCATGTTATTTCTCTGACTTGGAGTCGGTAAGTGGATTTAGAAAACAGCTGCGTCATTCGCCTCATGGCTTTTGTTCATGGCGCCAGTTTTGCACAGTATTTTATCTCATTGCAAATCAATGGATCCAATACAATGCATACTGTAAATATTGACAGCTATGTATGTATCAAGATCTGTACGTGAACTGACTTGAATGCAGCAGATGGTAACCCTAATTTTAGTGCGCAAACTTTAAAGAATCACGTGCTTGAATATGTGAATTTAATTATGAAATACATTGTTTGACGTCTACATTTGGTCCAATTAAACCAGTTCCAGACATGAACAGTGACATGGCTGTGCGTCAAACATGAGTAATATTGGATTGGGACAGACTACGCAAAGCTAGAAAGAGCGCTAGTTTACTTAGCATGTTAGCTCGTTAACCGGAAGTGTCTTTATGTTAACCGGAAATGTCTTTATGCATCGCTTCTTTCGTATTTTTGTATTATCTTGGGTTAATCTTATGGAAATATATAAAAGTTAATATTCAACACGTGCATACATTGACACCGCATTGACCTGTTTGCTGTTTTAACAAAACATTTAAGAGAAGCCTGGAGGCCTAAACGTTGCAAATACGTAGACACGAAGTTGCGCCTGATGTAACAGGTGTAAGTGTTGGCCATTCTACATGTTATGCAACTACGAAGAAAACGCCTGTTAAAGACAAACATTGAGTTGTTTAACAGAATTATAAAAGCTTCGGAGAAGAATGATAGTTGTACAACATTTCTTAATGAGATGCATTGACGTATCGACATTTTCAGTAACACAGGGTTCGTACAGTCATGGAAAACCTGGAAAAGTCATGGAATTTTAAAATCTAATTTCCAGGCCCTGGAAAAGTTTTGGAATTTTGTAGGTCCTGGAAAAGTTTGGAAATTTTACAAAATGTATGTTTAAAAAATTTAAGGCTATATAAATCTTCAGTAAAATACCAAACTTCATCAGTCGATGGTGGTTCCAGATATTGCTTTGAAAACAGTCTCTCCCACTTCTCCGTGTTGGTTTCTTCAGGCTGCATTTGTTGTGTTGAGCCATGAATTCTTCTGTGACGTGTCTTTCAATCACACGTTTCAGCTTCAGTGTCCAGATTCAGCAATTCAATTCAGTCCAAATTATGTCCAAATTCAGAAATCCAATTGTTCCAAATTATGTCCATGCAAAAGAGGACGATGGTGTTGTCCATGTCTCAGCAGCTCACAGCCTGAGTGGAATCAGGGGCTGTGCAGATTGTCCATGGGCTGATCCAGATGCATTCTCTTGAGGTTTCTCAGTTTTGGCTTAAAAAAAACACTTTTTGTGTAAAAAAAAAGAGTCTTCTGTTCTCTAGATGTTACAGACAAGGCCCGCATCCTCCACCACCTGAAGAAGATGACAAAGTCTGGGATCGCGTCTTTAATTCAGACAGAAGACATGTTTTATTGTCGATGGTAGAGACAGCACGAGCACGAACAACACGAACAACAGAATGCAAGTGTATTATACAGAGCGGAGGCATGGAGACCTCCAATCAGCAGCTGCCACGGTGCCATGTAGCTTGGCCTTCAGATAGACAAAACAAGGGAAAAGTACTGGCTTCTGCACATTGATAGAATGATGAGTTTAACTTTAACAAAAGTTGCTTCAAAGTGTTATGAAATCTCACAGAATAAATAAAAAACAATCATAAAGCACTCCAGCGCGCACATTGTATTCGGGCAGACAGGTTGCTTGCAGCCATTAGCGACACGCCCCCCGCTTGACTCGAGGCCAGCTACGTGTTTTCCGTGCTACAGCGACTCAGCAAAACCATCATGCCAGGAAAATGCAGATTCAACAATGCGTGGCTATTTGTGGAAAAATATCAGAGCTGGCTTCAAAAAGACTCCGACTCAAGTCACGCCAAGTGTAAGCTATGCAGTAAAACGTTTGACATTTCGAATATGGGGGAGTCTGCTCTGGCGAGCCATATGAAAGGGAAAAAACATGAGTTAGCCATGAGGGCAAATGCCGCGGCGATTCCCATCAGCCAGTTCATAGGCGCTAGTGTACAGAAAACCCCCACGCCAAGAGCACCGACAACAACTCAAGGAACGTTGGACTTTTCCTCTAAAAATGAGGTACTGAAAGCCGAGATACTATGGGTATTAAAAGTAATGAAATTCGCATTACTCCTACAAATCGTCAGAGGGCACGAGTCGTCTGTTTGCAGCTATGTTCCCAGACAGCCAAATTGCCACAAGATTCACATGCGGTGAGAAGTGTGCATACATCGCCACATTTGGGCTTGCGCCGTATATCAAAAGACTTTTATTGAAAGAAGTGTCACAACAAACCGCATACGTCGTGCTATTTGACGAGTCTTTGAACCATAGCTTACAGTCGAAGCAATTGGACATTCACGTACGCGTGTGGGAAGGTGGAGAAGTCAAAAGCAAATATATCGGTTCCCAGTTTCTTGGACATTCTACAGCGGCTGATATTGTGGAAAAGATGTGCAACACGTTGTCCGAGATGGGAATTAAAAACCTCATCCAGCTGTCAATGGACGGACCGTACGTGAACTGGAAAGCATATGACATGATTCAAAAAGAGATGCAAAAACAGGTGGACAAGTCGCTGTTAAACATTGGCTCTTGTGGTCTGCACGTACTACACAACGCTTTCAGAGCGGGGTCCAGCGCAGCGGGATGGGACGTTGAGCACTCGCTCTTATGTTTGTATTGGCTATTTGTATTGGCAAGCAAGTGTAGAGAGAGGGTTTTGCATAAACAAAGAGATAATTGTGGAAAATCAAAAGGAACAGTCACTCATTGCTCAGAGGCTCATCGTGGGACACATTAGGGCTGTTGGTGATGTGACAAATGTACCTCTCACCAAGGAACTCTTCATGTCAGTTTCATGTGCCAACAGCGATACAAAAGCTACTTGGATGATATGAGGAGGGCAAATGAGAAGCAAAGGTCTGTGGAAAAGAGAAAGGCACTTACAGATGAACTAAAAAGGAAGAAAGCCAGAATACATCAGGATGTTTCTGCATTGGAGAAGGCAGCAGACGACTACGCGAACACAGCAGAAAACACTGGCAACATAACCTTCATAACAAAGTCAAACAGTCTGCGCCGCACGGCTAAGGAAAAGATAATCTCTCTACAGGATCTCGATAAGCAAATGGACGACAAGCTTCTTGAGATGAAAACCAAAGAATGAGCTACAAACTATAAATGGCCTAAGACCTTTACAGAATATAGGCCTGCTTACTCACTATATCACACTGATACTTTAAAATGTACTAACTAGGCTTTTTTTATATGTTTATTTTGTATTATTACTTGAACTAAATGCACTGGAGCTGGCTATTTATGTGTCTTGAAGAATTAACTGCAAACCTTGGCCTGCAATACTGGGACACTTTATTGTTACTTGAACTATTTTTATTTTATTTACATTTAACCATTAACATGGCAATATAGGCCTACTCAGTCTGTACTGGGACACTTTATTTTTTACTTGAACTCCAGTTAAAGTACTGCAGCTATTTTATATTTCAGAATGAACAGGGGAAGCCTTCTTAGTCTGTAGTGAGAGACACTTTATTTTTACTCGAACTTAAGTTAAAGCACTGAAGCTGTTTTATTACAATATTTACCTGTGCTGAGACACTACTTTCACTTCAGTTAGTCTGTAATGCAATGCAGAAATGTAGCAGTACATACATTGCTACCATTTTGAGTGTATTTTATTGTTGGAAGTAATTGCATGGTTACTTTTTGTTCTTGAATGTATTGAAGGTACAACAGTTAATATTTTTGATAAAAAGTTGACTTTGCATGCTGAATTTAGGCTAAATAAAAACAATGTTTGGTTACCCAACCTTTTATTAAGTATTTTTTATTTAATGATAAAATAGTGATCTGACACATAGAGGCCTGAGCTGGCCAGCGTACCTAGAGCTCCCTCTAGACACGGAGACGCTGATGCATGCTTTTATCACCAGTCGCATTGACTACTGTAATGCCCTGCTCTCTGGTCTTCCCAAAAAGAACATTTCAGGTTTACAATTACTTCAAAACTCGGCCGCACGTGTCCTGACTAAGACCAGGGGGCGGGACCACATTACACCGGTTTTAAAATCGCTGCATTGGCTCCCCGTGTGTTTCAGGATTGATTTTAAGGTTCTTTTAATGGTTTTCAAATGTCTTAATGGTCTTGGGCCTTCTTATCTTTCAGAACTGCTTTTATCCTATGAACCTTCCCGGCCCCTGCGCTCCTCCGGCAGCAGACTCCTAACCATCCCCAAAGTCAGGACACACACTCACGGCGAGGCATCTTTCCAGCACTACGGCCCCCGTCTCTGGAACAGTCTGCCGGAGGAGCTCAGGGTCGCAGAGAACATTCATATTTTTAAAGCCAGGCTCAAGACACACCTTTTTAGATTAGCTTTTGATTAGTATTTATTAGTCCATTTTTATATATTCTATTTATCCTTTATTATTTATTATATTGCTATTGCTTTTATTCATGTTTTGTGTGATAGTTCCTCTCAGGCTCACATTTTAGTGTTTTACTTATTGTATTGTTTTTAAGTATCCCCAGTGTTTCCTCTGGAGGAGCCTTCTGCGCTGGGAGCGGTGGTTGGCTGTGGCTGTGGGGGTCGGACTCTTGGACCTGGTGGGGGCCCGGGGCCTCGGTTTTGGGTCTCCTCTGGGTCCTGTGTCGTCCCCTTTGGCTATGGGCGGCTCTCTGCTCCTGGCGCTGACGGCTCCTTGGATGGCGTTTCTTCAGCCGGTTGCATCTGAACCCTGCCAAGTCTCTTATCGTCGTTTTATTGTTTTATCGGTGCGTGTGTGTGTGTGCGCGTGTGTGTGTGTGGGGGGGGGGGTGTTTGCTTGTGGTCTGGGGAGGGTCTGTTGGGCGGTCGGGGGGAGGGCATGGGCAGGATTGTTTTTTAGCCAAACTGTAAAGCACTTTGTGTTGCATCTGTTGTATGAAAAAGCGCTTTATAAATAAACTTTGATTGATTGATTGATAGAGGCAGCAGCAGGAATGACTTAGTAAAAAGTGATCAACTGAAAGTTGTTTTGCAACTCAATTGCACCCTGGTTAACACACTTTGAGAGGAAAAATGTGGTGGACAGTTCTGTGATTTTCCTATGACTCAAAATAACCCTTAACTCAAAACTGCATGAATGAAAAACTATTCTAACAGTGTTGTACATTAAAATTCTGTTTTTTTGCAGAATATGTTCCCTTTAAAAGTATTTTATTTTATGGAAGACATCTGTAAAATGTCTTCCATAAAATGTTTGTAAGACATCTGTAAAATGTGTTTAGGCACAAAATAAACAAATGAATGCAAGTAACAATTGAAATTGACTGAGTAATTTTTTGCCATGGAAAATTGGTTAAGGGTCATGGAAAAGTCATGGAAAACCTTAAGAGGAAATCTGTACGAACCCTGGTAACACAATTTTAATATAGTATTAAATGTAGTATATTGCATGAAGTAATTATAGCGTATTTTATTTTCTGTTAAATGTGTTTGTATATAAAGGCATCAGTTGGATATGGAAAGTTTGCCTGTTTGCCTTAATCAAGTGGTGTTATGATAATCCTTCGATGTTTATAACCATACTAACTTCTCTTGTTTTAACAGGAGAATCCCCATCTTCTATAATCGGAAAAACTCGTCATTGAAATGATCACCAGACGCAGAGGTCGCGCACTGAACATATGCGAAGAACAACTGGTGGAGGTGGAAGTGTGCGACGGTGAAACTAGTCCCTCACAGATGTCTCCTGGAGAAGATCTAGACGCCACGGCCGCACTGGAGCTGGACGAGCTCTTTGGAGACTTAGAGTGGACTTTAGACAGAGATTCCACGTCTCCGCTGTTTGACGCAGACCTGGAGGACTTCTGCAAAGACTCTGGACGTCAGTTTTCATCTAACTCATCTCCAGAAAGAAGAGAAACCGATTCTAAGACGAGGAGGAGTCACCAATTGCACGGGTTAAACAAAAATGCCATTGCCGCCCGTTTAAATCGCATCAAGAAGAAGGAATATGTGAGCAGCCTGGAGCGCAAAGTTGCAGGTCTGTCTACAGAAAATGGAGCGCTCAAACAGGAGAATTCTCAGCTGACGAAGAGGGTGGACGAGCTTGAAGATGAGACCAGGTACCTGCGCGCTGTGCTAGCGAATGAGAGCACGCTAGCACAGCTCTTAGCCAGGCTGAGCGGCGTGAACGGCATGAAACTGTCCTCCTCGCTTTTCCAGGGCGCTGGCGGCAGCAGCGACCATGACTACGCACTGCCACGAAAGCGCGCCCGAGTCGAGGAGAAGGGGGACACGGGCGGAGGCGTGTGTCTGCACGTGGACCGCGACCACGTGTCTGTGGAGTTCTGCCCTAAATGTGCTCAAAGGGCCAGCGCAGCGCTCAAAATGTAGGGTCAAGTACTTCACCCTCACTCACCTACTCTGAATCTGAGACTGAGAAAATTTAGGTTCAAGTACTTTTCATACTAAGACTGAGCAGAGCTGTGTTCAAGACAGTATAAAACAAAAACAAGCTTCACTATGTTAGCTGTAGGGATGTCAAGATGCTAATTAATGTCACTATAATGGTGAGAATACGCCACACGATTATTCATGATAATGCCTATTATCTTGTATTTTCACGGCCGATGCTTTATATTTTGAAAGTTTGACATCAAGTGAACCATCTCCAGACCAGAACCTTTACTGCGTCTAAATGAGGCTGAAACAGATCGCTTTTTGCCAGGTTTTTGGGCCTTTAAAGTCACGGCCTAAACTCAAAAGTTAATTTGACTGTTTATACGAGTGCGTATCACATTGAAAACACTTCTTTGTTCTCACAATTGTGCTGTGACCTAATGATCGTGACATCCCTAGTGTTGGTTGACGTGTGTTTGAAAATACTCGTTACTGCTAAATCTTGTTGACAGTTTCTTCTAGGTAAATGATGGACGCAGCGGGACGAACCAATCTGAGCGACTTTCCCTGCCGAGTCCATGGTAAGGATCGGACTGAGGATTTTTGTTATGACAGACACAAGATTAGTAAGAAGCTATCGATAATGCCTTGAACATGACTTATTTTGAGCTGATGAAAGCTAAGCTTAGTCGGTGTACATTATAAAAAATATGTAAATGGTGACGATCCACAAAGAGAACTTCTTGAAATTTAAAACTTGTCAACCCCTGCAAAAGTACTTTTGTTTTTGGCATTTATAAAGATAAAAAAGATTTTTGTTGTTGAATCTCTTTGTGAATCGGTGCCAGTTCCAAAAGGACACATTGATTTAGCACCACTATCTTTCTTTATGCTAAAGTGGGAGCTGATGGAGGAGCGCGTGGATCGCCGCCTGGGCCTGGTTAAATGTTAAAGGTAGTACGGTATCAATGGTATCTGTGATTTTTCTTTTTCTTTTACACCCAACATCAGCTCTGTTATAACGAGCTAACGTCTGTACATATGTTAATATGAACTGAGCTGTCATCGAATGTGCTGTATATAAGTTTTGAGAATAAAAGACAACTAAAGTGTAAACAAGAATAAATATTTTGTTTTATGTTTGAATTAAATGTTTGCAGAACCTTTTGATATTAATGCTGTTCTCTTTTCTCTTTCAAACAGCAGCTCTGCTCCCTAACGGTCGAGTCTGGTAAAGGGTTCAAAGGAAAACTCATTCAAAGGAAAAGTCTAAGCAATGAAGTTTAATTTGCAATCAGAAATGTTCAGTCCTGTCCCTGTTTTTTTTTTGGGAAGCTATGATTATGTACACAACTCTAGGGATGGGGCGAGACCTCACTGTCCCTCTGGCCCCTTCCACAAAGGTTTGATCTTCATCAATCACACTTTTATTTTGGTGGCCTGGTGAATGTTTCTACACTATGTGCTTCACAACTTTGTACATATGTTCGTTAGAAGCATATTTACAAAATACATAACTATCACTGTGAAACAACACAAAGACAAAACTATTGAATACAAAAGAAAGAAGACTAAATTTAAAGGAGCTATACCCGTTTCTGCAATGTTTGAATGTTTAGCACCGCCCCCAACTCGCTCACAGGCTTTTCATTTTCCCTACGCTCCTATCTCATGGAGCCATCTAGTTTTATTTGCAATCTTGTAAGCTGTACAACAATCACTGATGAAATGGTACAAAAGCAACGCACCAACAAAATGTATAACTGAAATATTACCGCTAGTTCCTCGTCCGAATGTAGTCCGAGCATAGATAGTCCTGCAGGTCTCTCCAGAGGATACGATGTACGCCAGCTTTGTTCACCCGGGCTTGATTTCTTCTTTGATAATTTTTTTGCTTTAGTTCTCTCTTCTCTTCCTAATTGTTGTGTCGTTCGGGCTGTTTTGCTGTGTATGCAGTTACAGCAAGAGGAGTTATAGCCAATTCTGCTAACATGCTGATGCTACTGTGCTTACCAGCGCTGTAGAGGCGAGAGGACACAGCCTGTTCTGTGACTGGAGGAGAAGAGCGTCACGCTAAGTCTCTACTCAGAAATGTTTACGGCCTGAATTCATACACAAGCTGAATCAATGAGCTCAAGTTTTCAATGAAATTACGGATTATAATACAACTTGTATATAGTAATAAGCATTTTTATGAACTCATAAAAAAAACTGGGTATAGCTTCTTTAAACTGTGTCAGTGATGAGGCCTGACAAACATGGTGTGTTTCAGAGGAAAATGTAGGCCTTATTTTAAAACCAGAGAAAATTATTTGGAATGCAGTTTAAGCTTTTCAATGCATTAAGATACTAGTATCTTTTTTAATGAATGTGTACAGCTATGAATATTTTCAAATGTTCCACCCCCTTCAGCGTTTTTGACTCGTAGCCAGGCCTCGTTTGGAAACGAATGGGATGTATCTGTGAATGCACCGCCGTTTTAAAAGTCCATGAAATTGTCCTGAGTGCACCAGGACTGGAAAAGGATCCAAGTTTACTGGGATGAACATGAAGTGTGGGATGTCAAATATAATTATAGGATTTGAGAAGTCACAGTTGGATCTCCAAATGTCTTCATAAATGTGAAGTGCTTGGAAAATGTGTGATTTGAAGATGACAGTAGGTTCTGTTAGGTCAGACTGGAAACCGAGTGGTTGTGATTTAATGCAGAAGGCAGCTGTTCCCTTCTGCCTTGATGATGATGTTCATCAGGCAGTGAACTAAGAAATGGTAGATAAATATAGCGTATAAAGGACAATAGGAGCAACTGAATGTCTAAAATTGAAAGACATGGATGAATGCATTATTTTATTTGATAATATATTGCTAAACATGTGGACTGACTAGTCAAGCATCTAACATTCAGTTTGAACAGTCTTGCTCCAGCCGATTCACTGAACAGCGCCCCCTGCTGTACACAGCAATACAAACCACTGTGGCAAGATGTGCACCGTCAGTACCTCACACGGATGAGATATGTGACAATGTACTGAATCGCTTTGACTGTTTAGCTACATACCATTGTTCTCTGCTTGGCACAGAATGTGACAGCTAACCAGTTACATCCTTTTTTAGTTCATCTGAAAATCATAAATATATTAATGCAAGGAATGAAGATTTGCACATTAATTACTACAGATTGTGTGCGTTGGATGAGAGACCTTAACAGCCTTCAGTTGGCTCAAAAGAATTATTCCCACACACCCATCTTACTTGCAAATTAAAAATGTATCGGGAAAGAAATGTTTTTGAGTGTAATGCCTTTATCAAGCAAATATAATTATGTTTGCATAATTCTTTTGACTAATGCTACACCAACCTCTACTATGATTCCAGTTATTTCTTATCGGAATTTGAGGGCTCATATGGCACCAGTGAAGTAGAATTACCCAGTTGTGAGTTTAGTGGGACTAGGACTAATATGCTCCTGGTTTGAGCTCAGACACAGCAGATCATCCACATTAAGATAAAATAAATTATGGGTTATTTTTAATCACTGGTGGGTCAATGTAACCCGGGGATAGTACAAGGGTGAACTGTAAATCCCTTCTCAGTTGGTCCTGTCTCCATCTACAGGAGAATATTTCTGATTGCAAATTTAAAAATAAAGAGAACATCTGTTTACTGGCCCGGATTTCAAACAAAAGTGAAAATGTGCCATGTCACGCAGATTTGATTCATTGTAGTTTATGCTGCTTTCTGAGGTTCAAGTGTCATCATTGATTTGGGCCTGATCCTTCACTCAGTCAGAAGTGAACATACAACTGAAAATGTATTTTTTATTGATTATTATATTTAATAAACCAATACTAGTTTTAATGGCCACCCCCCCCCCCCCACACCTTACCCCCCCCCCCCCCCCCCCCCCCCCCCCCCCCCACCCCCTCCCCACCCCCCCCTCCCCCCCCCCCTCCCCCCCCCCCCCCCCCCCCCCCCCCCCCCCCCCCCACCCCCCCCCCCCCCCCCCCCCCCCCCCCCCCCCCCCCCCCCCCCCCCCCCCCCCCCCCCCCCCCCCCCCCCCCCCCCCCCCCCCCCCCCCCCCCCCCCCCCACCTCCCCCCCCACCCCCAACCCCCCCCCCCCCCCCCCCCCCCCCCCCCCCCCCTCCCCCCCCCCCCCCCCCCCCCCCCCCCCCCCCCCCCCCCCCCCCCCCCCCCCCCCCCCCCCCCCCCCCCCCCCCCCCTCCCCCCCCCCAACCCCCCCCCCCCCCCCCCCCCCCCCCCCCCCCCCCCCCCCCCCCCCCCCCCCCCCCCCCCCCCCCTCCCCCCCCCCCCCCCCCTTCCCCCCCCCCCCCCCCCCCCCCCCCCCCCCCCCCCCCCCCCCCCCCCCCCCCCCCCCCCCCCCCCCCCCCCCCCCCCCCCCCCCCCCCCCCCCCCCCCCCCCCCCCCCCCCCCCCCCCCCCCCCCCCCCCCCCCCCCCCCCCCCCCCCCCCCCCCCCCCCCCCCCCCCCCCCCCCCCCCCCCCCCCCCCCCCCCCCCCCCCCCCCCCCCCCCCCCCCCCCCCCCCCCCCCCCCCCCCCCCCCCCCCCCCCCCCCCCCCCCCCCCCCCCCCCCCCCCCCCCCCCCCCCCCCCCCCCCCCCCCCCCCCCCCCCCCCCCCCCCCCCCCCCCCCCCCCCCCCCCCCCCCCCCCCCCCCCCCCCCCCCCCCCCCCCCCCCCCCCCCCCCCCCCCCCCCCCCCCCCCCCCCCCCCCCCCCCCCCCCCCCCCCCCCCCCCCCCCCCCCCCCCCCCCCCCCCCCCCCCCCCCCCCCCCCCCCCCCCCCCCCCCCCCCCCCCCCCCCCCCCCCCCCCCCCCCCCCCCCCCCCCCCCCCCCCCCCCCCCCCCCCCCCCCCCCCCCCCCCCCCCCCCCCCCCCCCCCCCCCCCCCCCCCCCCCCCCCCCCCCCCCCCCCCCCCCCCCCCCCCCCCCCCCCCCCCCCCCCCCCCCCCCCCCCCCCCCCCCCCCCCCCCACCCCCCCCCCCCCCCCCCCCCCCCCCCCCCCCCCCCCCCCCCCCCCCCCCCCCCCCCCCCCCCCCCCCCCCCCCCCCCCCCCCCCCCCCCCCCCCCCCCCCCCCCCCCCCCCCCCCCCCCCCCCCCCCCCCCCCCCCCCCCCCCCCCCCCCCCCCCCCCCCCCCCCCCCCCCCCCCCCCCCCCCCCCCCCCCCCCCCCCCCCCCCCCCCCCCCCCCCCCCCCCCCCCCCCCCCCCCCCCCCCCCCCCCCCCCCCCCCCCCCCCCCCCCCCCCCCCCCCCCCCCCCCCCCCCCCCCCCCCCCCCCCCCCCCCCCCCCCCCCCCCCCCCCCCCCCCCCCCCCCCCCCCCCAAAGATCTAGGGGAAACTCGCCTGTATTTGGGCATAGTCTGGTCCTCCCGGTTCTGCGCAGTGGGATGATCGCCCATAAGGCGTTGCGCCAAACACGCGTGTGTGGGTCTCACACCGGGTCTCACGCACGTGCACAGAGGGGCTCGGCCGCGCTCTGACCAATCAGAGCAGACTTCCTCAAAGCAGGAGTTA